TTTGAGTCACCACCTTTATGCAAAGGAACAACTTTAGTGCATTTCCAGGCGAGGGGCACTTCACAGGCGACAAACGACATATTGAATATCACAGCCAAGGGGGGTGAGAGGACGTGAGATGCAAGTTTAATAAACTTACTCTCTGAGCCATCAGGACCGGGACCGCTCCTGGAGGAGAGCTTATCAATGGCCTTTTGAACATCTGCGCATGTGAGTAGTTGGAATTTGAAATGATTGGTCTGTAGTGATAACTTGGTCAGAATCACCAGATTTCAGAATTGAAGTAATGAGTCCTCTTTTGAAGTTGTTGAAAATCACCATTTTGTAAACAATAAGTGTTCACGATGGGTTACAGGGTTTACTAGAGCACTGTGTTTTTCATGAGTTCTGTATCCATACCAATTATGTCTTTTGCTTTAGAATTTTTATGTTGGTTGGTGATGTCCTGAGTTTTAATCACATCATTGTTGTTTAGAGTGAAAGGGTCTGCTGACTCAGTCGCTAGGATCTCCATGAGGTTTGTCCACTTGAAATTAGATGCTAACTGTTCTACTGAAGTAATGAAGTAGCTGTTTTGAGAATTTGCCATTGCTGTGGAGTCAGTTTTGATGTGCCCGTTAATGTCCTTTCTTCTGGTTTTTCTTTTTTCATGAGTTTGTGGATGTGAGACCAGAGAGCTGAGCTGCTACCTCCTGATTGGGCAATTTAGTTATAGAAAAACAGAGATGTCACAAGTAATCACATTCATTACTCGTGCAGAAATACAGATATTAGCGTTTATAAACACTTCTGGAAGTTGAAGTATTAATTTAAGCATTTTAGTTGGGAAAAATGAAAAGACCACTGGTTTCAAAACTTCCTAAAATATAAAAGTAATAGTAGTGTAAGTAAACAAAATACCATTAAAGACAAAAGCTAAAGCAGCACCACAGCAATACCACACCTCCACAAAAACATTGTGGACATCACGACTATGATGTTACAAAAATGTTGATGTTTATTTATTTGGCAGACGCTTTTGTCCAAAGCGACATACAATTTATAACCTGTAGGGCATGTTGTGAACTGTGGGGTAAACCGGAGTACACGGAGGAAACCCACGCATGCATGGGGAGAACACACAACTCCACGCAGAAAGGGCACAGCCGAGTTTCGAACCTGCAACCTTCATGCTGCGAGGCAACATTGCTAACAACTGCGCCACCATGCAGCCTTGATGTTGAAAGATGTGGGACACACTCGGCTATGGAAATGTATCCATTTTAGTGAAACTGCAGTAAAGAACTCGCCTGGCCTGCCAGACTCCTCTGTTTAATTCTGCACAGAGAAAGAGTCTGGTAACTCACAGGCAGAGAGGCACATGAGGGGCGGGACTAGCCAGCTCAAAAATAACCAATCAGAAAAAAGACTGAAATGCTGACTGTACCTCGCGACGCTGTAGTTTTTTAGCTGTGGTAAAAATAAGGCATCTGGCAACAGCGCCAACATCTTTTATTTTTTAGAAGACATGCTTTTAGCGCTTCTACTTGTTGTGGTTTTAAAGACATTCAAGTCATTCAGAATAGAGGAAAGAGTCGCAGCAAACTCTGCTGCTGTCTTTGTTGTTTACGAGAAACTGAGCGTCGCTGTGTGTGACGTCTGCGACACTGTAGTTTTTTTAGCTGCAGTCAACATTGACGACTGGCGAAAGTGCAAACATCTTTCTTTAGAAGAAAGAATTTTACCGCTTTTACTTGCTGTGGCTGTTAAACCCTAACGCCCCCCCAATTGGGGGCCTCTATACAGTTTCATGTCCCAAACATCTACAACTGTCCACACTCTCCAAACACAACTAAAACCACAGTCAAACAGCCCAGATGGGAAACATGGCCATTTTTAATTGTAATAAATTAAGATACAATGATATTTGGACTTTATTTTAGAAGAGCATCAGACCTTCACTGGTGTCTGCTGGAAAAACGAACAAACAAAAAAAAATCCTTCAACAAATTTAGTTGAGGACCCCTGGAATGAATAAAACAATTGACCAAATTTCCTAAATGGAATTTGAACTAACAACCTCCATCCTGTCAGCACTTTCACACAGGGCAGCTTTTCTAAAATAAAGTTAAATTATTATTTTATCTTAATTTGTCAAAAACCAAAAATTGCTTTGTTTGCAATCTAAACTGGTTTGATTGTAGCTGTAGCTGTGCTCGGGGAATGCAAACAATCACTGACACTTGGGACATGAAACTCCAAAGGCCCCCAATTGGGAGGAGCCAGGGCCCAAAGAAAAAAAGGCCTAGGGCCTTAAGGGTTAAAGACATCCACGTAATTTAGAACAGAGGAAAGAGCCACAGCGAACTCGGCTTCAGTCACCATGTTCAACAAACTCAGCGTTGTGGTGTGTGACGTACGATACTCAGCACTGATTGGCTCGGTTAGAATTCTCAGGGGGTGGGGTTATTTGAATAGGAGAGGTCCCAAACCCTTTCTCTGTGCAGAATTAAACAGAGGAGGCGTCTGGCAGGCCAGGCTAGAAAAGAAGTCGGGCTGAGCTCAACACGTTTCATGGAGTGGAAAAGAGGGACTGAAAAGGCATTTCTCAATAATCTTGGAACATAAATTTACAGGATCTGGGAAAACAACAAGTGATAAAACTGGATAGGAAAATTAGTTGACTTGTATGTCAAATACAGTTCTGTCAGAAATGAATCAATGAATGTCTTGACTGGACTGTGATGTCAGGTGTAGCGTGCCTATGGATCAAGTACAAACCAGTAGGGTGTCAGAATAATAGATGTTTAAAATCAAAACTCAACCCCAATCAGATTCACTCTTTCTGGATGGCACACATCATCTGGATTGGGTTTTATATTTGTGTTTTATTTTAGCAACAAGTCAAATGAAAGTAACAAGGCTATATTTTTAAATGTACAGAGTAGAAAGTACAGCTCATTGTGTGAAACTATAAGAAGTAGAAGTAAAATGTCAGATATACTCTGATGAAGTTTAGACACCAACACTTTCTACTGAACTAAGGTAACAAGGTATGGGTGATTTGCTTTTTGACACATTTGCAAAATAGAAAGAAGTTTAGTTCTTGACGAGCACAGTTGGAGCTGCAACACCTCTCAAGTTGCACACACACAATTAAGAGTACTACTGTGTCTATAATTTGTTTTTACTATATTATTTTTAAACATCATATTAGCAATGATTTTTATTTAAAACTAGAAGGTGTTGAAAACTGAAACTTCTTCACATATCTTTGTGTTTTAGCAATAAGCTTTTTTTTACTCAAAACTAACATGTCATTTATAATATTGCTCCATTTTAAAGTCAAATTTAGTTGTTTTGTCCTGATAGAGGAACCTTCTAATCCTTATCTGTTGTTTTTTCTGTCATTAATAGACAAACTAAACTAAACAAATTGCAAGTTGCCAAATCTGATACAGCAACCAAACCAGTTACATCATGTGCTGACCTTTTGTTTTCTGGTTAAAAGTGATGCAACTTTTTATACAGTGACCTCAAAGTTTCTTATTTTTCAAAATGGAATCAAGACGAGCACTGTCAAAAAGGTGTTTCTGCTATGAGAATGTGGCAGAAATTTGATCAAAATGTGTGTGTGTGTGTGCGTGTGTGCGTGTACATGCGTGTGTGTATGTGCGTGCATGCGTGTGTGTGTGTGTATGTGTGTGTGTGTGTGTGTGTGTATGTGTGTGTGTGTGTGTGTGTGCGTGTGCGTGCATGCGTGTGTGTGTGTGTTTGTGTGCGTGTGTGCGTGCATGCATGGGTGTGTGTGTGTGCGTGCATGCGTGTGTGTGTGTGTGTGTACATGCGTGTGTGTGTGTGTGTGTGTGTGTTTGTGTGCGTGCATGCATGGGTGTGTGTGTGTGTATGTGGATGCGCGTGTTTGTGTGCATGCTTGTGTGTGTGTGTGTGTGTGTGTGTGTATCTAAAAAAACAAGCAATGTCTTGAAAGCACGAATTTGAACCATGTCACCATTTGTTGATGTTTGCATTCAGATATCTGCAGTACTGACTTTAGGATGATAATAATGTTTTTTTTTTATTATTATTAATAACTTCCTTTTTCTTTGTGGATTTTAAATCCATAGCCATTTTCTAAACCAAAGGGAATTCATAAGCTGTTTGTACATCTTCTTGAGGCCACATGCATGCTGTTTGGTCTGATTTCTGATGTTTTATGTTTGGGACACCACGAGACAAGGTCATCAGCAAGTTGTTTTTAGATCTCAAAGTGAATTTATTCTCAATTGTAACCATAAAATAATCCAAAGCAGTTAATCAATTCAGTAAATGTTTCTATTTTATTTTGCCAACATTTGGACTTCAATGTGAAAATAAATTAACTTTCATGTCAACAGAGTTTCTTAAGATCTCGTTTCAGCTTTGTGCTATTTTAGGTCAACTTCTTCCACTATTTAGCTCCAGAACTCTGATGAGAAACATCAGGTTATGTGATACACTGGGAAACAAAGTTTTTGTTGGCTTAACACGCATAGAGCTATTTATTCATGAAATGATGTCTCAGTCAGTGGAAATGATACTAACACACTTGTATAATTTTGTTCAGCGCTACTTTTACGCACAGCTCAGCTCGTGCGTAAAATCCACAAAACTAGAGAAACAGGAAGTAGAATTATTAAAATCGTTTCCGTATGCAGCCATGAGACCACCAGTGACACAATAAAAGTGGCTGTGGGATTATTGATACACCTCAAGTTATCTGTGGCTCCTTTATGGAAAGTTATTGAACTTTTATTTCATTAAATCTCACCTTTAATAAAACGTGTTTTAAAATAACAGACTAAATATAATTCACATAGAGTGTAATATTTTACTATGTTTTTTGCAGCTGATCTGCATAATAATAATAATAATAATAATAATAATAATAATAATAATCAAATTTCTTGGATGACGTAGGCTGTTTGCTATCGCGATAGTTCATTTTTTTGAAGGTTCCAGTGGTCGTGAAAACAGCTTGTGATCATAGCGCGTTAAGCGTCTCGTTCTTGGATCAACTTCCATCAAAAATACGTTTATCTTAGTTTGGTGTTTAACTATTTAGGCTGAATCTTCACGATGACGCAACGTGCTACATGCGTTGTCCGCCCGGGGTTCATGTTTGTATTTCTCTGTTTTTTGGCCACAATAATGTCGGTGTCTTCCGTCACTCATTACTCTGTCCCTGAAGAAATGGAGGACGGATCTGTCGTGGCGAATTTGGCAGCAGATTTGGGATTAGAGGTTAAAACTTTGAAGACGAGGAAGATGCGCGTGGATGTTGTGGCCAACAAGAAATATCTGGACATCAACAAAGACACCGGTGAGCTTTTTATTGCAGAAAGGATTGACAGAGAGCTGTTATGCCCGACAAAAACGACAACATACTGCTTCCTTAAATTAGACGCTACAATAGAAAATCCAATCCGGATGTTTAACATAGAAGTAGAGATAACAGATATAAATGACAACGCTCCACATTTCAGACGAGGAACGATGCATTTGGACATCTCAGAGTCAAGCCCCGTGGGGGAGAGGTTCTCCCTGAATAACGCAGCGGATCCAGATGTCGGAGCCAATTCTGTAAAAGATTACTACCTGAGTGCAAGTGATCATTTTGCGCTTGAAATTCAGACCGGAAGAGATGGATCAAAGTTCGCAGATTTGGTTCTGCAAAAAGCTCTGGACAGAGAGCAGCAGGCTGTTCATAATCTAATTCTCACCGCTGTGGATGGCGGAGTGCCCACGCGCACAGGTACAGCCAGCATCATTGTGCGCGTGCTCGATGTGAACGACAACGCCCCTTCATTTGACAAAGACAAATACGTTGTAGATGTGATGGAGAACTCTCCTATTGGTAGCTTAGTGATGAAACTGAACGCTACAGATTTAGATGAAGGGTCCAACTCTGATGTTGTTTATTCTTACAGTTTGTACACATCAGAGAGAACCCAGGAGATGTTTCAGCTGAATCCAGAAAATGGTGAAATCAGAGTGAAAGAAATGATCAATTATGAAGATTTGAAACTGTATGAGCTGGAGGTGATAGCCAGTGACAAGGGACACAATTCATTATCTGAGCAGTGCAGAGTGACAATCCAGGTGACTGATATGAACGATAATCATCCAGAAATATCTATTAAATCCTTCCAGAGTCCAGTGAGTGAAAACATCAAGTTAGACACGGTGATAGCTGTAGTTAGTGTGAGTGATAAAGACTCAGGGGACAATGGACTGGTTGATCTTCATATTCCAGACAACATGCCTTTCAAACTGAGGGAGTCCTCTGATAATTATTATGAGTTAGTGGTGTCAGAGCCATTAGACCGAGAGAAGGTCCCAGAGTATGACATCACTTTCACTGTGACAGACAGAGGTTCTCCTCCTTTATCTGACAATGAAACAATAACTTTAGAGCTGCTGGATGTTAATGACAATGTTCCCCAGTTCCCCCAGTCTTTTTATACCATACGTGTGATGGAGAATAACGCCCCCGGGGCCTTGCTCAGCTCCCTCACTGCCTTTGACCCTGACCTCCATGAGAACCAGTATCTAGTGTATTTCATCCTGGAGAAGGAGATCGCCAACACCTCCATGTCCATGCTGTTCTCCATCAACCCAGAGAACGGGAACCTTTATGCACTGAAGACCTTTGACTATGAGATAGAGAAGGACTTTGTTTTCCACATCGAGGCCAGAGACTCTGGTTCTCCTCCTCTCAGCAGTAACGTGACCGTCCACATCATCATTGTGGACCAAAATGACAACGCTCCATCTATCGTGTCTCCGTGGTGTGAGCGTGGCTCGGTGGTGGAGGAGAAGATCCCCAGATCCACTGACAAAGGCTCTCTGGTTGCCAAGGTGATAGCCTTGGACAAGGACTCTGTGCACAACTCTCGGATCACCTACCAGTTCCTGCAGCTGGCTGACGCCTCCTTGTTCAGTCTGGACCAGTACAACGGAGAGATCCGGACCATGAGGATGTTCAGTTACAAAGACCCGCGCCACCACAGGCTGGTTGTTGTTGCCAAGGACAACGGGGAGCCCGCTCTGTCTGCTACAGTCACCATCAAGCTGCTGACAGTGGAGACTGCTGTGAAGGCCTACTCTGACATGACTGAGATGTCTCTGGAATACGACATCTTCTCAGACATCAACCTGTATTTGGTGATCGGTCTGGGCTCGGTGTCCTTTCTGCTGCTGATCACCATACTGGTGACCATCGTGCTGAAGTGTCAGAAGGTGAAACCCAGCAAATCGGCTCCTCCCAGCAGGAACAGCGTGATCAGTGAGAGGAACTCCACCATCGCAGACTCCACTCTGGTGTCCAACGATGCCTACTGGTACAGTCTGTTTCTAGCAGAGACCAGGAAAGGAAAGCTGGTGGTCAGACAGCCTGTGCCAAAGGGCTCCAGATACATCGTGTCCAGCATCCCCAGAGGGACAGGACTGTCAGAGACCAGCGACTCAGCAGCTTCCACTCTGCAGGTATAGAATGCTGCCCATCCTAGTAGTTCCTTTCTAAACCTTCTACCTTTATTTAATTTTATTTTATCATTTAATTTACAGTATTCTAACTTGATTTCTGTATCAAAATGCAACATTTAAAGTTTCCTGTCGTAAATATTCTACTTAAAAAAAAGATTATAAATCTCATATTATATACTGTGTGTGTGTGTGTGTGTGTGTGTGTGTGTGTGTGTGTGTGTGTGTGTGTGTGTGTGTGTGTGTGTGTGTGTTTTCGTGCATGCTCATTCTGCTGTGTGCTTGTGTGAGTGTGAGGCTGAACAGTAACCACTTCAGCAGTAGTCTGTTTTCTAGCATCAGTTCTGATCAACATACTTTTCCTGCTTCAGTACACGTTCTACAGTAACAAGGTGGCTTTTCAGACATTTATGTGAGGCCTTTAGCTCTGAGAACCGGGTTTTTGTACTTCTGACTTAACATGTTAACACGTGGATGTAAAAGAGAATGTTTTAGTTTTAAACTATTTGTTCTTCATGACTCATCTCAATCTTACATTTAACATCCACATAGCAATGATTTACATGGGTTATTTCAACATTTTACAAAATCCTGATTTTTTCAAAAACAAACATCTATAAATACCCACAATAAAAAAAATTTATAAATAAAAGAAACCAAAAAACGTTTCAACCCTTTATACGATTCACATTTTGTGGAGCATTTTCCATCACTGTCAAATGTCTTTTTTATGCGATTAGAGATTTTTGCATCTTTTCCTTTTTGAAAATTAATGAAAATGAGAATGAAAACAACAACAAAATAGTTTTACAGCCCCTAATTTGAACTATTATCAGTCCAACGGTGATCCTTTTTTATGTCACACAATGACCTACTTTAATATTTATTTCAGTGTTAATTTTCTGTTTCAGTTAACAATTTTTATTTCTGGTGGTAATCATTTTGTCGGATTTTATATTCTTCTTTACTGGTGCAAAGTTGTGAATTTCTCTTTTTTTAGGCGATTATTTTCTCTTGATGTAGCTGATGATCTGTCTGTCTGTCTGTCTGTCTGTCTGTCTGTGGTAAGTAAGAACACTGATGAATGAACTTGTTTTTATTTGTTACATGAACTATTGTTTCTTTAGATTTTAACATTTTCTTATTTTTTCCTCCACATCAACTCTGTGATGGAAGGATTCCCACATTAGACAAAAAAAATGAATCTGGAAGCAATAATCTGACCATTGAACTTTGTGTTTCTTCTTCTCCCCACTCTAAAGTATCCTAAATGAGGACAGTCCACCCAGCAGCTGGAGGTATGCATCCCCAGGATAACCTTTTCATCATTGGTGTTGCAGATTTTTAGTGTCTTAATACCTTCTTGTTTGCATTCTTTCTTCTTTCCTCTTTTTCTTTATTAGGATTGTTTGTTCTCTTCATTTCATTTGATGAAGGGTGTTTTGAATCACAAATCTGACATCTCCAGGTTCTTTATTAGCTCCTTAAGACTGGCTCAGTGCTGACTTCATAAATTATCCTTCTATAGTTTGTCACTATTGTAATCCATTTAGCTCAAATTGTTTACTTATTTTAGTCATTATGGATTATGACACTTCTCAAAATCCCCACAAGCCTTTAGATACGTCTCTGAGCTTTGATAACTCATTTGTTTGGGGTATTTTTGACAGTTTATCAAACATGGTGATTCAACAAAAGTGGTAACGTTAGATTCACTTAAATTCTATCATTAAAATTGTAATTGAACCTGTTTATTCTATATGTTTAGTGCTCTGGGATGACTTTAATTCAAGATTACTATATATAAAGATTTAAAAATAATTTGGATTGAATTAGTTTTACTAAATGTAAAGCTTACAAACTAAGAACATTGTGCAAAAGTTCATTTATTTCAGTAATTCAACTTAAAAGGTGTAACTAATATATGAGTCAGACTCATTCCATGCAAAGCCAGATATAACATGCCTTTATTTGTTATAACTGTGATAATTGTGGCTTACAGTTTATGCAAACCCCAAATTCAAAATCTCAGACTATTAGAATATAAAAGGTAAAATATTTTACACTCATAATGTCACACTCTAATCAGCTGATGAATCCAGAACACCTGCAGTGTTTCCTGAGCCTTTAGATGGTCTCTCAGCCTATGTTGAATTACAGACATAGTTAGTTTTGAATGACTTCAAATTTTTAGAGTTTCATCTGAATGTATGAGTTATTTTAACATTTAGATAATAAATGTATTGTCAGTTAATCATTTCCATCATTTGCTGAAAAGATCGAACAGACTTGTTTGCATATTTACCCCTTTTTGAATGAATCACCATGTTCTCAAAATGATTTTCTGCATGTGGTTTTTAATGTATTCATCCTCTCTACTGGCCCATCACCTCTACACAAACTCTAACCTCTTTTTACGTGTTTGTAAGTGGAATTGTGTTGTCTCTGTCCTCTTCACAGAATGACAGTCTCCTGTAGTCTGACCTCATTTTTTATGCAGGAAAAGCACAAAGAGAACCAGTCACACAGTCACCTAGCAACCACTCTTCCTATCATTTTGGAGCATGGCGTTCATTGATAAATCTGCCACCTCCTTTTACACATTCAGGGATTGTCCCCGTCAGTCCCCCACCCCCTTTGTCCTCTGCCTGAAGCCCCCATCTGAGTTATTGGTCTCGATTGCATGAGATGTACCTTTGGCTGCTTCAAAGCCTCTCACTCTTTTGGATCTTTTACTCAGCTCTGTTATTTTCTTGTCTTGTTTGCAGGCATCCACTGCGAGCAGCAGCAGCAGCAGCAGTTCCAAGTAAGACCTTCCCTCCAGCCATGGACAGATAACAGGAAAACCTTCATGTAAAGAAGGAGGACGTCCCCATCGATATGCAGTCTCCTACATCAGTCCATGTGGTTCCCGCTCCTCTCTCATGCAAAATGGCGTCAATTCTAAAGACACACCTCTGCACCCGAAAGCAAATCAGCAACGCCTTCATGTTTATTCGTTATGCATGATTAGACTGCATGGCTCCAACTACACTTCAGGACTGCTTTTTAAAACCAACACATTCTCACACCCAAAGCAGCTAAAACTGACTATTGGTGACCAAGTGTTTGTTTCCGACGCATCGGGAGGCACCGCATGGTACCAGAGCGTCGGTTTCCGAAGCCCCCGGGAAAACGCACGTTTCACCGACATTTAACCTCTAACCTCTTGCTGTTTAACCTTCCCCTCACCCCATCCTAACCATAACCCAGTTTCTCCTTCTAAATGTCTCGTTAGCTGTGTTTGAGAGGGACAGTACAACTAGAAACAACGTTTTGCATGTGCAAGTGGGTTAAGGTTAGGATGGGGTGAGGGGAAGGTTAAATAGCAAGAGGGTAAAGGTCACAATTCAGTGAAATCTCCTTTATCGTGGGCGTCAGAAAGTGATGCCCTGGCACAGCGCGTCACCTCCCGACGCGTTGGAGAAAACAAACGCCTGGTTGCCCATCGTCAGTTTCAGTCTCTTCAGGTGTGAGAATGTGTTGTTAAAATAGCTAAATGTTCGTCTGGCTCATCAATGAGAGGACTGTAACAATATCCACCCTCATGTTTGTGAATGATCCAGAGCGTGGACTCCATGAGTGGAGGTGGGATTGGCGAATCACCTTAGAGGAACTGGTTTCCGTCTTGCAAAATGAACATTTGTTAAAAGTACATTTTAAAATCCTGTGCACTTGTTCCAGTGTTAATGTGGAAGTTAAGCAACATGCAAATTGATTTATTTACATCACATAAGAAGCACAAACTTTGAATTTTAAAAGAAATTCAAAGAAAGTCAGTATTTTATAGTTGTTACCTTTTGACCTTTTAACTGCTTTTTCACTTGACTTTAACTGAGCTAGGCCTAAGACACACAAAATGAGTGCCGACTACATCAAACTTACAAACACATACAGGTGAGGCCTTTAGCCATCATGCCTTTTATTTGTTTCTGCATGGAAACCACTAGATATGTTATGATACTGCACATACCAACAATAATAAAACCAGTATTTTAGTGGGACCAAAAATTATTTTGTGTATTGTTCAGATGTTCTTTTTCCTCCTTTAGCTTTGAGCAGTAGGCTGGCTGTTTATTGCAAGGTTGTCAGAACTGTTTGAGAAGGGGCCCAAAATTGTCAAAATACATGAACCGTAAATCTGCATCAACAGCCTGACGGAGAGATGGTTCCAGAATATTCTAAATGCAATCGGGAGCCAATCAAAATCACTCTGAGGACCGCAAATGGCTGCTGAGCTGCACGCTATCTGGTTTAGTGGGTTTCATAAAGTTTACTGATGGTTTGGACTACCACTGTATTTGATTGTTTTGTTTACTTAAACAACTAAAGGAGTACAAAGAGATTAAAATAAGTACAGCCCCTTTAAACTTGAATTTAACTAGAGAGCCCTTATGTGTTCACAGCAAACCTGTATGTACATCAGAAAAACAAATATGCACATGAACTTTTTAAAGTTCTGATCCAAGCTCTGGGTTTGGGGCACAAAAACAGATGTAACATTTCCTTGTTACTTTACCAACAGTCTGTATCTCTGGTTGACTTTACCCAATGGAATCTGATCTCATGTTTATTACTGACTATCGTGTGTGTCTGTATATCCAAGAAGTGAAACTGAAATACAGCTGATGTATATAATTCATCATATGCCTTTTTTATTTCCAGTATGAGTGCTACAGCACGTCTTTAATGTGAACAAATCTATGTGCCATCAGATTCAATGGTCAGCTTAAATAAGGCAACCAGAAGTCATGCATCGAGCTGCTTATTAGCGAAGCACAGATTGTTTCTTGTACAAAGTTTTAATGTTACAGCCAAACATGAACAGTAAGTGCTTTTGTACAGTGGCTCTATTATAGTGCAGTCTGTTGTGTAATGTGTGCTTATTGTATGCTACGGTTCGATCTGTGCGAGTTATTAAAACAAACTTCTCACTATTTCATTTGATTTTCTTCCCAGATTGTGTTTATCTGATTGTTAAAAAGAGAGTTTAGGATAACTCGTTGGCAACGGAAGATTCTGATAATTAATGGCAGTAAATTTGTGTTGAACACAAAAGTTTTAGATTTTCATATTTATTCTATTTATTAACCAATTCAAATACTATTATCGTTTTAGTAGTCCTAATCTGTAGATTACAGGTGATCAAACAACAGCGTGAGGCATTTGCTAATCTTAGTGGATTTTCTTAATTAGTTCAAAGCAACACTGACACATTGCTTTGGGTATGAGCTTGTATAAGAAAAAAACTGTTTATCTGCTAATAAAAAATAGTTTATATAGAAAAGCAATGTTTATTCTAACAAACAGATTTTTAAAAGTCTTTCTGCTCTGTGTTGAGATTTCGTCAGACATCCACAACACCCCACTGTTAAAAAGTTCAGTCTCAAAACTTTAGGTTGCACAAATGAATGCAGCAGATGTTATGCAAATAGGATTGTTAAACATAATGGGTAATTTGAAAAAATTGTCTTCTTCCAGGGAGATTTAAACTGCAGAAAATAATTATTCTGTCAGCAAAGACACACCTGAGATGCTTAACTTTCAGCATGATATTTACAATAATTGCTTATTTTTATTTATGGGTCACCAGCAGCAGTATAACATACATTTAGGGGTATTGTTTCATTCAGTGGAGTGAAAATGACAACATTTAGAATTATAGGTGGGGTTTTTGCTAAATAAATAGAAGAAAAGAAAATTGCTAATCAGAATTGTAAGCTTACATCAGGAGTCTTTTGGGTGCGTGGAAGCAATAAATAAAAGCAAATTAAATATGTGTGCAGGTTATGAGTACCAGCATGTAGAAGACGAACACAATCGTTCATATAGCACCTCTCAAGATAAAAATCATGAGACACTTCACAAAAACAAATGCCACGTATGACCTGGCATAGCAGCTCCATGTGTTGGATTGAAAGGCGAATGAGCCGTGATGGATCAGTTCTGGATTTAAGGCAAGTTTGGACAGATTGTCTAACTTTGGATTTAAGAAATGTTTTCTAATCTAAATGTTACTTTGTAAGAAAGGCTAAGTTTTTCATAAATGCAAAAGGAGACATGGTTTTAAAAGACTAATAAAAAAACAACAAACCTTAAATAAATATCCCTACAAAGGTTCCATCAACAACACTGCGCGTAAAAACTGCTTAAAAAACTGCTTAAAAAACTTTGCTTTGTTACTTTTGTAAGAATTATTTCCCCTTAAGCAGCCATTTAGGATTTACATGAACAGCTAAACTTTCATTCACCTATAAGCTAATAATTTCCATTGCTTTTGAATCCAGGAAGTTCACATTACAAACATGGTTATTCTTCATAAATCAATTGCTAGTAATTACTCAGAGCATTAGGAAGGATCAAACAAGAAATATTATTACACACTTTCAGCTGTGGAATAAAATGAAACTAAACATGTGTGTGTGTGATCTGAGGCTGGAACCAGCAGCAGGACACCTGACAGAAATTGGAGGTGACAGAAGACTACATCCTCAGCCTGAGTTGTGTGGAAGTGCAAACTGGCTCCAGGTAATTGTTCCTCTTGTACGCTCCCACCTGTAATGGCGACCACACACATTTCCCTTGTAAATTAATGAATTGAAAGGCCACAAGCAGAAAAATTCCCATGTATTTGGTCTTTAAAAAGATTAAATACAACATACCTAATACATGGTGTGTATGGGCTTAAGTTGATTTAGCTGAACCTGTAGCTAAAAATAACATAAACACAGATTTTGAATTAAAACAATGAAAGTAACATTATTGTTGCATTCCATTTGGGCAGTTTAATCAATGCGTTCATCCCATTGTGTGTACTAACATGACCTCATGTCCCAGGAGACATGGGGTCATGTTAGTATGCACACACACACACACACACACACACACACACACACACACACACACACACACACACACACACACACACACACACACACACACACACACACACACACACACACACACACACACACACACACACACACACACACACACACACACACACACACACACACACACACATTCGCTACACCCATACATGTTGTTGTTATGTTTGTGTGAAAGTGACACATGTATTGTTATTTAAAGTTTATTTGTTTTTAACCCTCTGGAGGCAGGCATTGCAGATTTGCAAAGTTAAAACCTACCTACCTGGTTAATCCACATACATGTTTCATGAGCATTTTTTTTAACTCAGAAGTACCCCTGAAGGACTTAGTTGTTTGTCCTTTTATCAAAACTTATTTTGAGCCTGAGAGGGTTAAATCATTGAGAGTATTTTTAAAATTATGCTGACCCTAGAGAGGTTATGTTACAGGAACTATTGTTTTCAGTGCTGATCTGCTTCACTAACACTAACACCCAGGTGCATGGCCCGGCAAAGCACCAGGGTGTAACAAAGCACTGAGCAACCACCAGCTGGCACTAGCAGGCTAACACATGGCCACCACACATGTGTTCATCGCATTCATTGCTGCTCGTCCCATGCGTCTTTATTGTTGCAGTAAATACAAAAAGTAAAAACAATGATGTTTTTAAAATGGCAGATTAATGTTTAAAATCATCACCCCTGCAAATGCATGTCTTTTATATTTTCTTTAATAAAGCACAGTTCTTATTTTTAAATGAGTTTTGAATGAATCACTAATTCTGTGAAATGTTTATTGTGAAGATTACATATTTTAATGAATAAATGAGAATGTGTGCGGATGTAGGCTACAGCTGCAACATCCCTCCCCCTCTCTTCTTTGCGCCTGTTTGTCTTCAGCACCACGGTCAGCGACCAGCTGAGCTTCGTTGCTACGGCAACGCATCCTCTGCTCCGTGGAGCCTGCAATTTAATATCCCCTCAAAATCCCCCCTCCCTCTTTTTTCTCCCACAGGATGGCACCCGCCTTCTGCAGACAATGAATCTCTCTCTCTCTCTCTCTCTCTCTCTCTCTCTCTCTCTCTCTCTCTCTCTCTCTCTCTCTCTCTCTCTCTCTCTCTCTCTCTCTCTCTCTCTCTCTCTCTCTCTCTCTCTCTCTCTCTCTCTCTCTCTCTCTCTCTCTCTCTCTCTCTCTCTCTTCTCTCTCTCTCTCTCTCTCTCTCTCTCTCTCTCTCTCTCTCTCTCTCTCTCTCCTCTCTCTCTCTCTCTCTCTCTCTCTCTCTCATCTCTCTCTCTCTCTCTCCTCTCTCTCTCTCTCTCTCTCTCTCTCTCTCTCTCTCTCTCTCTCTCTCTCTCTCTCTCTCCTTCCAATTTTATTTAAGTGTTCATAATATTATTGGAAACTGGGAGCTTTGAAGCTACCTTTAATCATTGCTGGCATGAGTGGATTCAGATAGAAGCAGGAAAGAGAGGAGGTGCGGCAGAATGCGGCAGTGCTTGTGCACGCGCACGTACACGCCTGGCCTAAATTCTGAAGCAATACATGGCAGAAGCAGGTGGGAGGGGCACGAAAAAGGGAGGACTAATGTAGGTCACTCAGATTCCACACTTCCATTAAAGTCATGGATTCTGTGTTTTTATTGTTTGTGTTGTTTAATCGCTACGGAGCATAAGTGGGTTTTCTATGGAAAAGACACAATATTATAATGGAACGAAGTGTATAAAAAATGGTGCACATGAATAAGTGCAGTTTCAAAATTTATCCATAAGATGTCACTGCTCGACTCTAGAGGATGGAGGACTGTGGGTGTGCTGAGTAAAACAGTGCTGAGACACAGGCATCCAGTTTCTCCCAATAAAATATGTGGTTATTGTTCTGTTTTTTTTAAATAAACGCCCCAATATTGTCCAAAACTTTGTAGTTGTTTAAAAAGTTCAACAGTAAAGAAACAAAAAAAAACTATATATATATATATATATATATATATATATATATATATATATATATATATATATATATATTATATATATATATATATATATATATATATATACACATATATATATGGAAAACAAAAATCAAATGAAACGAAACCAGAACACTATAGTAATACAGAAAACACTTAATAAAATAAAATAAAATACAATAAAATAAATAATTTAATTTGATGTAATTTACTTTAATTTGTCTAACACTTTCTTTTCAGGAGTAGCGGGACTTTATTTTACCATTCTTCATTTTTTCTTGCAGAACAAATTCGTTTAAGAATTCACTAAATGAAGTTGACTCTTCCACAACCAAACTTATTTTTAAACTGAATAAAACATAAGCACATGAAATTAGGTAAATTATTAAAAATGTTTTAGAGACTTTGGAAATTAATGCACGAAGTCAGAGATGCTCAATTTAAAGAAAGCTTGGCAACATCGACAATAGGTGGCGCTGGTACTCTATACGATGAGGTGAGGTGTGTGAGGAGGGGTGTATTTTATCTCAATGTGATTGCAGTTATAACCCAGGAAGGCGGCTTGAATGATCGGATTGTGCTAACTTCCTTTTTCAGCTGAAAAAAATTATTCAAGCAGCCATATTTTTACTACAACGGGATGATTCTGTTTAACCAGCAACGTTTTCTTTGAAATGTTGAGAAGCTATCTATAAAACACATTCCTGACAAACAATGGGCTTCACGGACATCAGGAGACAACGGAGAGCTGCGTGCCTCTGTTTTTGTCTGGCGCTGCTGATTGTGACAGAATTTGAAGAAATTTCGGCTCAAATTCGATATTCCATCCAAGAAGAACTTAAACCGGGCAGCACGGTCGGGAATGTGGCCAAAGATCTTGGTTTAGATGTCGGGAGGCTGGCGGATAGAAATCTGCGTGTGGTGTCAGGAACAAAGCAGGAGCTGTTTAAGGTAAATCAGAGAAATGGCGTTTTATCAGTGAACCAGAGAGTCGACAGAGAGGAGCTGTGCGCAAAAGCTGTTCCATGCGTCACAAACCTGAAAGCTGTTGTTGAAAATCCTCTAGAAATGCACCAAGTAATGGTGGACATTCTGGATGTGAACGACAACTCTCCACAATTTCCTGAAGAAAACTACACACTAGAGGTGCTGGAGTCCGCCATTGTTGGATCGCGATTTCAGATTGAAGGAGCGCACGACTTGGATGTCGGATTAAATTCCATACATTCTTACAGATTAAATCACAACCAATATTTTCGACTGGAAACGGAGGATTTTGGGGAGGAAGGGAAAATTCCATTTTTAGTGTTGCAAAAACCTTTGGATCGAGAAGAAATGGATCGACACTGGCTTTCATTAACAGCGGCAGATGGAGGGAAACCATCAAAATCAGGAAACCTAAATATTACCGTTATTGTATCTGATATAAATGATAATCCTCCTGTGTGTGGTACACAGAAATACACCATAACAATAAAGGAAAACGCGCCCGTTGGAACGTTGTTATTAACAGTAAACGCATCAGACCCAGATGAGGGGATAAACGGTGACACTGAATATTCGCTAAGGAGTAAAAATCGAGGAGTCTCGTCTGAGCCGTTCGATCTGGATAGTAGAACCGGGAAACTGGCGGTGAAGGAACCACTGGATTACGAAGCAAAACAGGTGTATGAGATAAAGGTTCTGGCTGCAGACAAAGGGTCAGTTCCTCTCTCAGCACTGTGCAGTGTGACTGTAAGAGTGGAAGACGTGAATGATAACCAACCGGAAATAGAAATTACGTCATTTTCAAGTCATATTCCGGAAGATGCTCCACCTGGAACGGTGGTAGCGCTCATGGGAGTGACGGATATCGACTCTGGTGTGAATGGACAGGTGGTTTGCAGCGTTCCTGCTGACCTACCTTTTGATTTAAAGCCGTCGCCTGACGGACAGTCTTATTCCTTAGTAACAAGGAATCACTTGGATAAGGAAATAACACCCATGTATAACATAGCCATAACAGCAACGGATTTAGGGAGCCCCGCCCTGTCATCAGTAAAGGTGATACAGGTGGAGGTACTGGATGTCAACGATAACAGCCCCTTGTTCACTCAGAGTCCGTACTCGTTTTATATATATGAAAATAATAAAGCCGGGAGGTCGATATTTTCAGTAAGAGCCACTGATGCTGATGGAGGAGAAAACTCTGTAGTCTCATATTCTCTTGACCGCAAGAGTCCAGGACCAACTGCGTTTTTAAACATAAACGAGGCCAACGGTTCAATTGCTGCACTGAAAAGTTTCGACTTTGAAACTGTGAAATCGTTCCAGTTCCAAGTTGTGGCCTCAGACTCTGGAAGTCCGTCCCTGAGCAGCAACGTGACAGTGAACGTGTTCATTCTGGATCAGAATGACAACGCTCCAGTCATCCTGTATCCAGTCAGCTCCAACGGTTCTGCTGAAGGTGTGGAGGAGGTTCCCCGCAACGTGAACACAGGACACTTGGTGACTAAAGTCAGAGCCTATGATGCTGATATAGGATATAATGGCTGGCTGCTGTTCTCGCTGCAGGAAGTGACTGACCGCAGTCTGTTTGGTTTGGACCGCTACACAGGACAGATCAGAACACTTCGCTCATTCACAGAGACAGACGAGGCTGAGCATAAACTGCTCATCCTGGTCAAAGACAATGGCAACGTGTCACTGTCAGCAACAGCTACTGTCATTGTCAAAGTGGTGGAGCCCAAAGAGGCTTTTGCAGCTTCTGATGTGAAGAGTTCAGCCAAAGATGATGAGGAGACTGATGTGACTTTTTACCTGATGATCACTTTGGGCTCAGTGTCGGTTCTGTTCCTCATCAGCATCATCGTGCTGATTGCAATGCAGTGCTCCAAGTCCACAGAATATACTTCGAAATATCTCCAAGAGGCTAATTATGATGGGACACTGTGTCACAGCATCCAGTACAGATCTGGAGACAAACGCTACATGTTAGTAGGACCCAGGATGAGTGTAGGATCTACTATAGTACCTGGAAGTCATGCAAACACTCTGGTGCTGCCTGACAGGAGGAACACTTCTGATGAGGTAAGACTTATTTCTGGCTTTACCAAGATTCAGTATCCAAGTGCGCTGTCCATGGTGCTGACGGCTTTCGTACCTTTTCGTGTAAAAGCGCCACATGTTTTTTCCCCCTCTGTTTTAATGACAATGTTGACAATTCAGTTGTGTTTTAAGGAATTACGAGAGTTTATGTGAGCTTCAACCCAAAGTTATTCATACTATTTAAATGCATTATTTACACCGTGTGCTTAGCTCTATTAGATATATTCATAGTTTACTTATTTTGGAATCTTTTAGAGGTTTTTAATTTCTTCGAAACATTTTGAAAAAAAAAGTTTAATTCCTTCAATGAAATATACCACAGTTATTTTTTCACCAATGGATTAATGGCTCACTCAACTATCACTGTCATCAGATTCCAACTTTTTAGAGTAAACCATCCAAAATAAGTACGCATGTAAGTTACACTTGCCGCAACGAGTGAATAATAGAGAAACACTGTTTAACACAGCACAAATGAACATAAATCACAAAGGGCAAAGACGGAAGTGATCTCTTTGCAAACAAAATTCAAAGGGAAAGTGATCAATGGAAGATTGAAAACGGCTTTATGTCAGACCGGTGGGCTGGGGTCGGGAGCTGAGCTTGTTGAGAGCGTGGTGGTTTCACAGACGCGGAAATGAGAGCGCCGGTGAAACGCCGGCTCGCGATTTAATCTAGGAATCCCCGAGCGTTCGAGCGTCAATGAAGTGACACGGAAGTGCTGGGTTTTCCAGAAGTAAGTAAGAACACTTACTGTGAGCTGAGAGTTCGTGAGATGGATCGGTAGATTGGTAACTCTGATCATGGATACGAAGAAACGATGACTGAGTGGAAAGCTGGGGAGGCGACTTCCGTATATAGCCGCGGTTCCTGACGTAGGTGCGACGTGGAGGGAATCCCCGCGAGGGGCATGCTGGGGCTTGTGGTCCATGGTGGAGGCCGGATAGAGGCCGGTTTGGGGACTTGGGTTCTGACACTTTACTTAGATTTAATAAAATGGTTTACGTGGCTTTTTTTTGAGGGGGGGGGGGGGGGGGGGGTGGAGCTGAAGCAGGAAATGTTCCAACTGGTTGTTTGTTCCCATATATTATGACATTTACAAATAACAAATGGACACTTATAAAAATCACACGAAGGGGCATGTTTTTAGTTGGCATACTTATAATGTGAGTTCAAAATATTTGTTTTACAGACGAATTGTTCTATGCCTCAGGATTAGATGTAAAGTGTGTAGTGTTGACTACATCTTTTTTCAACCGAACGGGGATTACAAAACACGCAACAGCTTCATGTTATAATCATTTATTTGTACATTTATTTTTTAAGATTACCTGGACAATCCAAATATTTGTTATTTTTTTAATGAAAAAATGTTAACATTGCCTTGGTAAATTAGCGCTTAATTTCAGCGAGAGCATGCCATTTTCATTTGGTCATTTAATTATAAACCCCTTCATGTTAATGTTGACTTTATATCAAACTCAGTTGTTTACGTTTTATTTCACACCGTGATGGTGTGTCTTTCTTTTGATTTCACCTGTCATTTTTCGGTTTGTTCAAACTCATTCATTATTTTAGTTCTTGCCTTTTTCATTTCACGAAGTCCTACAATGTTGTGTAATTTTAGATTAAACTGTTGAAGCGAGTGAAGACGTATTTTTCAATGCATCAGAGACAAAGAACATTGTTATGGACACCATTTTATAAAAACGTTGTGCAGTTTGTTCATTGATTGGTTACAATATCTAAACACATAGAAAATACGCCATAAATTTAACTGTTATTTTCAATTATGAAAAACAGTTTGCAGAAACACCAGTTAAGAGCCACGTTTAGCGCTCTGCGCCACACATTTAGAGTGGTAATGCGTACAGTCCACACGGTGTCAGTGTCACATCAGCGTAGATGGTGGCGTTGTGGTTCTGGCCCAGCCTTTGAAAATGATTTCTATGCGGTTCGGTGTGGAGACCGAGCGTTCAGACAAAGATATGAGTCAGTGTAACGAGCGAGTGGATGCAAGAGGGACACTGGATCCATTTTAAACAGGATTAAACATATAACGGTTTTGTTTTGCGAGCTGTGTGGCTACATTTACGTTTTTACACCCAAACCGGGACCATGGGAGCCAAAGGACAAAGCCGAAGGAAACGGCTCTTTTGTGTCGCCATTACTTTGTTCGTGACGCTCAGCTGCGTGGAGCCGATTTCAGCTCAGATTAAATATTCCATTGCGGAGCAAACGGATGTTGGATTTGTGGTTGGGAATGTTGCCAAAGATCTGGGATTGGACGTTAGTTCTTTGGAAGGAAGGCAGTTTCGGATTGTTTCAGGGTCGGATGATGATCAGTTTAAAGTAAATCCGAGCAATGGCGTCTTGTCTTTGCAGGGGACTTTAGACAGAGAGCAACTGTGCGAGAGCGTTTCTCCGTGTTTGGTCAATCTGAAAATGGTGGCTAACAATCCCATGGAAATACATCACGTTGGAGTGGAAATTATAGATGTCAATGATAATTCACCCCGTTTTCAGGAAGAAGAAAAAACTATTGAGATCTATGAGTCCACTCTCCCAGGTAAACGTTTCCAGCTGCCAACGGCTCGTGATCCAGATGTGTCTATTAATTCAGTACGTGTTTATAAATTAAATCATAATGAACATTTTAGTTTACAAATTCGAGAAAGGGGAGAGGACAAAATGCCATTCCTGGTTTTGCAAAAGTCGTTGGATCGAGAAAAGAACAACGAGCACAAACTGGTTTTAACAGCTTTAGACGGTGGAAATCCTCCAAGATCAGGAACTCTAAACATTACAGTACATGTTCTTGATTCTAATGATAATAATCCCACATTCAGTCAAGAAGTTTATTCAGTAACAATCCCTGAAAACATCAAAGCTGATACCAGTGTAATAACAGTAACTGCGACTGATCCGGATGAAGGTGTAAATGGAGATATAGAATTTTACTATGTTGGTGAACTTGATCCCAAAATTTCGGACTTGTTTAGTTTAGATAAAATCAGTGGTGAAATTAGAGTAAAGGGGAGCATAGACTTTGAAGAGACTGATATGTTTAAACTAGATGTGCACGCCACTGACAGAGGACACCCTCCTATGAGCAGTGATTGCAGAGTGATCATTAAAGTATTAGATGAAAATGACAACAAACCCGAGATAGAAGTGACATCTCTTTCTAAACTGGTGTCAGAAGACTCCAAGCCTGGGACTGTGGTGTCTTTAATCAGCGTCACAGATCAGGACTCAAACTTAAATGGTAAAGTGATTTGTAGTCTTTCAGATAATGTCCCATTTGAATTAAAACCATCCTTCCAAGATAACATGTACTCTTTAGTTTTAAAACAGCATTTGGACCGAGAGGCAGTTTCACATTATGAGATCACATTAACAGCTACAGACTGTGGTCAGCCTCCTCTGTCCACATTCAGAACTCTGAGTGTTGATGTCTCAGATGTAAATGATAACAAGCCTGAGTTTTCACATAATCCAATGGAACTTTATTTAACAGAAAATAACATTCCTGGTAGCTCCATATTTTGTGTTTCTGCTTCTGATAAAGACCTGGGTGATAATGCAGCAGTACATTATCATTTAGTCAGAGAGGAGAGCAGCCAAATGAAAATCACTGCATTTTTAAACATAAACTCAGACAATGGAGAAATATCAGCGCTGAAAAGTTTTGACTTTGAAACTGTGAAAACGTTCCAGTTCCAAGTTGTGGCCTCAGACTCTGGAAGTCCATCCCTGAGCAGCAACGTGACAGTGAACGTGTTCATTCTGGATCAGAACGACAACGCTCCAGTCATCCTGTATCCAGTCAGCTCCAACGGTTCTGCTGAAGGTGTGGAGGAGGTTCCCCGCAACGTGAACACAGGACAATTGGTGACTAAAGTCAGAGCCTATGATGCTGATATAGGATATAATGGCTGGCTGCTGTTCTCACTGCAGGAAGTGACTGACCACAGTCTGTTTGGTTTGGACCGCTACACAGGACAGATCAGAACACTTCGCTCATTCACAGAGACAGACGAGGCTGAGCATAAACTGCTCATCCTGGTCAAAGACAATGGCAACGTTTCACTGTCAGCAACAGCTACTGTCATTATCAAAGTGGTGGAGCCCAAAGAGGCTTTTGCAGCTTCTGATGTGAAGAGTTCAGCCAAAGATGATGAGGAGACTGATGTGACTTTTTACCTGATGATCACTTTGGGCTCAGTGTCGGTTCTGTTCCTCATCAGCATCATCGTGCTGATTGCAATGCAGTGCTCCAAGTCCACAGAATATACTTCTAAATATCTCCAAGAGGCTAATTATGATGGGACACTGTGTCACAGCATCCAGTACAGATCTGGAGACAAACGCTACATGTTAGTAGGACCCAGGATGAGTGTAGGATCTACTATAGTACCTGGAAGTCACGCAAACACTCTGGTGCTGCCTGACAGGAGGAACACTTCTGATGAGGTAAGACTTATTTCTGGCTTTACCAAGATTCAGTATCCAAGTGCGCTGTCCATGGTGCTGACGGCTTTCGTACCTTTTCGTGTAAAAGCGCCACATGTTTTTTCGCTCTGTTTTAATGACAATGTTGACAATTCAGTTGTGTTTTAAGGAATTACGAGAGTTTATGTGAGCTTCAACCCAAAGTTATTCATACTATTTAAATGCATTATTTACACCGTGTGCTTAAATGCTTTAGCTCTATTAGATATATTCATAGTTTACTTATTTTGGAATCTTTTAGAGGTTTTTAATTTCTTCGAAACATTTTGAAAAAAAAGTTTAATTCCTTCAATGAAATATATCACAGTTATTTTTTCACCAAGTTATTTATTTCACCAATGGATTAATGGCTCACTCAATTATCACTTTCATCAGATTCCAACTTTTTAGAGTAAACCATCCAAAATAAGTACGAATGTAAGTTACACTTGCTGCAACGAGTGAATAATAGAGAAACACTGTCTAACACAGCACAAATGAACATAAATCACAAAGGGCAAAGACGGAAGTGATCTCTTTGCAAACAAAATTCAAAGGGAAATTGATATAAGGAGCATTGAAAACGGCTTTATGTCAGACCCGTCGGCTGGGGTCGGGAGCTGAGCTTGTTGAGAGCGTGGTGGTTTCACAGACGCGGAAATGAGAGCGCCGGTGAAACGCCGGCTCGCGATTTAATAGGAATCCCCGAGCGTTCGAGCGTCAATGAAGTGGCACGGAAGTGCTGGGTTTTCCAAAAGTAAGTAAGAACACTTACTGTGAGCTGAGAGTTCGTGAGATGGATCGGTAGATTGGCAACTCTGATCATGGATCCGAAGAAGCGATGACTGAGTGATCAGCTGGGGAGACGTCTTCCGTATATAGCCGCGGTTCCTGACGTAGATGCGACGTGAGGGAATCCCCGCGAGGGGCATGCTGGGGCTTGTGGTCCATGGTGGAGGCCGGCTAGCTGGGAGAGGCCGGTTTGGGGACTTGGGTTCTGACACTTTACTTAGATTTAATAAAATGGTTTACGTGGCTTTTTGGGGGGGTGGAGCAGAAGCAGGAAATGTTCCAACTGGTTGTTTGTTCCCATATATTATGACATTTACAAATAACAAATGGACACTTATAAAAATCACACGAAGGGGCATGTTTTTAGTTGGCATACTTATAATGTGAGTTCAAAATATTTGTTTTACAGACGAATTGTTCTATGCCTCAGGATTAGATGTAAAGTGTGTAGTGTTGACTACATCTTTTTTCAACCGAACGGGGATTACAAAACACGCAACAGCTTCATGTTATAATCATTTGTTTGTACATTTATTTTTTAAGATTACCTGGACAATCCAAATATTTGTTATTTTTTTTAATGAAAAAATGTTAACATTGCCTTGGTAAATTAGCGCTTAATTTCAGCGAGAGCATGCCATTTTCATTTGGCCATTTAATTATAAACCCCTTCATGTTAATGTTGACTTTATATCAAACTCAGTTGTTTACGTTTTATTTCACACCGTGATGATGTGTCTTTCTTTTGATTTCACCTGTCATTTTTCGGTTTGTTCAAACTCATTCATTATTTTAGTTCTTGCCTTTTTCATTTCACGAAGTCCTACAATGTTGTGTAATTTTAGATTAAACTGTTGAAGCGAGTGAAGACGTATTTTTCAATGCATCAGAGACAAAGAACATTGTTATGGACACCATTTTATAAAAACGTTGTGCAGTTTGTTCATTGATTGGTTACAATATCTAAACACATAGAAAATACGCCATAAATTTAACTGTTACTTTCAATTATGAAAAACAGTTTGCAGAAACACCAGTTAAGAGCCACGTTTAGCGCTCTGCGCCACACATTTAGAGTGGTAATGCGTACAGTCCACACGGTGTCAGTGTCACATCAGCGTAGATGGTGGCGTTGTGGTTCTGGCCCAGCCTTTGAAAATGATTTCTATGCGGTTCGGTGTGGAGACCTAGCGTTCAGACAAAGATATGAGTCAGTTTAACGAGCGAGTGGATGCAAGAGGGACACTGGATCCATTTTAAACAGGATTAAAAAATATAACAGTTTTGTTTTGCGAGCTGTGTGGCTACATTTACGTTTTTACACCCAAACCGGGACCATGGGAGCCAAAGGACAAAGCCGAAGGAAACGGCTCTTTTGTGTCGCCATTACTTTGTTCGTGACGCTCAGCTGCGTGGAGCCGATTTCAGCTCAGATTAAATATTCCATTGCGGAGCAAACGGACGTTGGATCTGTGGTTGGGAATGTTGCCAAAGATCTGGGATTGGACGTTAGTTCTTTGGAAGGAAGGCAGTTTCGGATTGTTTCAGGGTCGGATGATGATCAGTTTAAAGTAAATCCGAGCAATGGCGTCTTGTCTTTGCAGGGGACTTTAGACAGAGAGCAACTGTGCGAGAGCGTTTCTCCGTGTTTGGTCAATCTGAAAATGGTGGCTAACAATCCCATGGAAATACATCACGTTGGAGTGGAAATTATAGATGTCAATGATAATTCACCCCGTTTTCAGGAAGAAGAAAAAACTATTGAGATCTCAGAGTCCACTCTCCCAGGTAAACGTTTCCAGCTGCCAACGGCTCGTGATCCAGATGTGTCTATTAATTCAGTACGTGTTTATAAATTAAATCATAATGAACATTTTAGTTTACAAATTCGAGAAAGGGGAGAGGACAAAATGCCATTCCTGGTTTTGCAAAAGTCGTTGGATCGAGAAAAGAACAACGAGCACAAACTGGTTTTAACAGCTTTAGACGGTGGAAATCCTCCAAGATCAGGAACTCTAAACATTACAGTACATGTTCTTGATTCTAATGATAATAATCCCACATTCAGTCAAGAAGTTTATTCAGTAACAATCCCTGAAAACATCAAAGCTGATACCAGTGTAATAACAGTAACTGCGACTGATCCGGATGAAGGTGTAAATGGAGATATAGAATTTTACTTTGTTGGTGAACTTGATCCCAAAATTTCGGACTTGTTTAGTTTAGATAAAATCAGTGGTGAAATTAGAGTAAAGGGGAACATAGACTTTGAAGAGACTGATATGTTTAAACTAGATGTGCACGCCACTGACAGAGGACACCCTCCTATGAGCAGTGATTGCAGAGTGATCATTAAAGTATTAGATGAAAATGACAACAAACCCGAGATAGAAGTGACATCTCTTTCTAAACTGGTGTCAGAAGACTCCAAGCCTGGGACTGTGGTGTCTTTAATCAGCGTCACAGATCAGGACTCAAACTTAAATGGTAAAGTGATTTGTAGTCTTTCAGATAATGTCCCATTTGAATTAAAACCATCCTTCCAAGATAACATGTACTCTTTAGTTTTAAAACAGCATTTGGACCGAGAGGCAGCTTCACATTATGAGATCACATTAACAGCTACAGACTGTGGTCAGCCTCCTCTGTCCACATTCAGAACTCTGAGTGTTGATGTCTCAGATGTAAATGATAACAAGCCTGAGTTTTCACATAATCCGATGGAACTTTATTTAACAGAAAATAACATTCCTGGTAACTCCATATTTTGTGTTTCTGCTTCTGATAAAGACCTGGGTGATAATGCAGCAGTACATTATCATTTAGTCAGAGAGGAGAGCAGCCAAATGAAAATCACCGCATTTTTAAACATAAACTCAGAAAACGGAGAAATATCCGCGCTGAAAAGTTTTGACTTTGAAACTGTGAAAACGTTCCAGTTCCAAGTTGTGGCCTCAGACTCTGGAAGTCTGTCCCTGAGCAGCAACGTGACAGTGAACGTGTTCATTCTGGATCAGAACGACAACGCTCCAGTCATCCTGTATCCAGTCAGCTCCAACGGTTCTGCTGAAGGTGTGGAGGAGGTTCCCCGCAACGTGAACGCAGGACACTTGGTGACTAAAGTCAGAGCCTATGATGCTGATATAGGATATAATGGCTGGCTGCTGTTCTCGCTGCAGGAAGTGATTGACCACAGTCTGTTTGGTTTGGACCGCTACACAGGACAGATCAGAACACTTCGCTCATTCACAGAGACGGACGAGGCTGAGCATAAACTGCTCATCCTGGTCAAAGACAATGGCAACGTTTCACTGTCAGCAACAGCTACTGTCATTGTCAAAGTGGTGGAGCCCAAAGAGGCTTTTGCAGCTTCTGATGTGAAGAGTTCAGCCAAAGATGATGAGGAGACTGATGTGACTTTTTACCTGATGATCACTTTGGGCTCAGTGTCGGTTCTGTTCCTCATCAGCATCATCGTGCTGATTGCAATGCAGTGCTCCAAGTCCACAGAATATACTTCTAAATATCTCCAAGAGGCTAATTATGATGGGACACTGTGTCACAGCATCCAGTACAGATCTGGAGACAAACGCTACATGTTAGTAGGACCCAGGATGAGTGTAGGATCTACTATAGTACCTGGAAGTCACGCAAACACTCTGGTGCTGCCTGACAGGAGGAAAACCTCTGATGAGGTAAGACACTATCTGGTATTTATTTAAACATATTTCACCAAAATCCTTTTATGAAATTATTTTCATGCACAATTTCATCAACATTGACAGAGAAGTATTGTTGTGTGACTCATTCAGTCATGTTTCATAGAGTTTGTATCACAGTTTTTGGATAAGTGTTGCTTTGCTTTTGTTTGTTGAGAATATTTATTCATTAATATTTTTACTATTATTTAAACGAAATTTATTTCATTAATAAGTGCATACAACTGCACTTTGCCTATTTTTAAGAGCATCTCCATAAAAACAATTGGTGCATCTCCTGGGGTTACTACGCCTTAAATAAATGTCTAAATAAATAAATAAATACGTCATAATTACACCTGCCAGCGTTTTTTCTTTTTTGAATATTAAGTTCACACATCAAACAGCATACACACACACACACACACACAATATATATATATATATATATATATATATATATATATATATATATATATATATATATATATATATATATACATATATATATATATATATATATACGTATATATTTAAACTTATCGAAACAGCTTAATTTTTACAGTCTTTTCTCTGTTAAATTAGACATCAATAATGAATTCACTTCCTTGCCTTTGTTGTATATCTTTAAAAAAGCAGAACTCATCGGTTACTACTCTGGAGGATTTGAACAAACTTATTCCATTCAGCATTAAATGTGTTTTGCTGATCTGCTTTTTAACTACATTGTGAAATTTGTTCGTGCTTAAATGTGAGGAAGAAAATAATTAGTAAGTCTAACATGTATTTTTATCAAGTCACATATTATATTTGCTAATTAAACTATTGGTGGCACTGCAGTACCAAGAAAATAAACGTTTGCCCCTCCCTTTCTGAAGTCTTTGTTTGGCGTGTAAATGCAGACATGGGACGCATTATAGCGTCCTGCTGCTGCGCAATTACCGAGGCAGACAGCTCAGCTTTCCGTTACTAGTATGATACGCTGTTCCTAAATATATATATAATGGGGACTAATATGCGAAGCAGAGCAAGTGATTATGGAATATTTTCCTTACGCACATTTATTTTTTTCATTATCGGAAAACAGGCCTTTGCGCAGATCCGGTATGTTGTTCCGGAGGAGGTGAAAGAAGGATCGATTGTTGGAAATGTGGCAAAAGATCTTGGCCTTGATGTTACTCTGTTAACCAGTCGACGTTTCCGCGTTGTGTATGGATCTAAGGATGCGTTTTTTGATGTGAACCAGGACACCGGAGATCTTGTTCTCCGCCAGAAAATCGACAGAGAGGAGCTTTGTGATGGGAGTGGTGCGTGCTTAATGGAGCTCAAAATCCTGGTGGAAAACCCGTTGGAAATGCATTATGTGGTTGTGGAGATTTCTGACGTAAACGATCACTCGCCTAAATTTCCAGAAGAAGCGCAGGTATTTGAAATCTTTGAACAAACGTTATCTGGAGCAAGTTTTCAGCTCCACGCTGCTCGGGATCCCGATGCTGGATCTAATTCCATACGTACGTACTCATTAACGTCAAATGAGCACTTTGAGCTAGATATCCGTCAGAGTGATGAGGAAAAAATCCCGTTTTTAGTGCTGAAGAAGCCGTTAGACAGAGAAGAGATTAGTAATCACTCATTCTATGTAACAGCTCTGGATGGAGGCAAACCCCCGAGATCAGGAACATTGAATATTTCTGTGATTGTCCTCGACAGTAATGATAACCGACCGAAGTTTAGCCAAGAAATCTATCAAATTGAAGTAGAAGAAAATCTTTCTCCTTACACATCATTATTCAAACTGAATGCGACGGATTCTGATGAAGGCTTAAACAGTGAAATTACATACAATCTGGGGAAAGCACTTAAGAAAAAAGGTTCTGACACTTTTGAATTGGACAAAATCACTGGAGAGTTACGTCTAAAAGGAACAGTAGACTATGAAGAAAACAAAATTTATAAATTGGATATTGAGGCAACTGATAAAGGAACTCCTCCTCTAACCAGTAGTTGCAGACTCATTATTAAGATAAAAGATTTAAATGATAATCCACCTGAAATAGAAATCACCTCCCTGTCAAACATTGTGTCTGAAGACTCCAAACCTGGAACAGTTATATCACTGCTTAGTGTGACTGATAAAGACTCTGGACTAAATGGAAAAATAAATACCAGAATAGAAGCTAATGGACCTTTTGGATTAAAACCGTCATATAAAGAAAACATTTATTCAGTTGTCACTAAAGGACATTTAGATCGAGAGGAGGTGTCTCAGTATGAAATAACAGTGAAAGCTACAGACTGTGGTGAGCTTCCTTTATCCACTTTTAAAAGTTTCAGCATCCAGATATCTGATGTAAATGACAACAGTCCCCAGTTTCCACAAAATCCATTACAGTTTTACCTGCTAGAAAATAATGCAGCTGGAACTTGTGTTTTTTCTGTTAGCGCTACAGACAAGGATGCAAACGAAAATGCAGTAATTTCATTTCATATTAGAAGAGAAGCTAATAAAAACGAGATTTTGTCCTTCTTAAACATAAACCCAGAAAATGGAGAAATAACAGCTCTGAAAAGTTTCGACTTTGAAACTGTGAAAACGTTCCAGTTCCAAGTTGTGGCCTCAGACTCTGGAAGTCCGTCCCTGAGCAGCAACGTGACAGTGAACGTGTTCATTCTGGATCAGAACGACAACGCTCCAGTCATCCTGTATCCAGTCAGCTCCAACAGTTCTGCTGAAGGTGTGGAGGAGGTTCCCCGCAACGTGAACGCAGGACACTTGGTGACTAAAGTCAGAGCCTATGATGCTGATATAGGATATAATGGCTGGCTGCTGTTCTCACTGCAGGAAGTGACTGACCACAGTCTGTTTGGTTTGGACCGCTACACAGGACAGATCAGAACACTTCGCTCATTCACAGAGACAGACGAGGCTGAGCATAAACTGCTCATCCTGGTCAAAGACAATGGCAACGTTTCACTGTCAGCAACAGCTACTGTCATTATCAAAGTGGTGGAGCCCAAAGAGGCTTTTGCAGCTTCTGATGTGAAGAGTTCAGCCAAAGATGATGAGGAGACTGATGTGACTTTTTACCTGATGATCACTTTGGGCTCAGTGTCGGTTCTGTTCCTCATCAGCATCATCGTGCTGATTGCAATGCAGTGCTCCAAGTCCACAGAATATACTTCTAAATATCTCCAAGAGGCTAATTATGATGGGACACTGTGTCACAGCATCCAGTACAGATCTGGAGACAAACACTACATGTTAGTAGGACCCAGGATGAGTGTAGGATCTACTATAGTACCTGGAAGTCACGCAAACACTCTGGCGCTGCCTGACAGGAGGAACACTTCTGATGAGGTAAGATGAGAACATGTCTCAATTGAATTTAGCGTTTTTATTTGTGTGAGGAAATGTTTGTGTTAAATGTTAGGAACATTCAGATAGTCACGCCTCTCGCGCAGTTGCTTCACCAAGTAACACCAAAACGTTGCAGCTTTGCTGATTCTAAATCTTTTCAGATTTTGTTTCACTTTACTGAGAGTCAGAAAGTTTAAAATGAATTATCAATGCACTTGTTTAGTTTTGAATTTCTCGAATAATGTACTGAAAAGTGACCATCCAATCAACTTTCATCTCTAAAACATACAATTCCTGAATGCTTTCATTATTACACATTTTATTGTTCACTGTAGTGAATTTCTCTGTAAGTAATTATTTGGACTGTTATTTAATCAATTACTGTCATTGGCACTACGGTTTTAATTACTAACAATACCCTTTGATATTTCTGAGTAATTTGATAGAGTTGTCAACCAATACCCAACTTATGAGGACTTTTCAGCATGTTTGCACAAAGGAGTATTTTTATTTCTTTGACTTTTATAATAACTGGGGTTTAACGTGAATATTTGGGCAATCCGTGAAGAAAGCTCTCCCAAAAAAGTTTTATCTTTCTCTGGCGCTGTCTTTGGTCCTGAAATATTACAACGCTCAGCATTCTGGGTTTCAGAGTACTGTCTTATGTCTTTCATGGAGCGGTGTTCAACGGATTGTAATAATAAAGTCTATATTTTACATAGTCCATTTTCAACCAGCTATGAGTTTGGCACCTTGAGATTTTAGGTTTACTAGACTTTGTAACTGTACTCAGCACTATTTTAGCTCATTGTAGTTCAACACTTTGCATAATATGCATACAAATATTGAAATGTCTAGCCCTTTGATGCATGAATTATGAAATCTTCAACCATGATTTTTTTAACCATTTTTTTCATTCATCTTTAGTTGTGAATGAAAAAAATTTCAACAATTTTTTTACCATTTAATAATTTACAAATAATTTATTACATGTCCACCTCAGTGGTCAGCGTGCGTTCTGAACATGAAATATGGTGGCTTGACTTACTGAAGTCCAAATGGAGGGGCTGAAATGCAATAAAGTCTTCAACAGCTGTGCTTAATAGCAAAAAAAAAATAAAATAAAAATAAAAAAATTGAGTACCTGTCCACTGTAGTGACCGTTAAGTTAATACCACGTGTTAATTTAACCCATCTAAGGGTTAAATTAACACGTATAAACAATGGCGAACAGCCATGAAAAATCACATATTTTAAATTAGGTCGAAATTTTTTCAAATACCTTTGTGTGTGTATTTTATAAAATGACTTTTAATATGCCTTGATCAAAGATAATTTGACCAATGGAGTTTATTTGGTTACTTTCCTACCAGATTCGTTATGGTTTCATTTAATTTTTGTAATTTTTGCACCTGATAAACTAGTTTATTTCATGGTTCCCTAAACGACTCATAACTAAAATCCTTGTCGACGAGGTGTCAGTGTCATCTTTGGATAATTTGTTGAGTTAAATATTGCCCAGCCCATTCCACAAATGTTTTGTTCAGCTCAGCATAAAGAAGACGGTGCGTTGGAAAGTGCGTTGGAAATCAGGACTCGTCCTTGCTGTCGTTACCAATAATATGAAGTGAGGAGTCTACCCATTCCCTTTTAAATCAGGGCATCATGACAGATCATCTTTACGATCCTGTGACTGGATTTGTATTATAATGTTTTTGTTTAATCTGAAACAATGGGATCAGAAAGGAAACCCCATTCTTGGTGTGTCGCCCTCGGTTTTTCCGTGATCCTTAGCTGCGTGCCATGGATTTCCACTCAGATCAAATATTTAATTCCAGAAGTAGTAAAAGTGAGATCCGTCATTGGTAATGTTGCAAAGGATCTGGGACTGGACACACACACGTTGGATAAGCAAGGATTTTGGATCATTTCGGGAACCAAAGATGCTCTGTTTGAAGTCAGCCAGAACAATGGCGTGTTGTATGTGCATATGATCATAGACAGAGAAAGAGTCTGTGGGAGCATTTCCCCCTGTATGACGAATCTAAAATTAGTAGGCGAGAATCCACTGGAAATACATGTTGTTGGAGTGGAAATTGTTCTCCGAGTTTTTATGAGGAAGAGAAAATATTTGAAATCGCAGAAACCACTCCTCCAGGTAAACGCTTCCAGCTTCCAACAGTGCGTGATCCAGATATGAGCATCAATGCAGTGCGTGTTTATAAATTAAATACTAATGAACATTTTAACTTGGAAATTCGAGAAAGAGGAGATGATAAAGTACCACTTTTAGTCCTACAAAAGTTGTTGGATCGAGAAAAGAACAACGAGCACAAACTGGTTTTAACAGCTTTTGATGGTGGAAATCCTCCAAGATCAGGAACTCTAAATATTACAGTAGATGTTCTCGATTCTAATGATAATAATCCCATATTCAGTTAGGAAGTTTATTCACTAACAATCCCTGAAAACATCAAATCTGATACCAGTGTAATAACAGTAAATGTGACTGATCCGGATGAAGGTGAATATAGAGATATTGAATATTTCTTTGGTGGTGAACTTGACTTGGATGTTTACAGCTTGCTTAGTCTGGATAAAATGAGTGGCGTCATTAAGGTGAGAGGAGAAATTGATTTTGAAAAAAAGTTTAACTTTATAAATTAGAAGTTCACGCCACTGACAAAGGCCATCCTCCAATGGGTGCAGATTGCAGTGTTATGATTAAATTATTGGATGAAAATGACAACAAACCCGAGATAGAAGTGACATCCCTTTCTAAACTGGTGTCAGAAGACTCCAAGCCTGGGACTGTGGTGTCTTTAATCAGCGTCACAGATCAGGACTCAAACTTAAATGGTAAAGTGATTTGTAGTCTTTCAGATAATGTCCCATTTGAATTAAAACCATCCTTCCAAGATAACATGTACTCTTTAGTTTTAAAACAGCATTTGGACCGAGAGGCAGCTTCACATTATGAGATCACATTAACAGCTACAGACTGTGGTCAGCCTCCTCTGTCCACATTCAGAACTCTGAGTGTTGATGTCTCAGATGTAAATGATAACAAGCCTGAGTTTTCACAGAATCCGATGGAACTTTATTTAACGGAAAATAACATTCCTGGCAACTCCATATTTTGTGTTTCTGCTTCTGATAAAGACCTGGGTGATAATGCAGCAGTACATTATCATTTAGTCAGAGAGGAGAGCAGCCAAATGATGAAGTAAGAATAAAAAAAATCTTATTAAATCTATGCTTTGTGTTCATGTCAGTGGTGTAACCAGAAGTCCGTTTTCATGTCTTATTGTTCCAATGTTAAATATGCAAAGCAGAGACTGAACAAAATTCACACATTTCATTCATGGTAATAAGCTGCTTCAGTTCTTTTTTACCCACTTCATCTCTCTCTCTCCACACACACACACACACACACACACACACACACACACACACACACACACACACACACACACACACACACACACACACACACACACACACACACACACACACACACACACACACACACACACACACACACACACACACACACAAGAATAAGAGTTACTGTTTACCTCGACAGCATGTCACAAATTGTATAAAATAAAATGAAATAGCAAGAATGTTTCTAATTCCCAGTGTTGTATGTGGGATTGGCATGAATAACCCGACTTTTCTGATGCTCTTTGAGTATAAAAAAGATAAAGAAGGCAGGTTAAATAAATAAATAAATAAATAAATAAATAAATAAATAAATAAATAAATAAATAAAGATATCTTTTACCAAAGACTCTGGCCTGTAGGAATAATTATTTAGCTAAGATAACAGTTCAGTTTCAGCGGTTTAAGATGGGTTAATAAATAACTAAATGGTTGCAGTTTTAAAATACAAAACATTGACTCCTAAATAATCCCAAGCCTCCAGGCGTCAGTATTACATCGAGAAACCGAAACATGGTTGTCCATCCCCTCACAGACCTTTTGTTTTCTGCTGAACGGAGAAAAGGCGACACCTGATTTGGTTCTGACGCCCGATCAGAGCGTGTTTAGTAATAAAACATTTGCGAAACGGAATGAAGGTGACATTCTAGTTTTTGTGTATTGAGTGAAATACGCACGGCTGTCGAAGGAGGATGGAGAACGAACGGACGAGTCCAGGACGGGATTGTTTCTGGTTTGCTTTGTGTTTGGCCTTGTTCTGGTTCGTCGGAGATCAGGCCGTAGCGGAAACGAGATACTCAGTTGCAGAGGAGGTGAGAGACGGAACGATTGTGGGAAATGTTGCAAAGGATCTGGGCCTTGAGATCACCTCTTTGCCTGGCCGACGGTTCCGCGTTGTGTCGGAAAGTGAGGACGCATATTTTGGCGTAAACCAGGACAACGGGGATCTGTATGTGCTGAGGAAAATCGACAGAGAGGAGCTTTGTCAGGGAAGCGGTGTGTGTTTGATGGAGCTGAAGATCATCGTGGAAAACCCACTGGAGATCCATTATGTGGCTGTAGAAATCAGGGATGTAAATGATCACTCCCCTGTTTTCCCCGAGACGGAGCAGAGATTTAAAATTGGAGAACAGACGTTACCAGGAAGAAGATTCCAGCTCCACGCTGCTCGTGATCCCGATGCTGGATCTAATTCCATTCGTACGTATTCCTTAACATCTAACGAGCACTTTGAATTAGATATTCATAGTGATGAGGAGAAAATCCCGTTTTTAGTGCTGAAGAAGCCGTTAGACAGGGAAATGAGGAGTAATCACTTGCTGTATGTAACCGCTCTGGATGGAGGCAAACCTCAGAGATCAGGAACATTAAATATTTCTGTGACTGTCCTCGACAGTAACGATAACCGACCGAAATTTAGTCAAGAAGTCTATCAGATTGAAATAGAAGAAAATGCTCCAATCGGAATTTCTATATTTAAAGTAAATGCGACTGATACGGACGAAGGTTTAAATTGCCAGCTTGAATATAGTCTGGGGAAAACACTTAAAAAGAAAGTCTATGACAATTTTGATCTTGACAAAATAACAGGGGAAATAAGAGTAAAAGGTGGGATTGACTATGAGGAAAATGATGTTTATAAACTGGACATTGAGGCATCTGATAAAGGAACTCCCCCCTTAACAGGCGAGTGTAGACTTGTTATAAAGATAAAAGATTTAAATGATAATCCCCCTGAAATAGAAATCACCTCCCTGTCAAATACAGTGTGTGAAGACTCCAAACCTGGAACGATGATTTCTCTTATCAGTGTAAAAGATAAAGATTCAGGCCTGAATGGAAAAGTACTTTCGAGCATAACTTCAGATGTTCCTTTTGAACTGAAGCCATCTTACAAAGAGAATATTTATTCAGTTGTTACAAAGACAACTCTAGACCGAGAGAATATTTCACATTATGAAATAACCATAAAGGCATCTGACTGTGGTGAGCCTCCATTAACAAATTTTAAAACTCTCCATATTAAAGTCACAGACATAAATGACAATCCACCTAGATTTTTAGAAAGTCCCATAAACGTTTATCTGACAGAAAATAATCTAGCGGGATCATCAATATTCAGTGTGAGCGCAACAGACAGGGATGTAAATGCAAATGCAGCTATTTCCTATTATATTATGAGAAAAGAAAATCAAAAAGACGTTTTGTCATTCCTCAATGTAAACTCCGAAAATGGACAAATAACAGCTCTGAAAAGTTTCGACTTTGAAACTTTGAAAACGTTCCAGTTCCAAGTTGTGGCCTCAGACTCTGGAAGTCCGTCCCTGAGCAGCAACGTGACAGTGAACGTGTTCATTCTGGATCAGAACGACAATGCTCCAGTCATCCTGTATCCAGTCAGCTCAAACGGTTCTGCAGAAGGTGTGGAGGAGGTTCCCCGCAACGTGAACGCAGGACACTTGGTGACTAAAGTCAGAGCCTATGATGCTGATATAGGATATAATGGCTGGCTGCTGTTCTCACTGCAGGAAGTGACTGACCACAGTCTGTTTGGTTTGGACCGCTACACAGGACAGATCAGAACACTTCGCTCATTCACAGAGACAGACGAGGCTGAGCATAAACTGCTCATCCTGGTCAAAGACAATGGCAACGTTTCACTGTCAGCAACAGCTACTGTCATTGTCAAAGTGGTGGAGCCCAAAGAGGCTTTTGCAGCTTCTGATGTGAAGAGTTCAGCCAAAGATGATGAGGAGACTGATGTGACTTTTTACCTGATGGTCACTTTGGGCTCAGTGTCGGTTCTGTTCCTCATCAGCATCATCGTGCTGATTGCAATGCAGTGCTCCAAGTCCACAGAATATACTTCTAAATATCTCCAAGAGGCTAATTATGATGGGACACTGTGTCACAGCATCCAGTACAGATCTGGAGACAAACGCTACATGTTAGTAGGACCCAGGATGAGTGTAGGATCTACTATAGTACCTGGAAGTCACGCAAACACTCTGGTGCTGCCTGACAGGAGGAACACTTCTGATGAGGTAAGACAAATCCATAATTCCCTGCTTTGTTTTTGACATGTTCTGTGCTGGCTTTGTTTCAATTGCTTTTCGGTTTTCATTCAGAGAAGATGGATCGGTGTTTGGTTTTGCCTGAAGGCCTTTTAGTACCTTTATTCTCTATGATTCAAGATATTTCTCGCGATATGTTTCATTAGTTTATGCAAACTATCGGTGCTCTGGTTGTACTGATAGTAATGTAAAGAATCATGGAGCTGTTTCTGCTCTGGTGACCATAGGATAATCGGTCGCTGTCCCTGGTGCTGAAAATGTCACTCGTTTGAAAATCTAACATGAACCCCTAAATAGAACAACGTCCTTGTCAGTTTTTATAAATAAAATAGCTGAGAACTCCATGATGAATCCAATAACAGGATTGATGTTGTGGTGTCACGTGACTTTTCGGGAATGCAGTCAAAGCGTTTGCTTTGGTGGAAGCGTTTACCGTAATCCTTTTTTTATGATTTGAATGTGTACCTCATACCAAATATTTGTTTTTTAATAGGGCATGTTGTAAGCATGGATTTATGCACTAGGTGTCAGCCTTACATCAGGGAACGGGTGACGCGTCACACTGAGCAGACTCTGCCCCTAATATTTTTACCCTCCGTTCAACCACAAAGAACGGCATCGTTTGTGGATACCGCACTCGATTTCTCTTCCCATCCAGATTCTATACATTTACTGCCCGTGACGTTTGAGATTTTTTACTGGGATATATATGTTTTATTTATTTATTTATTTTTTTTTTTTTGATGGACGTAGATTTTTTTTTTTTTTTTTTGGTTTTTTAGGGGAGACAAAAGGCAAAGAAGCAAAATGACGGACCGGTCACGGCTTCTGCTCTTCTTTCTGCTTTTATGCCACAGTGAGCTGGTTTTAGCGCAAATAAAATATTCCACACCCGAGGAAGTGAAAGTGGGAGCTGCTATTGGAAATGTTGCTAAAGATCTGGGTCTCGATGTCAGTTCACTGATAAGCAGGCGTGTTCGGATTGTTTCTGGAGCTGACGGCGCTCTGTTTGAGGTAAACCCGAACAATGGGGTTCTTTATGTTCATATGAAAATTGACCGCGAGCAGTTGTGCGATAGGAATGCTGCGTGTTTAACAGACTTGAAACTGGTTGTAGAAAATCCGCTTGAGGTGCATTATGTCACTGTGGAAATAATAGATTCAAACGATCACACACCGAGTTTTACAGAAAAGGAAAAGGTAATAGAAATAGCGGAGTCGACTGCGCCTGGCGCCCGCTTTCAGTTATCATTAGCACGTGATCCGGATGTTGGAATTAATTCTGTCCAGCGGTACAAGCTGAGTCAAAACGATCATTTCCAACTGGAAATCAGGGATAGAGATGAGGATAAAATCCCCTTTTTGGTGCTGCAGCAGCAGCTAGACAGAGAGCAGAAAACGAACCACAGCTTGCTTTTAACCGCTATAGACGGAGGAACACCACCACGATCAGCTAATCTTAATATTACAGTTAAAGTTCTTGATATAAATGATAACAGACCCACATTTTCTAAAGACATTTATTCTGTTACACTGCAAGAAAATGCCGCAGTAAATGCGATAGTTCTAAACGTGCAGGCAACGGATCTAGATGAAGGAACTAATGGAGAGGTGCAGTACGCATTCGGCGGTGACATTAATTCGAGAGTGTTACAGCTATTCAGTTTAGACAAACAGACAGGGGAGATTCGAGTGAAAGGATTGATTGATTATGAGACTGCTAATGTTTACAAGTTAGACGTGCAGGCCTCTGACAAAGGCTCTCCACCAATGAAAACGGACTGCAGGGTTATAATCAAGATTCAAGATAAAAATGACAATAAGCCGGAAATAGAAATCACATCTTTATCCAGCACGGTACCGGAGGACTCCAAACCCGGTACCGTGATCGCCCTCATCAGTGTTTCAGACAGCGATTCGGGACTGAATGGTAAAGTCTTGTGCCGTCTGACAGAACACGTGCCGTTTGAACTGAAGCCATCATTTAAAGAAAACATGTATTCCTTAGTAACAAAAGAAGCTTTAGACAGGGAAGCTGTGTCGCATTATGATGTTTTTATAACCGCTACAGATTGCGGCGAACCTCCTCTTTCTGCATTAAAAGCTTTGGGCATCCGAGTGTCAGATGTGAACGACAACGCTCCCGAGTACCCTCACAGTCCGCTCGAGTTATATCTGACAGAAAACAATCCTCCCGGAGGATCTTTATATTCAGTGAGCGCGTGTGATATGGATTTGAACGAAAATGCGGTCGTTTCCTATCGGGTAATAAAAGGCGAGAGCGGTCATAAAGACATGGCATCTTTTCTGAACATTAACTCGGAAAACGGAGAAATATCAGCGCTAAAAAGTTTCGACTTTGAAACTTTGAAAACGTTCCAGTTCCAAGTTGTGGCCTCAGACTCTGGAAGTCCGTCCCTGAGCAGCAACGTGACAGTGAACGTGTTCATTCTGGATCAGAACGACAATGCTCCAGTCATCCTGTATCCAGTCAGCTCAAACGGTTCTGCAGAAGGTGTGGAGGAGGTTCCCCGCAACGTGAACGCAGGACACTTGGTGACTAAAGTCAGAGCCTATGATGCTGATATAGGATATAATGGCTGGCTGCTGTTCTCACTGCAGGAAGTGACTGACCACAGTCTGTTTGGTTTGGACCGCTACACAGGACAGATCAGAACACTTCGCTCATTCACAGAGACAGACGAGGCTGAGCATAAACTGCTCATCCTGGTCAAAGACAATGGCAACGTTTCACTGTCAGCAACAGCTACTGTCATTGTCAAAGTGGTGGAGCCCAAAGAGGCTTTTGCAGCTTCTGATGTGAAGAGTTCAGCCAAAGATGATGAGGAGACTGATGTGACTTTTTACCTGATGATCACTTTGGGCTCAGTGTCGGTTCTGTTCCTCATCAGCATCATCGTGCTGATTGCAATGCAGTGCTCCAAGTCCACAGAATATACTTCTAAATATCTCCAAGAGGCTAATTATGATGGGACACTGTGTCACAGCATCCAGTACAGATCTGGAGACAAACGCTACATGTTAGTAGGACCCAGGATGAGTGTAGGATCTACTATAGTACCTGGAAGTCACGCAAACACTCTGGTGCTGCCTGACAGGAGGAACACTTCTGAGGAGGTAAGAATAACTTTCTTTCTTCAAGATTTATTTTTTTCAATACTGAGCAACTAGAAACTCCCGTTCCTTTGAAAAGTTTCAACTGTTTACTATTCTGGTCAAAATAGGAGATCGCTGCAAACATTTTTGTCACTTAATAGTATTTTTTTTCTTTTTTCTATTTTTTTCTTTTTTGATACAAACGGCCGCTCAATGCTACGGCTGACATATTCTGAGTTGGATCACAGACCATTTGCAACCCAATGCAAGAAATGGAAGACAATTTAAACGTTTTATTTTGTGTGTGTGTGTGTGTGCGTGCGTGCGTGCGTGCGTGTGTGTGTATGTGTGTAAGTGTGTGTGCGCGCGCGTAAACGCGCGTTTGTGCACATTCACGCTGGAACAAATGAATCGAGCAAATGTTTAGAGCTTCTTTCACGACCTCTGTCCATGGTTCTGAAAAGACTGATTGCCTCGTAATTAAATTTTTAAACAAATGGAGAGGTTTTGTTTTTTATACGCTTTTTATTAGATCTATTTGTGTTTGTTGGATTTTGTTTAAATTGTTTGATGTGAAGCTTTAAGAAAAAAAAATAGTGAAAGAGAATTCGAAGATTGGCTCATTATAAATTTCAATAATATATAATAAAGATGTAAAATAAAAATAGAAGCTTTAAATTTAAAATTATATGTAGGAAATGTACAATTTGATAATGAGGAGCAACTTTTCTGTTTTTTGCAAAAGTAAAATTTACTATTGCATTTTAGTTCAAGTAATTTTTAAACTTTATATGTATATATCAAACATGTTCATCCGTGCTTTTGTTAACATAACTTAAGTAGGACGTTCAATTATTTGAAAATTTTCTAAAATAATTGTGTGTTCGGATAATTTAAGTGTTTAGTTTTGTTTGTAAATTTCCTCTGGGTGTCACTGTTACATGGTAACGAGAGGACACCATCACTCCCCTATCCAGGCTTTTTGTGTGAAAGGGACACAGAGAACATTAAAACCAAACTGAACCGATGGACGGACGCGCTGCATCCACTGATTAATTGCTTACGGGAAAAAATGCAAGATAATCATCATTTGTGGAAGTGAGTCTTCTCATAATTGCTTGTTTTTCTGGATTATAATGGAGACTGCTACAATGGCTCGAACCGGGAGCTGGTTCTGCTTCTCTCTCCGTTGTGTTTTGCTGCTTCTCGCCTGGAAACAGGGTTGCGCTCAGATCCGATACTCGATTGCGGAGGAGGTTAAAGACGGAACTGTTGTTGGGAATGTTGCTAAAGATCTGGGACTGGACATCACCTCTCTGACTGACCGACGGTTTCGGGTTGTTTCTGGAAGTAAGGAGGATTTATTTGCGGTAAACCAGAACAATGGGCTCCTTTACGTCCACGGTAAAATAGACAGGGAGGAGCTTTGTCAGGGGAGCGGTGCGTGTTTAACAAAACTTAAAATTCTGGTTGAAAATCCGTTAGAAATGCATTACGTATCAGTTGAGATAACAGATGTAAACGACCACGCTCCTATTTTTTCTGAAAACCAGCAGACATTTGAAATAGGGGAGATTACGCAGCCAGGAAGGAGGTTTAAGCTTCATGCTGCTCGCGATCCCGACGCAGGGATGAACTCTATCCGCACATACACGTTAACCTCAAATGATCACTTTGAATTAGACATCAGTCAAAGTGATGATGATAAAATACCGTTTTTAGTTTTGAAGAAATCCTTAGACAGAGAACACACATCTAATCATTCACTGGTGGTCACAGCTGTAGATGGAGGCAAGCCTCCAAGATCCGGGACATTAAACATCTCCGTTATTGTTCTAGATATAAATGACAATCGCCCAAGATTTCTGCAGGACTCATATCAAGTTTCGATAAAAGAAAATATTCCACCTGGTACCGTAATACTCCTAATGAATGCGACAGATCCTGACGATGGTGAGAATGGAGAAATTGGATACAATTTTGCCAAAACCTTAAGAAAAAATATTTATGAGCGTTTTGACCTTGACAAATTAAGTGGTAAAATTACAGTAAAGGGGCTCTTGGATTATGAGGACAGTGATATTTATAAATTAGACATTGAGGCATCAGATAGAGGGACACCTCCACTGACAGGAGAGTGTAGTGTTATTATAAAACTCATAGATGTGAATGATAATCCACCTGAAATAGAATTAACTTCAAAGTCAAACATAGTGTCTGAAGACTCCAAACCTGGAACAGTTATATCACTGCTTAGTGTGACTGATAAAGACTCTGGACCTAATGGAAAAATATTTACAAGCATAGAAGCCAATGGACCTTTTGAATTGAAATCTTCATACGAGGAGAATATTTATTCAGTTGTCACTAAAGGACATTTAGACCGAGAGGAGGTGTCACTGTATGAAATAACAGTGAAAGCTACAGACTGTGGTGAGCCTCCTTTATCCTCTTTTAAAACATTCAGCATCCAGATATCTGATGTAAATGACAACAGTCCCCAGTTTCCACAAAATCCATTACAGTTCTACCTGCTAGAAAATAATGTAGCTGGAATGGCACTGTTTTCTGTTAGTGCAAAAGACAAGGATACGAATGAAAATGCGGAGATTTCATATCATATTGCCAGAGACAGGGACAGTAACAACATGCTCTCATTCTTGAACATAAACTCAGAAAATGGACAAATAACAGCTCTGAGAAGCGTTGACTTTGAAACTGTGAAAACGTTCCAGTTCCAAGTTGTGGCCTCAGACTCTGGAAGTCCGTCCCTGAACAGCAACGTGACAGTGAACGTGTTCATTCTGGATCAGAACGACAACGCTCCAGTCATCCTGTATCCAGTCAGCTCCAACGGTTCTGCTGAAGGTGTGGAGGAGGTTCCCCGCAACGTGAACGCAGGACACTTGGTGACTAAAGTCAGAGCCTATGATGCTGATATAGGATATAATGGCTGGCTGCTGTTCTCACTGCAGGAAGTGACTGACCACAGTCTGTTTGGTTTGGACCGCTACACAGGACAGATCAGAACACTTCGCTCATTCACAGAGACAGACGAGGCTGAGCATAAACTGCTCATCCTGGTCAAAGACAATGGCAACGTTTCACTGTCAGCAACAGCTACTGTCATTGTCAAAGTGGTGGAGCCCAAAGAGGCTTTTGCAGCTTCTGATGTGAAGAGTTCAGCCAAAGATGATGAGGAGACTGATGTGACTTTTTACCTGATGATCACTTTGGGCTCAGTGTCGGTTCTGTTCCTCATCAGCATCATCGTGCTGATTGCAATGCAGTGCTCCAAGTCCACAGAATATACTTCTAAATATCTCCAAGAGGCTAATTATGATGGGACACTGTGTCACAGCATCCAGTACAGATCTGGAGACAAACGCTACATGTTAGTAGGACCCAGGATGAGTGTAGGATCTACTATAGTACCTGGAAGTCACGCAAACACTCTGGTGCTGCCTGACAGGAGGAACACTTCTGATGAGGTAAGAATTATTACCTTAAAATTTGTCATTTTTTGGACTGGAACATTTTCAGCAACAGCTGTTTAAGGTTCCATTTGCTCGTAAGTTGTTTTTTCACAAGTAATTTGGCAAACATATTGCTATGTTGCAGATACTTTAGTTGACTTCTTTTTTTTTTGTTGTTGTTGTTGTAATAATTTCGAATGACCGCTTCTGTATTGAGTCTGAATTGATTAGGGTTTCATCGGGCCGCAGACTTTTGTAGGTTTGAATTTGTGGTATGTGGTGATGTGACTTGGTAGAATGTATTCAAACATTGTTCTCGTATTTACTTACCTCTGTCCTTGTTGCTGAAAGAACCTAATGTTTTCTATTTCAACGGATGAGAATGATTTTTGAATAATTATTTGCATTGCTCTATTATTGTTACTTAAACCCAAGGGCGGAAATCCCATTTCAATTTTTTTTTGGGGGGGGGGGGGGGGGGACGATAAACAGTAAAACTTCAGAGAGTAATTTTTGGGGGGGGACATGAAAAAAATGCTCTCTACATACAACACTGTATGTCCTTCTAAGAGACTGACCTGTGACTCTGTACCTGTGTCTGACAGGCTCTGGCTGCCTGTGCTCAAGTGACTGGACTTTGCCTAATGAAACCATTTAGAAACAATTTCATTTCTTTCTTATAGATGTCTTTATCAAAATGCAAGTTTCTACTTACTTGACGTTCTGGAGCATTAAAAAACGACCTGATGTCTGCCGTTTTTCATTTCTCTGCCATTTCAACTGACCTGCTGCTGACAGTTGGACAGCAACACACACACAGATGGGATATTGTCATTAGAGCGGAGCTGGAGGATATTGATCAACAATAATATCTTGCCAATTTTGTACATCTCCATAAGCATCCTTTCTTTTTGTTTTCATTTCAATAACAAGACTGTGGCCTAAATCGGAATAAGCAATTCAGAATAAAGATTTAAAAGTAGATCGTTAATAGTTGAAGCAACATGTCCTGAAATGACATGGCTATTAGCTGACCAACAGCTACATGTGTGGACGGATGTAAAGCATAAATTTTAAGTACTAAAACATATCTAACTTTTTCACAACAAAGAGAGAGAACATAAAATGTCAAATTAAAATGTTATTAAATCAAATATCATGAAAGCTACTAAAATCCAAATAGTTCCATATTGATTTTAATATATTTGAAAATTTCTTCTAAATATGTCTAAAAAATAACAAACTTCAAATCAGCTTTCACAAGTCAAGTATCAAAATGACTGAAATCTCTTTAATAAATCATAGAAATGTTTGTAGGCAATTAGAGAATAACTCTGTAATATTTAATAACTTTATCTAAGTCCTGCTGAACGAAAAGATACACAAAATCTAAAAATATATTCTTGAAATATTTGTTTCATTTTAATAATAAAAATTAAATACATTTACTTTACAAATACACTAAACATATACATACTCTGTAGTTTATCTTTCCGTTTAATCGATCTCTCACTTTTCTCAGTTTTCATAGTGTTTTTGGGTCTGTGTGGCCAACGGGATCTTTGGCTCTATGTTTTACACTGGGAGCTTTGAGCAACGTGCCTCCACCACACATTTGCTGCAACCAGTTCATCCCTAAGCTGCACGGTGCACCTGCACTTTGACATATTGTAAACAACTGTAGAGCCTGGGGAAGACGGGATAAGAGTGGTTAAATGCTGAGGTTTTCCATACATCGGACCAGTAAGTTTTGATTTTACCATATTCAACTGCTAAATAGGATGAAACGCGGACATTTTCATCGATCTATAAATGCTCCGCAGATTCCAGGGGCAGACCGTGAAAGCGTACGTGTCCGGAAAAAGGAACATTTGGTCACCTTAGTGAATGGAATAATAATAGTGGAATAATCCTGGAATGACCAAAGAACATGAAGTGATATATATATATTTTTTTTTTACTGTGGTGGTGGTGGTCTGTTATAAGGGGATCTCCGGCTGGTGATCAAAACCTAAAGCTAATCTGTGTCTACGTTTGACATTTATGACCACATTTGACTTACATATTTAAGTTTGTAGAACAAGCGTGTGATTATTGACTTACTGCTGGAAACTGCTGGCTTTTTGATTCCTGCTTCCCGTGAGCCGGCGGGCTGCTGTGAAGCTGTGAGCGGGGCAAAGCCCGCAGCCCCGCCCGTTGGAAACAGCGTGTGTGGACCGACCGTACCAACTTGAGGAATTGGGGGTGGGGGGTGGGGGGTGGGTGGGAGGGGAACTATAATTTCTCAACAATTAAAAACACATTGTTTTGTATTTGCAGACTAAATTTTACTTTGTGGTTTTAGAAGACAATACAGGTTTACTGATAGCATTTATACATTTACAATAACTTTTGTGTGAGGGGGGCGTGTCCCCCCGTCCCCTTTTGGATCTGAAACTTCAAGATGTGGAAAAATAATTATAAAAAGTAGATCCTTGTAATAACTGAAATGCTTAAATTTAAAATGATTTCAAACTGAACATTTTAAAATATGGAACACGTTTTTACTCTTTTTTAACTTATGACTTATTTAACTTTTTACCTAAAGTGTAACTGAATTTATTGATGGGTTTATTAAATCAATTACCAAACTTTCACTGTCAGACAAGGCAAAATTATGATTACATTTCGAATTTAGTAATTGTCAAACAATTTTTTAAAAATGTAAAACATAATTTCTCGTTGCTGTAAGAGAGCAAATGAACTGTTTAAAATCATAGTTGTGTACAGTCTGAGTGTGTTTTCAAAAGCTGATGAATGAATGGTTACGTTAGTTATTAAAATTTACCTCAGGGTGTCACTGTTACAATTCAAAACAGGACACCATCACTCCCCTTTCTTGGCTTTTTTTTCTTCTTCTTGCCTGAAAGGGACAGAGAGAACATTAAAACCAAGCTGAGCCGATGGACGGACGGGTTGCATCCACTGATTAATTGCTTAAGAAAAAACATATCAAGTAAATTATCATTTGCGGAAGTGAGTCTCTCATAATTGCTTGTTTTTCTGGATTATAATGGAGACTGCTACAACGGCTCGAACCGGGAGCTGGTTTTGCTTCTCTCTCCGTTGTGTTTTGCTGATTCTGGCCTGGAAACAGGGTTGCGCTCAGATCCGATACTCTATTGCGGAGGAGGTTAAAGACGGAACTGTTGTTGGGAATGTTGCTAAAGATCTGGGACTGGACATCACCTCTCTGACTGACCGACGGTTTCGAGTTGTTTCTGGAAGTAAGGAGGATCTATTTGCGGTAAACCGGAACAATGGGCTCCTTTACGTCCACGGCAAAATAGACAGGGAGGAGCTTTGTCAGGGGAGCGGTGCGTGTCTGATGGAGCTAAAAATTCTGGTTGAGAATCCGTTAGAAATGCATTACGTATCAGTTGAGATAACAGATGTAAACGACCACGCTCCTATTTTTTCTGAAAACCTGCAGACATTTGAAATAGGGGAGATTACGCAGCCAGGAAGGAGGTTTAAGCTTCATGCTGCTCGCGATCCCGACGCAGGGATGAACTCTATCCGCACATACACGTTAACCTCAAATGATCACTTTGAATTAGACATCAGTCAAAGTGATGATGATAAAATACCGTTTTTAGTTTTGAAGAAATCCTTAGACAGAGAGCACACATCTAATCATTCACTGGTGGTCACAGCTGTAGATGGAGGCAAGCCTCCAAGATCCGGGACATTAAACATCTCCGTTATTGTTCTAGATATAAATGACAATCGCCCAAGATTTCTGCAGGACTCATATCAAGTTTCTATAAAAGAAAATATTCCACCTGGTACCGTAATACTCCTAATGAATGCGACAGATCCTGACGATGGTGAGAATGGAGAAATTGGATACAATTTTGCCAAAACTTTAAGAAAAAATATTTATGAGCTTTTTGACCTTGACAAATTAAGTGGTAAAATTACAGTAAAGGGGCTCTTGGATTATGAGGACAGTGATATTTATAAATTAGACGTTGAGGCATCAGATAGAGGAACACCTCCACTGACAGGAGAGTGTAGAGTTATTATAAAACTCATAGATGTGAATGATAATCCACCTGAAATAGAAATAACTTCAAAGTCAAACATAGTGTCTGAAGACTCCAAACCTGGAACAGTTATATCACTGCTTAGTGTGACTGATAAAGACTCTGGACCTATTGGAAAAATAATTACAAGCATAGAAGCCAATGGCCCTTTTGAATTGAAATCTTCATATAAAGAAAATATTTATTCAGTTGTCACTAAAGGACATTTAGATCGAGAGGAGGTGTCTCAGTATGAAATAACAGTGAAAGCTACAGACTGTGGTGAGCCTCCTTTATCCACTTTTAAAACATTCAGCATCCAGATATCTGATGTAAATGACAACAGTCCCCAGTTTCCACAAAATCCATTACAGTTTTACCTGCTAGAAAATAATGTAGCTGGAATGGCACTGTTTTCTGTTAGTGCAAAAGACAAGGATGTGAATGAAAATGCAGAAATTTCATATCATATTGCCAGGGACAGGGACAGTAACAACATGCTCTCATTCTTGAACATAAACTCAGAAAATGGACAAATAACAGCTCTGAAAAGTTTTGACTTTGAAACTGTGAAAACGTTCCAGTTCCAAGTTGTGGCCTCAGACTCTGGAAGTCCGTCCCTGAGCAGCAACGTGACAGTGAACGTGTTCATTCTGGATCAGAACGACAACGCTCCAGTCATCCTGTATCCAGTCAGCTCCAACGGTTCTGCTGAAGGTGTGGAGGAGGTTCCCCGCAACGTGAACGCAGGACACTTGGTGACTAAAGTCAGAGCCTATGATGCTGATATAGGATATAATGGCTGGCTGCTGTTCTCACTGCATGAAGTGACTGACCACAGTCTGTTTGGTTTGGACCGCTACACAGGACAGATCAGAACACTTCGCTCATTCACAGAGACAGACGAGGCTGAGCATAAACTGCTCATCCTGGTCAAAGACAATGGCAACGTTTCACTGTCAGCAACAGCTACTGTCATTGTCAAAGTGGTGGAGCCCAAAGAGGCTTTTGCAGCTTCTGATGTGAAGAGTTCAGCCAAAGATGATGAGGAGACTGATGTGACTTTTTACCTGATGATCACTTTGGGCTCAGTGTCGGTTCTGTTCCTCATCAGCATCATCGTGCTGATTGCAATGCAGTGCTCCAAGTCCACAGAATATACTTCTAAATATCTCCAAGAGGCTAATTATGATGGGACACTGTGTCACAGCATCCAGTACAGATCTGGAGACAAACGCTACATGTTAGTAGGACCCAGGATGAGTGTAGGATCTACTATAGTACCTGGAAGTCACGCAAACACTCTGGTGCTGCCTGACAGGAGGAACACTTCTGATGAGGTAAGATAAATAATATATGCTGTCAAATGTTTTAGTCAATGGGTTTTAGTTAAAAACATAAGTATAGGGTAAATGTGCAGATAAAAAAAAAAACATGAACTTTTAACAGGGACATTTACACCTGACAGTGATGATATTTAATTTATTTTAAACCTTGACAATATGAAGCTCTTAAAAATTATTCTTTTATTTATTTATTTATTTATTTATTTATTTATTTATTTATTTATTTATTTATTTATTTATTTATTTATTTATGTATTTATTTATTTATTTATTTATGTATTTATTTATGCAATTTTACAAGTGTGTGTACCTTCTAAATTGTGGTTGGTCCGTTGATGAGAGTTTTGTGTTTGATCTGATTTTCACTACAATTTACCTAACATTTACTGACACAAAATCAAGGCGATCGACACAAAAATATTTTTTGTGTTTTATATACTTTTAACATTTGCATAGACTCATTATTGGCTGTTTTGTATTGTTACGCCTTTGTCTATATGTTTTTGTAAAGCTAATGAGGAGAAAATTAAATCAAACACAAAAAGCAGAACAAAAAGTTCATAAGAGCAGTTTTTACTCAGTTAGAGCAACAAGTGCAGTGGTGTCAGCAGAAACATTCTAGAATTAAGCTGCTATCCGTGGTGCTGAACCCCATTGTGTTTGTCGTTTCCATGCTAACAATGTAAACATATAAATAAAGTGGCATCTGATTAATGGATGGCTCTGTGAGTAGGATTAAAGCAAAGACAAAAACATAAGGAGAATAAGCAATCAATATCTCCATTTGTGACTATTTAAAAAGTAATATGGTGTGTTTGGTTGACAAACTATTAAATTGTACACTTTATGCACTTTTTATGCTAGACTTTAGAGGAACCGTTGTCCTCTTGGTGTCACTGCTATATCACAAACCTAGAGCTAGTCCCTCCCGAGATGAATCTTTTGTTTGGTGCTTCAGAGCAGAGGTACAGTCCATGAAAGCAGGACAGACGAACCAGAGCGAATTTTGAACAGATTGAGAAAAGCAAGGTATAAAACAAAAAGCGGATTTTTCTTAACTGAAAAAAATATATAATGGGGAACAAAAGACGTTTGGGATTGATTGAACTCCGCTGGCTTGGTTTTTTTCTTCTGCTGATTTTCGTGACTCCGGCTGCGGCTGAGCTGAGATACTCCATCCCGGAGGAGGTGAAAGAAGGAACCGTTGTGGGGAACATCGCCAGGGATCTCGGTCTGGACAAAGCGTCTTTGATTGACCGTCGGTTCCGTGTTGTGTCTGGATCTAAGGATGCTTTTTTTGAGGTGAATTCGGACAATGGCGCTTTACAGGTTCGTAAAAAAATTGACAGAGAGGAGCTTTGTCACGGGAGTGGCGCGTGCCTAATGGAGCTGAAACTTCTGGTTGAAAACCCGCTGGAGATGCATCACATCGTTATAGAAATCACTGATGTAAACGACCACCCTCCCAGCTTCTCTGAAAAGGAACAAACCTTTGAAATAGCAGAACATTCGTCACCGGGAACGCGGTTCCAGTTACACGCAGCTCGTGATCCGGATGCGGGTGTGAACTCAATCCGCACATACACGTTAACAGCAAACGATTACTTTGATGTAGAAATAAGTCAAAGTGACGAGGAAAAGGTTCCGTTTTTAGTCTTAAAGAAGTCGCTAGACAGGGAAGAAAAGAACAAACATTTGTTGTTTCTGACAGCAGTTGATGGCGGTAAACCCCCGAGGTCAGGGAGGCTCAATGTCTCCATTGTTGTTCTTGACAGTAACGACAACCTCCCGACGTTCAATAAGGAGACATATCAAGTAGAAATGCAAGAAAATGCGTCCATTGGAACAACTCTGATTAGGATTAGCGCCGTGGACCCAGATGAAGGGATGAATGGGGAAATAGAATACAGCCTGAGTAAAACATTAGCTCGTAGAGTGTATGATTTATTTCACCTGGACAAAGTGAGTGGGGAGATTACTCTAAAAGAAAATCTGGATTTTGAAGATTCAGATACGTTTAAACTAGATGTTCAAGCATCTGACAAAGGGCAGCCTCCACTGATAGGCAGGTGTAGGATTATCATAAAGATAAAAGATGTTAATGATAATGCACCAGAAATAGAGGTCACCTCATTGTCAAATACTGTGCCTGAAGATTCAAAACCAGGAACTGTCATTTCACTAATCAGTGTAACTGATAAAGACTCAGGTGTTAATGGGAAGATCATTTTAAAAATAACAGAAGTAGTACCCTTTGAATTAAAACCATCATATAAGGAGAACATTTATTCTGTTGTCACTAAAGATAATTTTGACAGAGAAGTAGAGCCACAGTATGAAATCATTATAAAAGCAACAGATTGTGGTGAACCTCCTTTGTCTACTTTCAAAACTCTTGGCATTCAAATATCAGATGTAAATGATAACAGGCCTCATTTCTCTCAAAACCCATCACACTTTTATCTAATGGAAAATAATATTGCTGGAGCATCAATATTTTCTCTAACTGCTACAGACAATGATGTGAATGAAAATGCAGCAATTTCATTTCATATAGCCAGGGAGAATGATGTAACAAGCTTCTTAAATATAAACTCAGAAACTGGAGAAATATCCGCGCTGAAAAGTTTCGACTTTGAAACTGTGAAAACGTTCCAGTTCCAAGTTGTGGCCTCAGACTCTGGAAGTCCGTCCCTGAGCAGCAACGTGACAGTGAACGTGTTCATTCTGGATCAGAACGACAACGCTCCAGTCATCCTGTATCCAGTCAGCTCCAACGGTTCTGCTGAAGGTGTGGAGGAGGTTCCCCGCAACGTGAACGCAGGACACTTGGTGACTAAAGTCAGAGCCTATGATGCTGATATAGGATATAATGGCTGGCTGCTGTTCTCACTGCAGGAAGTGACTGACCACAGTCTGTTTGGTTTGGACCGCTACACAGGACAGATCAGAACACTTCGCTCATTCACAGAGACAGACGAGGCTGAGCATAAACTGCTCATCCTGGTCAAAGACAATGGCAACGTTTCACTGTCAGCAACAGCTACTGTCATTGTCAAAGTGGTGGAGCCCAAAGAGGCTTTTGCAGCTTCTGATGTGAAGAGTTCAGCCAAAGATGATGAGGAGACTGATGTGACTTTTTACCTGATGATCACTTTGGGCTCAGTGTCGGTTCTGTTCCTCATCAGCATCATCGTGCTGATTGCAATGCAGTGCTCCAAGTCCACAGAATATACTTCTAAATATCTCCAAGAGGCTAATTATGATGGGACACTGTGTCACAGCATCCAGTACAGATCTGGAGACAAACGCTACATGTTAGTAGGACCCAGGATGAGTGTAGGATCTACTATAGTACCTGGAAGTCACGCAAACACTCTGGTGCTGCCTGACAGGAGGAACACTTCTGAGGAGGTAAGACATGCAAGCTATTGTTTTTCTAGGTAAAGTAATTTGTTTACGTGACCATTTGTTTATTTGATATCATTAGCACATCCCGACGCATTTAAATATATTGCGTAATTGAGGATTGTTTACAGCTTGTGACTCCAATTAGCTGTTATTGCACAGTTTATAAAGATGTTTTTCTTCAAAACAAACTTCTTCAAGATGCTTTAAAACTAACATTTAATGAGTTTATTTTATGTAGAATACTTTGAAACAGAAAACCTCCAAACACATTTTGATAGAACAAAAACACGGTTTGTTGAGACGTTGCGGTAGAGAAATAACCTTTTATCATTTTGATTTTTATTTATTTATTTTTAGTAAATATTACATTAAAGGTTCCCTCTTCATTCAGCTTTTTATATATACGAGTAGCGCTGCTGTGAATATTTCTGGACCAAAATCAAAACAGTTTTGTAAAGATTTTTTTCTTAAATTTTACATACTTTTCAGGTAGCTTTTTACACATCAGGTGTTGCATTTGCTCACAGTTTATCTTACAAGAAGTTGGGTACAGCCTCATTACTGTTAACTCTGTTATGAGCTTGTTGTTGGAAGTTATCATTTTTCTTCATGCATCGTGGTAATTTTGTGATTTATCTTTCATGGATATTATGTAAAAGCACATTTGAATACCTTCCTCTTATTTTTGGTGGACCCCAGCGCTGTCTGGATTAGTATTTGTCTGTCTTAATGCATTTAAAATAGTGTGTACTACTTTTCTTAACGAACCCTTGTCGGAGTAGCGTTGGCTCAATTGAAATACACGATCTCCGAGGAGCTCAAAGAGGGAAGTTTGGCTAAACATCAAATCCACACAAACAAGAAATACCATTTTTTTTAAATCTTTGTTCGTTTAGAATTGAATTGATAGTTTCGTGCTTCCCGGTAGATCTGAAGCCCCGTGTATCATTATTTACAGCGACCTTTGGCTAGTTTCTGTTAACGTTTTAGTTTTCGTTATATAAACCAGGATCATGTCTCTTCTGTCCATGATGTGTCGATAATAATTAGAATAATGTCCCCTGGCATTATTTGCTTTAGAACGTGTAAAGTTTTAAAACTACTTTACAATAATAAAGCTTTTTTTAAACATGAATTTCAAACTAATGCCATATTTTTACTCACGTGCATTTGTTAAAATCCAGAGCATTCATTCAGTTTAATTATTCCAATTTTTTCGAGTTTGTCGAACAGTTTACTTTTTCTTTAATAAGTGCGCATTCACAATAGCGCAGCGTGTTTGTCTGAGCTGTAGCTTCATAAATTTATCTCGATAATAAAATGGTAATTTTTAGTAGCTACACGTCTTAGTTTCTCACAAGGTGGCGGTATGTTACCAGAATAACGCTGGGCAGTGTTTCTGTGGTTCTCGTTAATGCGTTCACTCCCTTCAGTCAGAATATTAAACTGTCGGGGTTTTGGACTGAACGGTTGCTGTTCGTTCACTTTTGTGAACCTCATTTGTGGATCTAGGACAGATTATTTCCTGCTGTAGTGGAACCATATCTCTGGACTTCTGGAGAACAATAGATGCGCTGGGATTTTTATTTACGCCTCACAAAATGAAACAAAGACCAGCGGATTCATGGCGACCAAGATCAGCGGTGCTCTCCGTTTTGTTCTGGCTTTATGTCGGAGCAGCGTCGGCTCAGTTGAAGTACACGATCTCCGAGGAGCTCAAAGAGGGAAGTTTGGTTGGACATTTAGCAAAGGATTTAGGAATAGATGTGAATGTGATGAAGCAGCGGGGCTTTCGGATCATGCCCAGCTCAACCGAATCTCTTTTCAAGGTAAACGAGAACGACGGAATCCTTTATACTAACCAGCAGATAGACAGAGAGGAGGTGTGTAAGGATAACAATGCTTGCTTGATTAGTCTCAAAGCGGTGCTTGAAACCCCGCTAGAAATACATTATGTAACGGTGGAGATCACAGATATAAACGATCACTCTCCCGCATTCCCCGAAAAAACTAAGAAAATAGAGATATCCGAGTCTGCGCTGCCGGGGACACAGTATCAGCTGCAGAATGCGTTTGATCCGGATGGTGGCACAAACTCCATTCAGCAGTACACGATCAGTCAAAATGATCATTTTAGATTAGAAACTAAAGATCGCGGCAGAGATGGTAAAAGCCCAGTTTTACAGCTGCAAAGGCAGCTCGACAGAGAGGCCAAAAGTCGACATAAACTGGTGCTGAAGGCCATAGATGGCGGGAATCTGCCTAAAACAGGCACAGTTGAAATTCATATTGATGTTCTGGATGTTAATGACAACATGCCAGTGTTCACAAAAGACACATATTCAGCTGTGCTGCAAGAAAATTCTCCAATTGGAACCACGATAATTCAAGTTAATGCTACAGATTTGGATGCTGGATCCAATGGAGAGGTAGTTTATTCATTTGGTAGTGATGTCAGATATGCAATTCTTGAGATGTTTGATGTCAATTCTGAAACTGGGGAAATAAGCGTAAAAGGTCATATTGATTTTGAGAAACAAGACAGTTATATAATTGACATAGAAGCCTCTGACAAAGGAATCATTCCATTCAGAACATTAAAAAATGTATTAATTCAAATTAAAGACACAAATGACAACCCACCTGAGATAGAAGTGGCCTCCCTTTCAGGGACAGTTTCAGAAGACTCAAGGCCTGGAACAACAGTAGCACTGATAAGCATCACAGATTTAGACTCGGGCCTCAATGGTAAAATAATAAGCTATGTTGCTGAGGACAGTCCTTTTTCTTTGAGTCCATCAGTGCAGGATAACATGTTTGCACTGGTCACCAAGTCTCATCTGGACAGAGAGAAACAATCAAAATATGATCTCACCATCATAGCAAAGGATGCAGGTGATCCAGCGCTAACTTCTGAAAAGACAATTAATGTGTACGTATCGGACTCAAATGATAACAGTCCTGAATTTACGGAGTCCCCCTATAATTTCTATATGACAGAAAATAACCAACCAGGAGCTTCTGTGTTTTCTGTGCGAGCATATGACCGTGATGATGGAGACAATGCACTGATTTCATATCACATTCACAGAAATGCAGGTAGTGAACAGAAAGTGATATCATTTCTAAACATAAACTCAGAAACTGGAGACATTGTGGCGCTGAAAAGTTTCGACTTTGAAACTGGGAAAACGTTCCAGTTCCAAGTTGTGGCCTCAGACTCTGGAAGTCCGTCCCTGAGCAGCAACGTGACAGTGAACGTGTTCATTCTGGATCAGAACGACAACGCTCCAGTCATCCTGTATCCAGTCAGCTCCAACGGTTCTGCTGAAGGTGTGGAGGAGGTTCCCCGCAACGTGAACGCAGGACACTTGGTGACTAAAGTCAGAGCCTATGATGCTGATATAGGATATAATGGCTGGCTGCTGTTCTCACTGCAGGAAGTGACTGACCACAGTCTGTTTGGTTTGGACCGCTACACAGGACAGATCAGAACACTTCGCTCATTCACAGAGACAGACGAGGCTGAGCATAAACTGCTCATCCTGGTCAAAGACAATGGCAACGTTTCACTGTCAGCAACAGCTACTGTCATTGTCAAAGTGGTGGAGCCCAAAGAGGCTTTTGCAGCTTCTGATGTGAAGAGTTCAGCCAAAGATGATGAGGAGACTGATGTGACTTTTTACCTGATGATCACTTTGGGCTCAGTGTCGGTTCTGTTCCTCATCAGCATCATCGTGCTGATTGCAATGCAGTGCTCCAAGTCCACAGAATATACTTCTAAATATCTCCAAGAGGCTAATTATGATGGGACACTGTGTCACAGCATCCAGTACAGATCTGGAGACAAACGCTACATGTTAGTAGGACCCAGGATGAGTGTAGGATCTACTATAGTACCTGGAAGTCACGCAAACACTCTGGTGCTGCCTGACAGGAGGAACACTTCTGATGAGGTAAGATAAACAGTTGTACCTGTAGTGGCTGGTGGTTTACCATTAATCTGACTGTTTCTGTAATTCTATTGTTTGTTGATGAAGCTTTTCAGCATTCAGATTTTGTCCTGTGGGCTTTGACACCATGTGTTGTGCTTACAAAGTCACATGACCCTTTCTATTTTAAAAAAGGGATTTAAAAATAAAGAAGATAAACAGCATGTTGTCTTATGTTCAGAACAGCTATATTATAAATTACAGAAACAAAATGGATGTTCTTTCCCAGTTTTTTCTTTTCTATTGCCAGTTATTTTGTGGTGCAGTGTGAGCTGATGTGGATGTAGAAATTTGGTGAATGTATAAACTTGTTCAGGGTGGCAATGCTTGAGCCCCTTTGATGAAGAGTTCACCTGCATTTCTATTGAGTCAACAAAATAATCACAAAACAGTTTGAACTATTTTCTTTTGTCATTTTCCTAAAACACGTTTCAGTCAATAATTAGAAAAACAAATGTCCTTCCAAAAAAATCTGAAATGAACTAATTCTGAAGACAAATTGAGGAAATAATGTAATTGAGTGTAAACGACTGTTTTAGCCTCACTATTAGATAGCCTCAGGCATATTTCACTGGTGTAGGGGACAGTTGGATCAGCTGCAGGTGGCAATTACCCCCCTACACATTCACCATAATTATTGCCAATTGCTTAAATCATTATGCAGCTGTTTACTTTCTGTCAAGCACGTTTTCTTTCAAGCCTGAATTTCTGTTTATTTATTAATGGAGTTATTTAATGTTTTCAATTTATGTGCCTGCGTTATTTTCTGCTTCAGTTTCACGTAGTTCGTGTTTGAAAAAAAACGCAAGGTTGGAATTTGTTGCTGTCCATGGTGCTTATCGATTTTGCAGGTGTGTTTAGTCAAATTTAACTTTAATTTCTCTGTTGGTTCTGCTTATACGTTACGTTTTCTGACGTTGTTTGGGCAAATAAATGGTACTGCGTTTAGATTTGTTTTTATATTTGATTGCAGATCGAATATGCTATCTAAATACAATCACATATTTATTTAGTACGAAAAAAAGTGTTGTATATATTTTTTATTTGCATCAAATTTCAAATATAGCTTAAGAGTATGGTTCCAGGACACTTGGTGTCAGTATAATAACAAATGTTGACTCTGGGGGTGTTTGTAATATTCGCAGACCCATCCTCTCCTCTCCAGTCATAAAGAGGAGACGCCTCGATGTGATCTCGGGCGCATTTCACATTTTTACTCATAAAAGGAACCTTTTGGTAAATGATTGGATGGCTAAAATGTCGGATTTTTTTGGAATTAACCTGGATTGATATTTTATAGGGTGTTTAATATTACAACTATGAAGATTAGTTTTTGTCCTCACGCCATGGAACAAAGACGACAGGCTGAAAGAAGAGGTGGGGTTGAAGGAATGCTCTTTTCTTTATTATTATTTTGGTGTTGCAGTTATGCTTCTGGACAGTTTCGTTATTCAATCTCTGAGGAGGTTCAAGAAGGAACAGCGGTTGGAAACATCGCTAAGGATTTAGGTCTTGATAAGAATGCGCTGAAGGAGAGGGGGGTCCGCATTGTCTACGGCTCGAATGAGCCTCCGTTCAGCGTCAGTCCAGATGATGGTGTTTTATATGTGAACCGAAGAATTGACCGAGAGGAAATGTGCGACCGCAGCAAGGTTTGTGCTGTTGATTTGAAAACGGTGTTACAAAACCCGCTGGAGATCCATCACGTCACCGTAGAGATTTTGGATGTTAACGATCACGCACCGAGCTTCCCGGAGAAGAAAACTAATCTAGAGGTTTTTGAATCAGCTTCGCCTGGATCGAGGTTTCAGTTACAACCAGCGCGTGATGCTGACAGTGGTTTATTATCAGTCCATCAATATAAGTTAAGTTCAAATGATTTTTTTCGTTTAGAGGTGAAAGATCGGGGAGAGGACCGTAAAACACCCAGTTTGGTTCTTGAAAAGCCCCTTGACAGAGAATCAGTAAAAACCCACTTGCTGCTTCTGACGGCAGTAGATGGAGGGAAACCTCCGAGATCTGGAAACATGACAATAATTGTTCATGTTTCAGATGTTAATGATAACCCACCGGTTTTCAGTCAGGAGTCTTATGTTGCTCATTTAAGTGAAAACTCTGCTGTTGGTACTACTGTCATCCAAGTTAATGCCACCGATTTAGATGAAGGCTCAAATGGACAGGTTGTGTATTCATTTGGGAATCATGTTGATGTACGAGTGCGTGCACATTTTGATTTAAATCCCACCACTGGAGTCATTGTTGTGGCAGGACCAATCGATTATGAGGAGAGCAGCAGATATGAAATTGATGTTCAGGCATCTGACAAAGGTGCAGCCACACTGAAAACTGACAAAACAATAATAATTAATATTATTGATTTAAATGATAATGCACCAGAAATGGAAGTGACCTCTTTTTCAAAAGACTTGCCAGAAGATTCAAAGCCAGGAACAACAGTGGCATTGATTAGTGTAAAAGACTCTGACTCTGGTCTGAATGGAAAAGTGACGTGTTACATCAACCAGGACCTCCCCTTTCTGCTCACGCCATCTTTACAACACAACATCTATTCTTTAGTGACTAAAAATATTTTAAACAGAGAGCAGCAATCCCAGTATAATGTGCTGATTGTTGCTAAAGATGGAGGAGAGCCATGTTTATCATCAGAGAAGATTATTCCCATTGTTGTGTCAGATGTTAACGACAACAGCCCAGAGTTTACACAGAGCCCATATACTTTCTATATAACTGAGAATAACACCCCTGGAGAGAGGCTTTTCTTAGTGGCAGCCCAGGATCAGGATGAAGGCAGCAATGCTCTTATTTCTTATTTTCTCATGAGGAACAGAGAAGGAGCAAATATGCTCACTTCTTTCTTAAATGTGAATTCAGAAACCGGAGACATTGTGGCTCTGAGAAGTTTCGACTTTGAAACTGTGAAAACGTTCCAGTTCCAAGTTGTGGCCTCAGACTCTGGAAGTCCGTCCCTGAGCAGCAACGTGACAGTGAACGTGTTCATTCTGGATCAGAACGACAACGCTCCAGTCATCCTGTATCCAGTCAGCTCCAACGGTTCTGCTGAAGGTGTGGAGGAGGTTCCCCGCAACGTGAACGCAGGACACTTGGTGACTAAAGTCAGAGCCTATGATGCTGATATAGGATATAATGGCTGGCTGCTGTTCTCACTGCAGGAAGTGACTGACCACAGTCTGTTTGGTTTGGACCGCTACACAGGACAGATCAGAACACTTCGCTCATTCACAGAGACAGACGAGGCTGAGCATAAACTGCTCATCCTGGTCAAAGACAATGGCAACGTTTCACTGTCAGCAACAGCTACTGTCATTGTCAAAGTGGTGGAGCCCAAAGAGGCTTTTGCAGCTTCTGATGTGAAGAGTTCAGCCAAAGATGATGAGGAGACTGATGTGACTTTTTACCTGATGATCACTTTGGGCTCAGTGTCGGTTCTGTTCCTCATCAGCATCATCGTGCTGATTGCAATGCAGTGCTCCAAGTCCACAGAATATACTTCTAAATATCTCCAAGAGGCTAATTATGATGGGACACTGTGTCACAGCATCCAGTACAGATCTGGAGACAAACGCTACATGTTAGTAGGACCCAGGATGAGTGTAGGATCTACTATAGTACCTGGAAGTCACGCAAACACTCTGGTGCTGCCTGACAGGAGGAACACTTCTGAGGAGGTAAGACATTTGGATACTTTTGTTATCCACATTTGACATGTTGCATCTTTGCTCTGTTGTTCATTGGTTTTGCATCAGAGGTTTATAGATCGGTTTTTGACTTTGCTTGAGTGTGTTGTGCTGTTTTATTGCTTTATCAACCAAACATTTTTAAGCAAATGTCTGTGATATTTTAATTTAAAATAGTGTGTTTGGTAAAGTTGTGCTGATGGTTGAATCAGGAAGTTATGAATTGGATAACTTTTATTTCTTTGGTGACCTCATTAGAGAATTGTTCGCTGTCTGTGGTGCTGATAAAAACGTATTTGAAGTTTTGAATCACACCCCAAAACACAACGTTTTCCTCATTATTTATATATTGTTTTTACTCACAAGAACTCATTGATCATTGTTGTTGAGGTGTAATCGGATGTTTCTGGACTTCTGTGCGTGTTAGCGTGTACTTTCATGAGAGTGTTTGTTGTCTCTGCATTAAAATAAGTCTACATTTTATTACACTTACCTTCTCAATATTAGTTCATGAAAGCATGGCTTTTTAGGTGTTATTGATACATGATGACATGGGTAATCTCCTCTAAACATGCTCTGCTCTATTTGTGTTTGCTTCTGGGTCTTATGTCGTACCTACAACGTTGTGTCCCACTAATTGATTTGTGCCTGATGAATGGCGATCAGAGGATATGGAACATTACTTTCTCGTTCTCAAAAAGAAACCTCAGTAGCAAATCAAACAAGAGATTTCAGGCTGGATTTATTTTAGGTTTTTATCTTAGCAGCAAAAACTGTAAATATTTGAGAAATAAAAATTGAAAAAACAATTGTTAAATGATTGGTGACATTTTTGGATCTCTTTGCTAGTTTTAAATATACCAACAGATGTTAGTACATGAACTTTATTTTCTTTTTTCGCTAATATTTTGAACATTGAAGCCTTTTTATGGTGTAAAATAGCTTCATTTAAAAATATTTTGTGTAATTGTTTTAATATGTTTGGTCAATTAATAAGTATTATGTGATATTAGGCTATCCCCTTCTTACTTGCTCTTTGTGTCCCCTGTGTCCTTGAATTTTTTAAGCCAGTCTTTATTTTTGGTTAAGTTAAGTCAGACGTTGAAAGACCACACACGTTTATCATTTCTGTCACCTTGGACACATCCATATTATCCCATCTTGCCCTTCCATTGTCACTACAGGTGAAACACAAAGCAAACAAGAATAAAATGATAAACAAATGGCTCCAGCGCCGGCGCTCCACACACGCACACCACGCACAGCGCGTAGGGCACCACGCCGGGGAAGGGGCACCAAACGCAAGCTTATGAAAAAATAATAGATATATGTGATGAAGACAGATTTCAATTAGAAGATGTGCAAAGCAAGTTAACAGCATGTTTACAGAGAAAAAACAATACAAAAAGGAAAGGAGATGGACCGTGTCCACTTTTCACTCTCTGTCCGGGGCGTCCGGACTGGGGGTTCTTGTATTGATGAAAATGTCCGGCTTTTCATCCAGGAGCAGGGATCGAATTATGGGGGAGCTGGATATCCTACACATCCAGGGGAGCCGGAAAAAAGTTTTCTACCTATAATACATCATTTATGGACTCTTTTGAGCAGAGAGCACAGACAGCTGCACAGTGCTGATCATTGTTGCGCAGCGCTCCAGGCAGCTGCTTCCAGCGCACGGTCCATTCTCAAAGTGGCGCAACCAAAAAACTATAATTAACACACAATCGTACATGTCCGCACATTCTGTCTTATTTGCGCCTGAAGCGCTCTGCTACTGCAGAGCTCATCACCTGCACTGCAGAGATTTCACCTCACTGACACAGCATTGAAACGCGCACTCCGCTTTGCGGTCAGGAGATCCATTTGATCTGCTCAAAAGTAACTGATGAGGTGAAAAAGTAAGAATCCAGGCAGCAGCTTTTCTGGAGAGTTTAGAGGAGATGCAGGAAGATGAGAGACAGACAGGACAGGAAAATAGTTAAATAAAAACAAGAAAACAAAACAAAGTGTTGAAAAGTAAAATGTAGGTAGATTTATCTCCACTACACATTTTTACCCGTATAAAACAATAAGTTATACACATGCAATAATTATACATTTGATACAATTCAGATCACCTTCAAAACTCAGTCACACACCCAGGGCCGTTTCAAGACATTTTGGGGGCCAAGACAAAATGCCCCCCCCCCCCCCCCCCCCCACACACACACACACACACATCAACACATCCTCACGCCCTAAGCGTCGGAAACAAACGCTTGGTCAGCCACCCTCCACGCCAGACCCCATACGCCAAAAGTGCCCTTTTTCGTTACTTATGTGCGAAAAGGGGGTTTTCCCTTATTTGACTGCAGATCCCAATGCAGTGTAAAACTGACGTGATTAGATATCCGCTGATGCGGCACCGAACCAGCTAATTTAACCGCACCTAAACCTTAACGTTTCGCTATTTATAACCTTCCCCTCTCCCTCGTCCTAACCTTAACCCTCTTGCTACCTAAAACGTTACTCTCACTGTGATCAAGCGTTTGTTTCCCATGCATTCTGACTCTGACAGTCAGAGTCTGACTGTCAATTTTCGTATTTGCCACCCAAGGGGAACGTTAGAACATACCATCTGGCGAGGGGGAGATTACACATACCCTCTACTTTTAACCTCCACCGTGGTAGTTGAAACCTCCCCCTCGCGTTGGCTCGGTCCAAACTCGACCAATGACGAGGCGGCTCCCGCCGTTCACTTCATAGAGCCGACTTTAAGAGTGATCGACACATCACTAACGTGTTCGCTAGCAAGATGGTTAAGGTTAGGATAGGGGTGAGGGGAAGGTTAAATAAGAGGATAAGGTTAAATAAGAGGAAAAGGTTAAGGTGAGGTCCAAAGAGCTTGTTTGGAGGCCTGGCTGCGGACATCCCATCACGTCAGCTTTACGCTGCATTGGGATCTGCAGTCAAATAAGGGAAAACCCCCTTTTCGCACATAAGTAATGAAAAAGGGCACTTTTGGCATCAGGGGTCTGGCATGGAGGGTGGCTCACCAAGCGTTTGTTTTTGATGCGCTGGAAGTGAGAATGTGTTGCACACACACACACACACACACACACACACACACACACACACACACACACACACACACACACACACACACTAAATATCAATCCTACTTTTTGGAAAATAATAAGCAGTTTGTGCATACACAAGAATTAAAGAGAATTTAAGGCGAAGCGCTTGAACATACTGTGTCATTGTGTTGTTTTTTCTCTGTGTGTGTGTGTGTGTGTGGGGGGGGGGGGGGGGGGCACAAAGCCTTTGTGCTTAGGGCACCAAAATAGCTAGCAACGGCCCTGAATGGCTCATACAAAATTGGAAGGATTTGTGGTCTTTTGAAAAAAAAAGGTTTGCTGTTATGATTAATTAAAAATAATCACCTGTTAGATATAACGTTTTATTAATTTTATTTACGTATTTCTAATTTTACATTTTATATCCAATTTTATCATCACACACTCCATTAGTTTTGCAATATCTCTTTAGAGCACTTGGTGTCAGTACAATAACAACAATGACTGTGTGGTTATGATATATAAAACCCATCCCCTTCCCTTCAAATCATTATGGGCAAACGCCTCGCTCATATTGCCGATGCAATACACGTTGAGCCGAGAAAATCATCCCATTTTTTGAATATTTAAAATTGTATCGAATATAGAAGAGCGAGATTATATTAACATTTGTTCTGTTGTGTTTAAAAGTGACAATTGCTTATTTTTCAGAATTTTTTTTCTTGTCGCCATGGAACAAAGGAGAGGTGAAACGCGGGGAGCGAGAACAAAATGGATTATAATCACGTTGCTGTTGATCTTAATTTGGAAATGCGCTTCTGGACAGTTTCGTTATTCAATCTCTGAGGAGGTTCAAGAAGGAACAGCGATTGGAAACGTCGTTAAGGATTTAGGTCTTGATAAGAATGCGCTGAAGGAGAGGGGGGTCCGCATTGTCTACGGCTCGAATGAGCCTCCGTTCAGCGTCAGTCCAGATGATGGTGTTTTATATGTGAACCGACGAATTGACCGAGAGGAAATGTGCGACCGCAGCAAGGTTTGTGCTGTTGATTTGAAAACGGTGTTACAAAACCCGCTGGAGATCCATCACGTCACCGTAGAGATTTTGGATGTTAACGATCACGCACCGAGCTTCCCGGAGAATAAGAGCATGTTGGAGATTTCAGAATCAGCTTCTCCTGGAGCGAAATTCCAGTTACAAGCAGCGCGTGATGCTGACAGTGGTTTATTATCAGTCCATCAATATAAGTTAAGTTCAAATGATTTTTTTCGTTTAGAGGTGAAAGATCGGGGAGAGGACCGTAAAACACCCAGTTTGGTTCTTGAAAAGCCCCTTGACAGAGAATCAGTAAAAACCCACTCGCTGCTTCTGACGGCAGTAGATGGAGGGAAACCTCCGAGATCTGGAAACATGACAATAATTGTTAATGTTTCAGATGTTAATGATAACCCACCGGTTTTTAGTCAGGAGTCTTATGTTGCTCATTTAAGTGAAAACTCTGCTGTTGGTACTACTGTCATCCAAGTTAATGCCACCGATTTAGATGAAGGCTCAAATGGACAGGTTGTGTATTCATTTGGGAATGACGTAGATGTACGGGCACATACACGTTTTGATTTAAATCCCACCACTGGAGTTATTGTTGTGGCAGGACCAATCGATTATGAGGAGAGCAGCAGATATGAAATTGATGTTCAGGCGTCTGACAAAGGTGCAGCCACACTGAAAACTGACAAAACAATAATAATTAACATTATTGATTTAAATGATAATGCACCAGAAATGGAAGTGACCTCTTTTTCAAAAGACCTTCCAGAAGATTCAAAGCCAGGAACAACAGTGGCGTTGATTAGTGTAAAAGACTCTGACTCTGGTCTGAATGGAAAAGTGACATGTTACATCAACCAGGACCTCCCCTTTCTGCTCACGCCATCTTTACAACACAACGTCTATTCTTTAGTAACTAAAAATATTTTAAACAGAGAGCAGCAATCCCAGTATAATGTGCTGATTACTGCTAAAGATGGAGGAGAGCCATGTTTATCATCAGAGAAGATTATTCCCATTGTTGTGTCAGATGTTAACGACAACAGCCCAGAGTTTACACAGAGCCCATATACTTTCTATATAACTGAGAATAACACCCCTGGAGAGAGGCTTTTCTCAGTGGCAGCCCAGGATCAGGATGAAGGCAGCAATGCTCTTATTTCTTATTTTCTCATGAGGAACAGAGAAGGAGCAAATATGCTCACTTCTTTCTTAAATGTGAATTCAGAAACTGGAGACATTGTGGCTCTGAGAAGTTTTGACTTTGAAACTGTGAAAACGTTCCAGTTCCAAGTTGTGGCCTCAGACTCTGGAAGTCCGTCCCTGAGCAGCAACGTGACAGTGATCGTGTTCATTCTGGATCAGAACGACAACGCTCCAGTCATCCTGTATCCAGTCAGCTCCAACGGTTCTGCTGAAGGTGTGGAGGAGGTTCCCCGCAACGTGAACGCAGGACACTTGGTGACTAAAGTCAGAGCCTATGATGCTGATATAGGATATAATGGCTGGCTGCTGTTCTCACTGCAGGAAGTGACTGACCACAGTCTGTTTGGTTTGGACCGCTACACAGGACAGATCAGAACACTTCGCTCATTCACAGAGACAGACGAGGCTGAGCATAAACTGCTCATCCTGGTCAAAGACAATGGCAACGTTTCACTGTCAGCAACAGCTACTGTCATTGTCAAAGTGGTGGAGCCCAAAGAGGCTTTTGCAGCTTCTGATGTGAAGAGTTCAGCCAAAGATGATGAGGAGACTGATGTGACTTTTTACCTGATGATCACTTTGGGCTCAGTGTCGGTTCTGTTCCTCATCAGCATCATCGTGCTGATTGCAATGCAGTGCTCCAAGTCCACAGAATATACTTCTAAATATCTCCAAGAGGCTAATTATGATGGGACACTGTGTCACAGCATCCAGTACAGATCTGGAGACAAACGCTACATGTTAGTAGGACCCAGGATGAGTGTAGGATCTACTATAGTACCTGGAAGTCACGCAAATACTCTGGTGCTGCCTGACAGGAGGAACACTTCTGATGAGGTAAGATGACTACCTCTCTTTATATTTGAAGCATCATCCTGAAAAGTTTTTCACTGCCTATTTTGGTCACACATTTTGAATGTACACACTCAAAGATGCCGTGTCATTTCAATTCTAGGAGAGTTGCAAACGTATTTTGTAGACATTATTACATTTTAGTGTTGATTTAATTAGTTTCAGTTTAAATTAATGCTCATTTTCTTTAAAATAAATAGGTTGGTAAATTAAATTAACTTTCTGCAAATCAGAAATAAACACCTACATGTCTGAATTGAACACTAACTTTTATTTTGCTGTTTGAATCTTTTTACTTTTGAAAAACTTGTAAATACTTTACGTTAGTTAAAATACATTGTGATGGCATTATAATCCCTCCAGTCTTTCACCTACAATTCTGCCTTTTCAATTACCTATGCTCTTTTAGCTGACGTGAATAGTATCTTAAAACGACTGTTATCAGCTTTTTGCTTGCCGGTAATATTTTTCTGGTGGAATAAAAGTAAGTAATCTGACATTACCACATTCTGTATCAACATGTAGTGTTGCTTCAGACTAAATTTCTCATCATCTCATAATAGGTTATTTATGTCAGTTACTTAATATTATTTACTTCCAGTATTACTGAAAATAGCTGCATTTATGCTATAGTTTTCATAGAATCAGTGAGACACGCCTCAAACGCTTGGTGTCAGTGACGTTCAGTGTTTCCGTGCACCTTGCAGCACTTTCTCTCCCATGCTGGACTGGATTTTTTTTCCTTAAATAAAACAGCAAGTCGTGTGTTTGATCGGGACTGACTGCAAGGCATCTGATTAGGCTTTTACACATAAGTATCTCACACATTGTTCGGGACCACGGATTGGATATTAGACCATCACTTTTCCACGGACTGTTCTTTGTCGTGTTTCTGTCATGGAACAAAGAGGAGGCAGATCAAGGAGGGAGCAGCATCTATTGTTTGTGTTTTCATTTGCTTTACATCTATCATGGAGCGGGGCTTTTGCGCAGCTCAAATATTCCATTTCCGAGGAGGTAAAAGAAGGAACCTTTGTTGGGAACGTAGCTAAAGATTTAGGTCTGGATAAAGGTGCTCTGAAGGACAGAGGATATCGCATTGTTGCAAGCTCAACCGAACCACTATTTGAGGTAAATCCAAACGACGGCGTGCTGTATCTGAAAAAGAGAATTGATCGAGAGGAGGTGTGCGAGCGGAGCGGCTCGTGCGTAATAAACCTGAAAACCGTGCTAGAAAACCCGCTAGAAATTCACTACGTGGCAGTTGAAATCCTTGATATAAACGACCACTCGCCTGTTTTTCCAGAGAAAGAAAAGCGGCTTGAAATTTATGAGTCGGCTCTACCGGGAGCGAGATTCCAGCTGCAGGCCGCGCGTGACCCAGATGTAGGCCAGTTCTCCATTCAGCAATATAGACTCAGCCAAAACGACCATTTCAGAGTGGAAGTCAAGGATCGTGGTGAGGATCGGAAAGTGCCGTTTTTAGTTATGCAGAAGCAGCTAGACAAAGAAACAGCTGGGCAGCACAAACTGCGTTTGACCGCACTGGATGGTGGCAAACCGGCGAGGACCGGAGAGATAGAAATTATTGTGGACGTGCTTGATGTTAATGACAATTCCCCGGTTTTCACTAAAGACATTTACTCAGCAAATGTTAAAGAAAACGTCCCCGTTGGTACTGTAGTGATACAGGTGAATGCAACAGATTTGGACCAGGGTAAAAATGGAGAAATAATATATTCATTTGGTAATGAAGTGGATGTGAAACTGCTGGAGCTTTTTAGTATTGATGAAAGCACAGGTGAAATTAAAGTAACAGGTCAAATAGACTTCGAAGAAAGTAAAAGCTATGAAATAGACATTAAAGCTTCAGACAAAGGAACAGCTCCTCTCACAAGCTACAAGAGTGTTTTAATAAATATAATTGATATAAACGACAATTCTCCTGAGATAGAGGTGACGTCATTTTCTAGCTCAATAAAAGAAGACTCACAAATAGGAACAACAGTGGCATTAATTAGTGTCAGTGATTTAGACTCTGGAATGAACGGTAAAGTGATGTGTATGATTAAAGAAGACGCACCTTTTAGTCTTTCTCCGTCATTACAAGAAAACATGTATGCTGTTGTAACGAAGTCACAGCTGGACAGAGAAGTCCAATCTCGATATGACATTTCTATTACTGCAAGAGACGGTGGCGAGCCCTCATTTCTAACGGAAAAAAGCATTAAAGTTTTGATATCAGACGTAAATGATCACTCCCCAGAGTTTTTAACAAACCCTCACATGTTTTATGTTACCGAGAATAACAGTCCTGGGGCCTCACTGTTTTCAGTGAAGGCTCATGATCATGATGATGGGGATAATGCTCTCATTTCATACATTATTTCAAGAGATGTGAATGAAAAGAACAAAATGACGTCGTTTCTAAACATTAATTCAGAAACTGGAGACATTGTGGCTCTGAGAAGTTTCGACTTTGAAACTGTGAAAACGTTCCAGTTCCAAGTTGTGGCCTCAGACTCTGGAAGTCCATCCCTGAGCAGCAACGTGACAGTGAACGTGTTCATTCTGGATCAGAACGACAACGCTCCAGTCATCCTGTATCCAGTCAGCTCCAACGGTTCTGCTGAAGGTGTGGAGGAGGTTCCCCGCAACGTGAACGCAGGACACCTGGTGACTAAAGTCAGAGCCTATGATGCTGATATAGGATATAATGGCTGGCTGCTGTTCTCACTGCAGGAAGTGACTGACCACAGTCTGTTTGGTTTGGACCGCTACACAGGACAGATCAGAACACTTCGCTCATTCACAGAGACAGACGAGGCTGAGCATAAACTGCTCATCCTGGTCAAAGACAATGGCAACGTGTCACTGTCAGCAACAGCTACTGTCATTGTCAAAGTGGTGGAGCCCAAAGAGGCTTTTGCAGCTTCTGATGTGAAGAGTTCAGCCAAAGATGATGAGGAGACTGATGTGACTTTTTACCTGATGATCACTTTGGGCTCAGTGTCGGTTCTGTTCCTCATCAGCATCATCGTGCTGATTGCAATGCAGTGCTCCAAGTCTACAGAATATACTTCTAAATATCTCCAAGAGGCTAATTATGATGGGACACTGTGTCACAGCATCCAGTACAGATCTGGAGACAAACGCTATATGTTAGTAGGACCCAGGATGAGTGTAGGATCTACTATAGTACCTGGAAGTCACGCAAACACTCTGGTGCTGCCTGACAGGAGGAAAACTTCTGATGAGGTAAGACATGCCAAAAATGTTGCTAATTACTTGTCACTGCATTTAATCTTTGCTCTTCACATATTGCAGACTATTATTTTTTTGAAATTATCATATCTCCAAACTTCAGTGAAACCCCGTAGGTCCCTTTTTCCTTTTTATGCTACCCCATCCTGATCGCATTAGTAGCAAATACTTGTTTAGTAATTATTTTCAGAATAAAGTGCATGACCCTTTTTCCAGCTTGGGTGTAGCTGAAGCATTTTTCTTTCAATCCTGTAAATATCTGCCACTTGTTAGTATTTAAAATACTCTAATTTTATATACAGTGGGGCAAAAAAGTATTTAGTCAGCCACGGATTGTGCAAGTTCTCCCACTTAAAATGATGTACAGAGGTCAGTAATTTACATCATAGGTACACTTCAACTGTGAGAGACAGAATGTGAAAAAAATCCATGAATTCACATGGCAGGATTTTTAAAGAATTTATTTGTAAATCAGGGTGGAAAATAAGTATTTGGTCACTTCAAACAAGGAAAATCTCTGGCTTTCACAGACCCGCAACGTCTTCGTTAAGAAGCTTTTCTGTCCTCAACTCGTTACCTGTATTAATGGCACCTGTTTGAACACATTATCTGTATAAAAGACACCTGTCCACAGCCTTAAACAGTCAGACTCCAAACTCCACTATGGCCAAGACCAAAGAGCGTTCGAAGGACACCAGGAAAAGAATTGTAGACCTGCACCAGACTGGGAAGAGTGAATCTACAATAGGCAAGCAGCTTGGTGTGAAAAAATCAACTGTGGTATCAATTGTCAGAAAATGGAAGACATACAAACCACTGATAATCTCCCTCGATCTGGGGCTCCACGCAAGATCTCATCCCGTGGGGTCAAAATGATCATGAGAACGGTGAGCAAGAATCCCAGAACCACACGTGGGGACCTGGTGAATGACCTGCAGAGAGCTGGGACCACAGTAACAAAGGTCACCATCAGTAACACACTACAACGGCAGGGAATCAAATCCTGCAGTGCCAGACGTGTTCCGCTGCTGAAGCCAGTGCATGTCCAGGCCCGTCTGAAGTTTGCCAGAGAGCACATGGATGATACAGCAGAGGATTGGGAGAATGTCATGTGGTCAGATGAAACCAAAGTAGAACTTTTTGGTATAAACTCAACTTGTCGTGTTTGGAGGAAGAAGAATACTGAGTTGCATCCCAAGAACACCATACCTACTGTGAAGCATGGGGGTGGGAACATCATGCTTTGGGGCTGTTTTTCTGCTAAGGGGACAGGACGACTGATCCGTGTTAAGGACAGAATGAATGGGGCCATGTATCGTGAGATTCTGAGCCAAAACCTCCTTCCATCAGTGAGAGCTTTGAAGATGATACGTGGCTGGGTCTTCCAACACGACAATGATCCCAAACACACCGCCCGGGCAACAAAGGAGTGGCTCCGTAAGAAGCATTTGAAAGTCCTGGAGTGGCCTAGCCAGTCTCCAGACCTCAACCCCATAGAAAATCTGTGGAGGGAGTTGAAAGTCCGTGTTGCTCGGCGACAGCCCCAAAACATCACTGCTCCCGAGAAGATCTGCATGGAGGAATGGGCCAAAATACTAGCGACTGTGTGTGCAAACCTGGTAAAGACCTATAGTAATCGTTTGACCTCTTATTGCCAACAAAGGTTATGTTACAAAGTATTGAGTTGAATTTTTGTCATTGACCAAATACTTATTTTCCACCCTGATTTACAAATAAATTCTTTAAAAATCCTGCCATGTGAATTCATGGATTTTTTTTCACATTCTGTCTCTCACAGTTGAAGTGTACCTATGATGTAAATTACTGACCTCTGTCTTCATTTTAAGTGGGATAACTTGCACAATCGGTGGCTGACTAAATTATTTTTTGCCCCACTGTACTGGTGAAGGTTTTCAGTCATCCAGGGCATGGTGATCCAACGGGTTCATTAAAGAGCAAGTCAACCCCCTACCAGAGTCTAACTCCACTCCCACTTCATGTTTGAAAAATGCAACAAATGCTGTTGCCTGGCAGACCGAGAAAGAGGAGCTGCTAACAAATACACACACACACACACACACACACACACACACACACACACACAGGCTCACGACAGCATTGTGACATCATAATGTACCAGTTTACATCATAGCATACCTCTTAGCCAATAGCGGTGGCAGATTTAAATTAAAATACAGAGCAGAGTTTTTACCTGACAACGGCACAACACTGCCGTTTTAGGCAGAAAATTTAAATTTGAACTAAGATGCACTGAAGTAGCAAATTATTGACTACACGTGTCTGCAGCACGATTGGACACTCGTTTATTTAGTTTATCAGCAAAAAAAAAGTTTTTTAGGGGGTGACTTGCTCTTTAAAAAGGCAACTTTGGTTTCTTGAAGACATTTAGCTTGTCATCCAATGAGCTTTGCCGATTCTGACTGGAATATGTATATAAGTATTCTTTTAGAACATCATTATCTCTGCAGAGATGAATTTATAAAACAATTTCTGGCAATTTTCTCAGTTATGTCTGAGTTTCAGACGCTCCGTCAGCTTGAACAATAGAATTTTGGCATGTTTCATTCAGTTCATAGTTGTCCAAAGCATAAATGAGCAGATACGTATTTAAATTCCTCCAGCCGGGCTGTGACAAGTGTTTTGATCATGGAATTACTTTGGAATGGATGCTTGTAAAATGTGGAAAGTGTTTTAAATAGTTGATTATTGCACCAATCTAGCTTTGTGAATCTTTTTTTTTAATCTTCACATTTCATTTAACAATTTCATCATGGAAATTCCAGTACATGGCAGTTGACTCTGTGAGTCATTGACATATTTGCATTACCACCCACCCTCTGCTCTTTAATATGATTTCATTTATATTTCACTAAAAGGAATACTATTGACGGAGCTTTAAAGCATTACTTGATCTCTGTCCAGGGTCCTGAAACGGGTTGACATCACTCGAATTCGTTGCTGATAATTTGTTTGTAGTGGATATTAGTTATTGAAGAAAAAAACGTTTATTTTTGTTTTGTGTAAGCTAAATAACAGCATATGAAACAAATAGCTTGAACTACATCTGCTTCAATAAAAAAAAAATTCCAAACCTGAAAATACTAATGAGGTTTTTACCTCAGCATTTTTCAAACAAAATGATCTGTGTAGATATGTTTCTGTAGTAAAAGAATGCGACGCATGGTGTCAGGGCACTATGAAAATCACCATTAGAAACCCCCCTGTGCGGGTATAAATGTGGTTCAGCCCATTTGTTTTTGCCATCCCTTTTTGAGACGGGAGTCTCGTTGTTGCGCTTATTCGATTAAAAGTGTATTATTTTGGGGGCATTTACTCACAAGGACCGGGCACCACGAGTGTTGATAATTGGATTCAGATTTAATTGGATATTTTTGAACTGTGTGGTGGATTACTGATGAATCTGAGGTGAAAAATGAAACAAAGACGAGGCGAGCCGAAACGGGCGCGAGGATATCTGGTTGGATCCGTTGTCGCGCTGCTTTTGTGGAGCGTCGCCTCTGCGCAGCTGAGGTACTCCATCTCAGAGGAGGTGAACGAAGGAACTGTGGTGGGAAACATAGCAAAGGATCTGGGATTAGATAAGAGCTCTCTACGAGACAGGAGGTATCGGATTGTTTCCAGTGACGCAGACCCTCTTTTTCATGTGAGTCAGAATGACGGAATCCTCTACGTGAGCAGAAAAATAGACAGAGAAAAGGTGTGCGCGCAGAGCGGCGCGTGTTCAATTAACCTAAAAACCGTGCTGGAAAACCCACTGGAGGTCCACTACGTCCGGGTGGAGGTGATGGATGTTAACGATCATTCTCCCAGCTTCCAGGAGAATGAAACCACGCTGGAGATTTCAGAGTCCGTCTTGCCTGGAGCGCGATTCCAGCTCCGAGCAGCAGGGGACCCAGATAGCGGTCATCTCTCTGTGCAGCAATATAAACTCAGCCAAAACGAGCATTTTCGCTTGGAAATTAAAGATAAAGAAGATGACGGTAAAATTCCAGTGTTAGTGGTCCAAAAACCGTTAGACAGGGAAACTGCAGGGCGCCTTAAAATCATTCTCACAGCCCTGGATGGAGGCAAACCTCCGAGATCCGGAAATATGAATATCACAATAAACGTCTTGGATGTAAACGATAATGTGCCAGTTTTCTCCGAAGACGAATACACAGTGATGCTTTCAGAAAATGTTCCCATAGGAACAGCAGTCATACAAGTAAATGCAACAGATCTAGATTCCGGATCGAATGGAGAGGTTCTGTACTCATTTAGTAAAAGTGTAAATCAAAATCTTTTAAACCTGTTTGAGATTAATCATGGCACAGGTGAAATAACTGTCAAAAATCTAGTAGATTATGAGGAGAAAGATAAATACGAGTTAGAAATTCAAGCATCAGACAGAGGTTTCGCTCCTCTCACAACTGAAAAAAGTGTTAAGATTAAAGTAATTGACATAAATGATAATGCTCCTGAGATTGAAGTGACCTCATTTTCTAGCTCCATCCCTGAAGATTCTAGACCAGGAACTACTGTTGCTCTGATCAGTGTAAACGATCTGGACTCTGGTCTTAATGGAAAAGTTATTTGCTCGATAAATCAGGAAGTTCCGTTTAGTTTATCTCCATCCTTACAAGATAAAATGTTTTCACTAGTCACCAAATCTCCTTTAGACAGAGAGAAACAGTCTCATTATGATTTGACAATAACTGCAAAAGATGCAGGTCAGCCACCATTATCATCTGAAAAGACAATACGTGTTGTTGTGTCTGATGTGAATGACAACAGTCCAGAGTTTACACTGAGTCCATATACTTTCTATATCACTGAGGGCAACAACCCAGGAGCCTCAGTGTTTTCTGTGAAAGCCTCTGATGGTGATGAAGGAGATAATGCAGACATCTCTTATCATATTGTCAGAGACAGAGATGAACACAGTAAATTAACTTCATTTCTAAACATAAACTCAGAAACTGGAGACATTGTGGCTCTGAGAAGTTTTGACTTTGAAACTGTGAAAACGTTCCAGTTCCAAGTTGTGGCCTCAGACTCTGGAAGTCCGTCCCTGAGCAGCAACGTGACAGTGAACGTGTTCATTCTGGATCAGAACGACAACGCTCCAGTCATCCTGTATCCAGTCAGCTCCAACGGTTCTGCTGAAGGTGTGGAGGAGGTTCCCCGCAACGTGAACGCAGGACACTTGGTGACTAAAGTCAGAGCCTATGATGCTGACATAGGATATAATGGCTGGCTGCTGTTCTCGCTGCAGGAAGTGACTGACCACAGTCTGTTTGGTTTGGACCGCTACACAGGACAGATCAGAACACTTCGCTCATTCACAGAGACAGACGAGGCTGAGCATAAACTGCTCATCCTGGTCAAAGACAATGGCAACGTGTCACTGTCAGCAACAGCTACTGTCATTGTCAAAGTGGTGGAGCCCAAAGAGGCTTTTGCAGCTTCTGATGTGAAGAGTTCAGCCAAAGATGATGAGGAGACTGATGTGACTTTTTACCTGATGATCACTTTGGGCTCAGTGTCGGTTCTGTTCCTCATCAGCATCATCGTGCTGATTGCAATGCAGTGCTCCAAGTCCACAGAATATACTTCGAAATATCTCCAAGAGGCTAATTATGATGGGACACTGTGTCACAGCATCCAGTACAGATCTGGAGACAAACGCTACATGTTAGTAGGACCCAGGATGAGTGTAGGATCTACTATAGTACCTGGAAGTCACGCAAATACTCTGGTGCTGCCTGACAGGAGGAACACTTCTGATGAGGTAAGAGAGAATATGGCTTTCTTTTTTTCATTTCATTATATTAGCAAAATATTTGTTTTCCCCAAGCATACTCTTTGTTTCTGCCTTGGTCAGTGGAAACATCTGATGCACCTGCTTACATTTGATGCATTTTTTGGACAATATTTTTTTTACCTATTTAAGGTTTTCTATTTTCTCACTTTTTAAAAGTTAGACACAAATATGTTAAATTGGATTTGAACATTGAATAGGAAATCCCCCAAAACAAACAACGATGCTGACGTTTGATTTTCAGAACAGCCAATAAATTATATCATAATACTAATACTAATGCTAACACTAATACTGATACTGATACTACTACTACTACTACTACTACTACTACTACTACTACTACTACTACTACTAATAATAATAATAATAATATACTATAATAATAATAACTTTTATTATTATTATTATTATTATTATTATTATTATTATTATTATTATTATTATTATTATTATTCGTGTTGGCACGTTTTAAACAACTTCTCTCTCTTTCTCTCTCTCTCTTTCTCTCTCTCTCTCTCTCTCTCTCTCTCTCTCTCTCTCTCTCTGTCTCTCCTTTGTAAAGGCGAAGTAAAACTTTCGTATTTGCTTTGTCTTGTCATGTGTTACATACATCTTGCTCTGTTCTTCACCTGCGGATAACTCATGCCAGAGCTTGTAAAAAAGAGGCTAGTAAAGTAATAATTACTATTCAAGTTTCCAGTTTCTGTTGAACAAAGATCTTGTTCCCTTGGAAATAAATAAATAAATAAATAAATAAATGTTACGCATGTCATAATTTGCAATTATACTTGTGTATGTACCGTATTGCTGATTGGTATATATTTTCCCAGTAGCTTGCTCTTTATCATTTCTATTTATTTTATTGTATCTCCAAAGTCAAAATACAATCGTTACTATTACTGTTTTTTAATCTAACGTGAAGCATAGCTTGACATTTTTCCAGAACAATTTGAGACATATTTATGCTCCATCCCAACGTTCAGCTAAAACTCAATATTTTGTTAGAACATCTTTTCTTGTTTTGCAGCAGGGTATTTGGTCGCGGGGTGTCAGTGCCATGCTAAAAGTCAGCATCACGTGAGCATATATTAGTCGCTGTGGTTCCACCTCTTCCTTTCATCCTGATTTCAGTGCTGGCGCAGCCTGGTTTTTTTCTTCATGCTCTTTGTGAACACGGATCTGCTACAAAACCTCCTTACAGAAACATAAACAGATATCCCTCCGTGTTTGTGGTGATCAGGAAACGTTTTTAAGGTGTGGATGTTGCAGTTTTTATGGATTGTTGCAGATTTTAGAACTAGAGATGGAACAAAGCGGATTCGAGCAGCGGATGATGTTCGAACGCGCAATCGGATTCCTGCTCGTTTTGCTTCTGTGGAGCGTCGCTGACGCGCAATTAAGGTATTCGATCTCCGAGGAGGTCAGCGAAGGAACTGTGGTGGGAAACATAGCAAGGGATTTGGGACTAGACAAAAAGATTTTGAAAGACAGGAAATACCGGATTGTATCCAGTGATGTGGATCCGCTCTTCAGTTTAAATCCAAATGACGGAACCCTGAACGTGATCCGGAATATTGACAGGGAGGAGGTTTGTGAGCAGAGTCGCTGTGTGATAAATATAAAAACTGTGCTGGAGAACCCGTTAGAGGTTCATTATGTCGAAGTGGAAGTATTGGACGTAAATGACCATTCACCTGCTTTCTCGGAGGAAAACAACATGCTGGAGATTCCAGAGTCCGTGTTGCCCGGAGCGCGATTTCAGCTTAAAGCTGCAGGAGATCCAGACAGCGGGCATTTCTCTGTTCAGCAATATAAACTTAGCCCAAACGATCACTTCCGTTTGGAAGTTAAAGATAAAGGGGAGGACGGAAAAATACCAATACTTGTTGTTCAAAAACCTTTAGACAGAGAAACAACAAAAAGTCATTCTTTGATCCTATCGGCCGTGGATGGAGGTAAACCGCCCAAGTCTGGAAATATGAACATCATGATTAAAGTTGTAGACATTAACGATAACGCACCCGTTTTCTCCGATGATAATTATGAGGTAACACTTTATGAAAATGCTGCTGCAGGAACACTAGTCATTCAGTTGAATGCAAGTGATTTAGATGAAGGTCCAAATGGAGATGTGGTTTACTCATTTAGCCAAAATGTACATAAAAATACATTAAAGTTATTCAACATAAATTCAGCAACAGGTGAAATAACTGTTAAAGGTCAGATAGACTATGAGAAAAGGGAAAGATACGAAATTGAAATTCAAGCATCTGATAAAGGTCTTGCTGCTCTTACAACAGAAAAAAGTGTGATTATTAAAATAGTTGATGTTAATGACAACACACCTGAAATCGAAGTGACCTCATTTTCAAGCTCCATTCCTGAAGATTGTAGACCAGGAACTACTGTTGCTCTAATTAGCGTGGATGATCTTGACTCTGGTCTTAATGGAAAAGTGATCTGTAATATTAAAGAAGATGTTCCTTTTAGTTTATCCCCTGCATTGCAGGACAAGTCATTTTCACTAGTCACCAAATCTCCTTTAGACAGAGAGAAACAGTCTCATTATGATTTGACAATAACTGCAAAAGATGCAGGTCAGCCACCATTATCATCTGAAAAGACAATACGTGTTGTTGTGTCTGATGTGAATGACAACAGTCCAGAGTTTACACTGAGTCCATATACTTTCTATATCACTGAGGGCAACAACCCAGGAGCCTCAGTGTTTTCTGTGAAAGCCTCTGATGGTGATGAAGGAGATAATGCAGTCATCTCTTATCATATTGTCAGAGACAGAGACGAACACAGTAAATTAACTTCATTTCTAAACATTAATTCGGAAACTGGAGACATTGTGGCTCTGAGAAGTTTTGACTTTGAAACTGTAAAAACGTTCCAGTTCCAAGTTGTGGCCTCAGACTCTGGAAGTCCGTCCCTGAGCAGCAACGTGACAGTGAACGTGTTCATTCTGGATCAGAACGACAACGCTCCAGTCATCCTGTATCCAGTCAGCTCCAACGGTTCTGCTGAAGGTGTGGAGGAGGTTCCCCGCAACGTGAACGCAGGACACTTGGTGACTAAAGTCAGAGCCTATGATGCTGATATAGGATATAATGGCTGGCTGCTGTTCTCACTGCAGGAAGTGACGGACCACAGTCTGTTTGGTTTGGACCGCTACACAGGACAGATCAGAACACTTCGCTCATTCACAGAGACAGACGAGGCTGAGCATAAACTGCTCATCCTGGTCAAAGACAATGGCAACGTGTCACTGTCAGCAACAGCTACTGTCATTGTCAAAGTGGTGGAGCCCAAAGAGGCTTTTGCAGCTTCTGATGTGAAGAGTTCAGCCAAAGATGATGAGGAGACTGATGTGACTTTTTACCTGATGATCACTTTGGGCTCAGTGTCGGTTCTGTTCCTCATCAGCATCATCGTGCTGATTGCAATGCAGTGCTCCAAGTCCACAGAATATACTTCTAAATATCTCCAAGAGGCTAATTATGATGGGACACTGTGTCACAGCATCCAGTACAGATCTGGAGACAAACGCTATATGTTAGTAGGACCCAGGATGAGTGTAGGATCTACTATAGTACCTGGAAGTCACGCAAACACTCTGGTGCTGCCTGACAGGAGGAACACTTCTGATGAGGTAAGACCTTTACTTGATCTAAAAAATGCATCATTATGTCAGAATTACATTTATTTAGAAACCTGCTTTCTTTCTATTGTTTTCTAATTTCCAAAATGCTTTCCAATCTTTATTGTGTTCCCTTGAGCATGCGTGATCTGTTGAACCTTTGGAACACAGCGATTCTTGAATTTAGAGCTGAGATTTGTATTTTGCAGCCTGTCATGTTATTGACTTTTCTCCAGCTTTTGTCTTTGACTTGTGAACAGTCTAGTTTGTTCTTCTCTTATGAGCTTTATGCTCTATAGGGACTGTTGCTGCTGTTTAGTGCAGGCCTGTCTATCTGAAGATATTGTTTTGTTTTCATTTGTGCAGACGTGTCCAATGTTTGGTTCGTTCAGGTCATGAATTAGAAAATGGTTGAGGTGAGTGTTTCTGATGTTTCTGCTGTGCTGCAATGTGGTTGGCTCACTTTGTGGTAGATTCATTTTTAATATTGCTGGTTGTGTGAAAGCAGGGACTTTGTGTGGTGCATAATTACACAAGTAGTAGCTCTCAGGTTTTGGAGCATTGAGGTTAGTAACTCAGTGCTGTTTGAATCCACTGTTTTTGTGGCCCTTTGAGTTGTGATGACACTTTACCATGGTGTGCATCATTAGTTATCTGGTGGTTGTGTCGTAATAACTTTGGACCTATTCTTCAGGTTGATCCTAGTAATTTGCAAATATTTTAAAACGGGAAGGTGTTAAACCCTTCTGCATCACTGGCCTGTCTTTGTGAAGCTTTCAAACACACTGAGTGGCTGAAGATTAAAATCCTGCTAAGAGGAGTTTCAGCAACTCTCTCCTGAACATTGCTGAGGACACTTTATGAGAGTGGCTTTGGGGCTCCTGCAATTATCCCTGATTCAGTGAGGAATTTAAAGTATGTTGTTATATATATATATATATATATATATATATATATATATATATATATATATATATATATATATATATATATATATATATATATATATATGTATATATGTATATATATATATATAGTGTTTTGTCCCAGGGCCTGGGTTGGCATGTCATCAACAGCTGTTGCATCAAATTGTGTGTTTTTCAGACAGATTTGTGTTGCTAAAAATTCTGTTAAAATCTCAATATTTGCTTTGTATCATAGTTCGGATCAAAGATAACGGGATCTGCTTTGCTCATGCAAATGAACCAATTGTTCATCTGATATGAAAACAACATTACAACGGGAACTTATTAATAATTTAAAATAAAGACTCAGATTTGTTGTTGATGAAATGATAAAGATTCAATTAATAGTTGTCTTTTTATGTTGTACTTTGCCATAATAGTTTTTTTTTTCTTTTTGTGGAGCTGAAAATTGTTTTGGTTGAATGTTTATTACTTAAAATGAACTAGATACTAACTTGTTGCATAGGGAATCAATCTAGTACTTCTTTACCAATGTTCTATTTTCAATAATTACGTTTTTATGCGAGTGAGCACCTTGTTGGAATCATTATGTTACTGTGGCTCCTTGTATCACATTACTGTTTTTTTACTCTATGTTTACCATTCTGTCTGATTTCTTTAGGATTGATGCCTTTATGGAATAGATGTAGTTTAATTGTTTTGTTAAGTATGATTTGTCTGAGAACTCATTTTATAATCATGAATCTGAGGTAATTTGTGACTGAGGACAAGGGTTGTTTAAACACTAGCCTTGGTGCTGAAAACTTTTGACATTTTTTTAAGTAGCAGGCAATTTTTTTTCTTAGTGTTGTTTTTACTTAATGATGATGTTAGAACCATGCCATCATACTGTTTAGTTTGAAATGTTCAAAACTTGTGCTGCCTGTCACATCTTCCATCTACAATAGTTAAATGTTGTCCGACTTAAAAAAGAATTAGTTTATTCATCTAAATATTATTTTAAATTCATAATCATTAAATAGCATATACGTGTTTCTGAAGTAAAAGGAAATAACGGATGGTGGCAGTGTAAAATACAATTTCACTCTGAAACATATGCCGGGGTGGATCTGTGGTTCCACCTCGTTATTATTGTCTGGGGTTCGGTGTGTCTCGTCTTTTTGGCTGCTCTGTCCAAAGGATCGGTTTCTGCTCGCTTTTGGTTATGGCTTAATTAAAAAATGATTATTGGATCTTGCTTTAATTGAAGATATTTTTTCTCAGTGTGGTGGATTACTGATGAATCTGAGGTGAATATGGAACAAAGACGAGGTGAGCCGAAACGGGCGCGAGGATATCTGGTTGGATCCGTTGTCGCGCTGCTTTTGTGGAGCGTCGCCTCTGCGCAGCTGAGGTACTCCATCTCAGAGGAGGTGAACGAAGGAACTGTGGTGGGAAACATAGCAAAGGATCTGGGATTAGATAAGAGATCTCTACGAGACAGGAGGTATCGGATTGTTTCCAGTGACGCAGACCCTCTTTTTCATGTGAATCAGAATGACGGAATCCTCTACGTGAGCAGAAAGATAGACAGAGAAAAGGTGTGCGCGCAGAGCGGCGCGTGTTCAATTAACCTAAAAACCGTGCTGGAAAACCCACTGGAGGTCCACTACGTCCGGGTGGAGGTGATGGATGTTAACGATCATTCTCCCAGCTTCCAGGAGAATGAAACCACGCTGGAGATTTCAGAGTCCGTCTTGCCTGGAGCGCGATTCCAGCTCCGAGCAGCAGGGGACCCAGATAGCGGTCATCTCTCTGTGCAGCAATATAAACTCAGCCAAAACGAGCATTTTCGTTTGGAAATTAAAGATAAAGAAGATGATGACGGTAAAATACCTATACTGGTTGTTCAAAAACCGTTAGACAGGGAGACAGCAGGGAGCCATTTATTGGTTCTGACAGCTTTAGATGGTGGAAAACCTCCAAAAACCGGTACAATGAATATAATAATAAACGTTTTGGACATTAATGATAATGCACCAGTTTTTTCTGATGACAATTATCCCATTATGCTGAATGAAAATCCCAGATCAGGAACAAAAGTCACACAAGTGAATGCAAAAGATTTAGATGAAGGGACAAACGGAGACGTGGTTTACTCATTAAGCAAAACTAATAAACCATATATTCTAAACCTGTTTGAAATGAATCCAGTTACAGGTGAACTTTCAGTCAAAGGTTTTATAGACTATGAGGAGAAAGATAAATATCAAATAGAAATCCATGCCTCAGATAAAGGCATCGCTCCTCTGACAGCAGAAAAAAGTGTAAGAATTAAAATAGTTGACGTAAATGATAATGCTCCTGAGATTGAAGTGACCTCATTTTCTAGCTCCATCCCAGAAGATTCCAGACCAGGAACTACTGTTGCTCTGATCAGTGTAAACGATCTGGACTCTGGTCTTAATGGAAAAGTTATTTGCTCGATAAATCAGGAAGTTCCGTTTAGTTTATCTCCATCCTTACAAGATAAAATGTTTTCACTAGTCACCAAATCTCCTTTAGACAGAGAGAAACAGTCTCATTATGATTTGACAGTAACTGCACAAGATGCAGGTCAGCCACCATTATCATCTGAAAAGACAATACGTGTTGTTGTGTCTGATGTGAATGACAACAGTCCAGAGTTTACACTGAGTCCATATACTTTCTATATCACTGAGGGCAACAACCCAGGAGCCTCAGTGTTTTCTGTGAAAGCCTCTGATGGTGATGAAGGAGATAATGCAGTCATCTCTTATCATATTGTCAGAGACAGAGATGAACACAGTAAATTAACTTCATTTCTAAACATAAACTCAGAAACCGGAGACATCGTGGCTCTGAGAAGTTTCGACTTTGAAACTTTAAAAACGTTCCAGTTCCAAGTTGTGGCCTCAGACTCTGGAAGTCCGTCCCTGAGCAGCAACGTGACAGTGAACGTGTTCATTCTGGATCAGAACGACAACGCTCCAGTCATCCTGTATCCAGTCAGCTCCAACGGTTCTGCTGAAGGTGTGGAGGAGGTTCCCCGCAACATGAACGCAGGACACTTGGTGACTAAAGTCAGAGCCTATGATGCTGATATAGGATATAATGGCTGGCTGCTGTTCTCACTGCAGGAAGTGACTGACCACAGTCTGTTTGGTTTGGACCGCTACACAGGACAGATCAGAACACTTCGCTCATTCACAGAGACAGACGAGGCTGAGCATAAACTGCTCATCCTGGTCAAAGACAATGGCAACGTTTCACTGTCAGCAACAGCTACTGTCATTGTCAAAGTGGTGGAGCCCAAAGAGGCTTTTGCAGCTTCTGATGTGAAGAGTTCAGCCAAAGATGATGAGGAGACTGATGTGACTTTTTACCTGATGATCACTTTGGGCTCAGTGTCGGTTCTGTTCCTCATCAGCATCATCGTGCTGATTGCAATGCAGTGCTCCAAGTCCACAGAATATACTTCTAAATATCTCCAAGAGGCTAATTATGATGGGACACTGTGTCACAGCATCCAGTACAGATCTGGAGACAAACGCTACATGTTAGTAGGACCCAGGATGAGTGTAGGATCTACTATAGTACCTGGAAGTCACGCAAACACTCTGGTGCTGCCTGACAGGAGGAACACTTCTGATGAGGTAAGACCTTTACTTGATCTAAAAAATGCATCATTATGTCAGAAGTACATTTATTTAGAAACCTCCTTTCTTTCTTTTGTTTTCTAAATTCCAAAATGTTTTCCAATCTTTATTGTGTTCCCTTGAGCATGCGTGATCTGTTGAGCCTTTGGAACACAGCGATTCTTTAATTTAGAGCTGAGATTTGAATTTTGCAGCCTGTCATGTTATTGACTTTTCTCCAGCTTTTGTCTTTGACTTGTGAACAGTCTAGTTTGTTCTTCTCTAATGAGCTTTATGCTCTATAGGGACTGTTGCTGCTGTTTAGCGCAGGCCTGTCTATCTGAAGATATTGTTTTGTTTTCATTTGTGCAGACGTGTCCAATGTTTGGTTTGTTCAGGTCATGAATTAGAAAATGGTTGAGGTGAGTGTTTCTGATGTTTCTGCTGTGCTGCAATGTGGTTGGCTCACTTTGTGGTAGATTCATTTTTAATATTGCTGGTTGTGTGAAAGCAGGGACTTTGTGTGGTGCAGAATTACACAAGTAGTGAGTGTAGCTCTCAGGTTTTGGTGCATTCAGGTTAGTAACTCAGTGCTGTTTGAATCCACTGTTTTTGTGGCCCTTTGAGTTGTGATGACACTTTACCATGGTGTGCATCATCAGTTATCTGGTGGTTGTGTCGTAATAACTTTGGACCTATTCTTCAGATTGATCCTGGTAATTTACAATTATTTTAAAATGGGAAGGTGTTAAACCCTTCTGCATCACTGGCCTGTCTTTGTGAAGCTTTCAAACACACTGAGTGGCTGAAGATTAAAATCCTGCTAGGAGGAGTCTCAGCAACCCTCTCCTGAACATTGCTGAGGACACTTTATGAGAGTGGCTTTGGGGCTCCTGCAATTATCCCTGATTCAGTGAGGAATTTAAAGTATGTTGTTATATATATATATATATATATATATATATATATATATATATATATATATATATATATATATATATATAGTGTTTTGTCCCAGGGCCTGGGTTGGCATGTCATGAACAGCTGTTCCATCAAATTGTGTGTTTTTCGGACTGATTTGTGTTGCTAAAAATTCTGTTAAAATCTCAACATTTGCTTTGTATCATTTTTCAGATCAAAGATAACGGGATCTGCTTTGCTCATGCAAATGAACCAATTGTTCATCTGATATGAAAACAACATTACAACGGGGACATATTAATAATTTAAAATAAAGACTCAGATTTGTTGTTGATGAAATGATAAAGGTTCAATCAATAGTTGTCTTTTTATGTTGTACTTTGCCATAATAGTTTTATCTTTTTTTGTGGAGCTGAAAATTGTTTTGGTTGAATGTTTATTACTTAAAATGAACTAGATACAAACTTGTTGCATAGGGAAACAATCTAGTACTTCTTTACCAATGTTCTATTTTCAATAATTACGTTTTGATGTGAATGAGCATCTTGTTGGAATCATTATGTTATTGTGGCTCCTTGTATCACATTACTGTTTTTTAACTCTATCTTTACCATTATGTCTGATTTCTTTGAGATTTAAGCCTTTATGGAATAGATGTAGTTTAATTATTTTGCTAAGTATGATTTGTCTGAGCACTCCATTATTTGAATATTTTATAATGATGAATCTGAGGTAACTTGTGACTGAGGACAAGGGTTGTTCAAACACTAGCCTTGGTGCTGAAACCTTTTGACATTTTTTAGGTAGCAGGCAAACATTTTTCTTAGTGTTGTTTTTACTTAATGATGATGTTAGAACCATGCCATCATACTGTTCAGTTTGAAATGTTCAAAACGTGTGCTGCCTGCATGTCACATCTTCCATCTACAATAGTTAAATGTTGTCCGACTTAAAAAAAAAAGAATTAGTTTCTTCATCTAAATATTATTTTAAATTCATAATCATTAAATAGCATAGACGTGTTTCTGAAGTAAAAGTATAAAACGCATGGTGGCAGTGTAAAATACAATTTCACTCTGAAAAATCTGCCGGGGTGGATCTGTGGTTCCACCTCGTTATTATTGTCTGGGGTTCGGTGTGTCTCGTCTTTGTGGCTGCTCTGTCCAAAGGATCGGTTTCTGCTCGCTTTTGGTTATGGCTTAATTAAAAATTGATGCTTGGATCTTGCTTTAATTGAAGATTTTTTTTTCTCTGTGTGGTGGATTACTGATGAATCTGAGGTGAATATGGGACAAAGACGAGGTGAGCCGAAACGGGCGCGAGGATATCTGGTTGGATCCGTTGTCGCGCTGCTTTTGTGGAGCGTCGCCTCTGCGCAGCTGAGGTACTCCATCTCAGAGGAGGTGAACGAAGGAACTGTGGTGGGAAACATAGCAAAGGATCTGGGATTAGATAAGAGCTCTCTACGAGACAGGAGGTATCGGATTGTTTCCAGTGACGCAGACCCTCTTTTTCATGTGAGTCAGAATGACGGAATCCTCTATGTGAGCAGAAAGATAGACAGAGAAAAGGTGTGCGCGCAGAGCGGCGCGTGTTCAATTAACCTAAAAACCGTGCTGGAAAACCCACTGGAGGTCCACTACGTCCGGGTGGAGGTGATGGATGTTAACGATCATTCTCCCAGCTTCCAGGAGAATGAAACCACGCTGGAGATTTCAGAGTCCGTCTTGCCTGGAGCGCGATTCCAGCTCCGAGCAGCAGGGGACCCAGATAGCGGTCATCTCTCTGTGCAGCAATATAAACTCAGCCAAAACGAGCATTTTCGTTTGGAAATTAAAGATAAAGAAGAAGATGACGGTAATACACCTATACTGGTTGTTCAAAAACCGTTAGACAGGGAGACAGCAGGGAGCCACTTATTGGTTCTGACAGCTTTAGATGGTGGAAAACCTCCAAAAACCGGTACAATGAATATAATAATAAACGTTTTGGACATTAATGATAACGCACCAGTTTTTTCTGATGACAATTATCCCATTATGCTGAATGAAAATCCCAGATCAGGAACAAAAGTCACACAAGTGAATGCAACAGATCTAGATGAAGGGACAAACGGAGACGTGGTTTACTCATTAAGCAAAACTAATAAACCATATATTCTAAACCTGTTTGAAATGAATCCAGTTACAGGTGAACTTTCAGTCAAAGGTTTTATAGATTATGAGGAGAAAGATAAATATCAAATAGTAATCCATGCCTCAGATAAAGGCATCGCTCCTCTGACAGCAGAAAAAAGTGTAAGAATTAAAATAGTTGATGTTAATGATAATGCTCCTGAGATTGAAGTGACCTCATTTTCTAGCTCCATCCCTGAAGATTCCAGACCAGGAACTACTGTTGCTCTGATCAGTGTAAACGATCTGGACTCTGGTCTTAATGGAAAAGTTATTTGCTCGATAAATCAGGAAGTTCCTTTTAGTTTATCTCCATCCTTACAAGATAAAATGTTTTCAATTGTCACCAAATCTCCTTTAGACAGAGAGAAACAGTCTCATTATGATTTGACAATAACTGCAAAAGATGCAGGTCAGCCACCATTATCATCTGAAAAGACAATACGTGTTGTTGTGTCTGATGTGAATGACAACAGTCCAGAGTTTACACTGAGTCCATATACTTTCTATATCACTGAGGGCAACAACCCAGGAGCCTCAGTGTTTTCTGTGAAAGCCTCTGATGGTGATGAAGGAGATAATGCAGTCATCTCTTATCATATTGTCAGAGACAGAGACGAACACAGTAAATTAACTTCATTTCTAAACATAAACTCAGAAAATGGACAAATAACAGCTCTGAGAAGTTTTGACTTTGAAACTGTGAAAACGTTCCAGTTCCAAGTTGTGGCCTCAGACTCTGGAAGTCCGTCCCTGAGCAGCAACGTGACAGTAAACGTGTTCATTCTGGATCAGAACGACAACGCTCCAGTCATCCTGTATCCAGTCAGCTCCAACGGTTCTGCTGAAGGTGTGGAGGAGGTTCCCCGCAACGTGAACGCAGGACACTTGGTGACTAAAGTCAGAGCCTATGATGCTGATATAGGATATAATGGCTGGCTGCTGTTCTCACTGCAGGAAGTGACTGACCACAGTCTGTTTGGTTTGGACCGCTACACAGGACAGATCAGAACACTTCGCTCATTCACAGAGACAGACGAGGCTGAGCATAAACTGCTCATCCTGGTCAAAGACAATGGCAACGTTTCACTGTCAGCAACAGCTACTGTCATTGTCAAAGTGGTGGAGCCCAAAGAGGCTTTTGCAGCTTCTGATGTGAAGAGTTCAGCCAAAGATGATGAGGAGACTGATGTGACTTTTTACCTGATGATCACTTTGGGCTCAGTGTCGGTTCTGTTCCTCATCAGCATCATCGTGCTGATTGCAATGCAGTGCTCCAAGTCCACAGAATATACTTCTAAATATCTCCAAGAGGCTAAATATGATGGGACACTGTGTCACAGCATCCAGTACAGATCTGGAGACAAACGCTACATGTTAGTAGGACCCAGGATGAGTGTAGGATCTACTATAGTACCTGGAAGTCACGCAAACACTCTGGTGCTGCCAGACAGGAGGAACACTTCTGATGAGGTAAGGCATTTACTTGATTTAAAAAGTACATCACTATATCAGAATTACATTTATTTAGAAGCCTGCTTTCTTTCTATTGGTTCCTAAACAAATGTTTTCTAATCTCTATTGCGTTCCCATGCTTGGTGTCGCATGCATGATCCGTTGAACCTTTGCAAGACATTGATTCTTGAGTTTAGGGCTGAGTTTTATGTCTGTCCTGTTATTTACTTTGTACCAGCTTTTGTCTTTGACGTGTGAAGAGTCTAGTTTGTTCTAATGAGCTTTATGCTCTATAGGGACCGCTGCTGTTGTTTAGTGCAGGCCTGTCTATCTGAAGATATTGTTTTGTTTTCATTTGTGCAGACGTGTCCAATGTTCAGTTCGTTCAGGCCATGAATTAGAAAATGGTTTAGGTGAGTGTTTCTGATGTTTCTGCTGTGCTGCAATGTGGTTGGCTCACTTTGGTAGATTCATTTTTATTATTGCTGGTTGTGTGAAAGCAGGGACTTTGTGTGGTGCAGAATTACACAAGTAGTAGCTCTCAGGTTTTGGAGCATTTACATTCGTATCTCAGTGCCGTTTGAGTCCACTATTTTATGACCTTTTGAGTTCTGATGACATTTTACCATGGTGTGCATCATCAGTTATCTGGTGGTTCTGCTTTAATAACTCTGGACCATTTGTCTTGCTTGATCCGGGTAAGGTTCTAAAGGTAACATTTTAAAGAGGGAAAGTGTTAAACCCCTCTGCATCACTGGCCTGTCTTTGTGCAGCTTTTAAACACATTGAGCGACTCAAGGATAAAAGAAGGATTTTCAGCGTCTCACTCCTGATCACTGCAAAAAACACTTTACGAGAATGGCTTTGGGGCTCCTGCAGTTATCACTACTGATTCAGTGAGGAATTTGAAAAGTATTTGTAAAAAAAAAAATGTAAAACTCCAAAACAGTGTTCCGCCAGCCTCCATTTTATATTTAGTCCCAGGGCCTGGGTTGTAACATCATCAACAGTTGTTGCATCAAAATTTATGTTTTTCAAAGACAGATCTGTGTTGTTAAAAATTCTGTGAAAATCTAAACATTTGTTCTGAATCATAGGTCAGATCAGAGAGAATGTGATCTGCTATGCTCATGGAAATGAACCAGTTGTTCATTTGACATGAAAACAAATTGCATTATTTTGTCATGTTCTGTGCCCCTTTTGTCCCCAGTGCCCTCCTGGTTCCCCCCATGTTCTCCATTCTCCCCACCTTTTGGTTTAGTTTTTCAGTTCTCCTGTCTCCTTTAGTGTGTGTGTTTCCTTTCCCCACTTAGACGATTTCTTTTCTTTTTAGTTCGCCCTGTGTCTTTGTTTCTTCTATGTTTTTAGTTTGGTTTGGTTATTTCAGTAGCTTTGGTTTTAAGGATTAGATTTGGTTTTCTCCCCTGCTATTTCTGCCTCTCCTTAAGTCATTGTTTTCACCTGTGCCCAATTCCCACACACCTGCCCCTCGTCTCCTATCACCCAGCGTCTGTATATATGTATATATATATATATATATATATATGTATATATATATACATATATATATATATATATATGCCTGTCTCTCTGTGTTGTCTGTCCATTGATGTTGTCAGCATTGTTTTTGTCCCCCTCTAGTTTCTCAGGTTCTTCGTGCCTTTTAGATTTTGCTTACCCTCCTTAATAAAAGGACTTTTTTTCTTACAACCTCTCTCCTGCCTCGAGTCGTTCTGGGTTTCTGCATTTTGGGTACGACCTCCTTCTGCCACAACATGACATATTTTGGGGATATATAAATCCTTTAGGTGAAATACAGACTCGGATTATTTGTTGATGGAATGGTAAAGGTTCAATCAATATTTACAAAATTCAATCTTGTATTTAACCACAACTGTTTTTCTTTGAGCTCAAACTAATTTTGGTTGCACGTTTATTGCTTTAAATATTAACTTGTTAAACAGAGTAAAATTGTAGTACTTTTTACTGATTTTCTACTCTCACTAATTCCCATAAGAAATATATTTTCAAATGTGAGTGCGTGGCAGCTTGTTGGAATAAATACTTTAATATGCCTTCTTAAATCACATTGTTTTTACTTTGTCTTTACCATTCTGTCTGATTTACTTAGAATTGCTGCATTCTTGGAGATTTAGACCAATTTTGCTGAGCATGATTTGTTTTGTAACGTAAAGGTCAAGTATGTTCCTCAACGTGACCAGAAATTAACTTTTTAATTTGCAGACGCAAACACTCCATCTGTCTGGTCTCCAAACATGAAAGCACTGCACAAGGCCTTGTCATCGGATAAAGGAGATATTATAATTCCTAGCTACCTTATCGTGGCTAGAACAAAAGTCATGCGGGAGGCGAGACTTTTGCACTCACTCTGAATAAAGTGCATCTTCCTGGAATCATAAATGACTTTTTAAAACTTGATAATTACATTAGTGTCATATAATCATCTTTTATTAAATCCTGAAGTGTTTGAATAATGTGTTCATCAATCAATGATGTGTTAAAATGAATATTTTTTCTTGTAATGATTAATTTCAGATCTTAAACTACACAAGATCAGTATTTGTTGGTTTAACAAGTTAATCTGTCAGTATACTCACACATCATGAGATTAATATTTAGGTTTTAACATTCACTTCACATAACTGTTATAACATTTGCACTTCACACAAAGAGTTGACCTCTCAATATCTGTGAAGGAGTGACTTTCTGAGGTCTTTGTTAATGCCCTCTTTACCCTCTCAGGCTCAAAATAAGTTTTGATAAAAATGACGACCAACTAAGTGTCTCAGGGGTACTTCTGAATTTAAAAATGCTCATGAAATACGTTTGTGGAGTAACCAGGTAGGTAGGTTTTAACGTTGCAAATCTGCAACGCCTTCCTTGGGTAAACGTGTCAAATTCCAATTTGTCTAAGTTTACAAACAAAAGTTAATGAAAGCGAAAACACTTCCTAGTTCACCCAGTCTTCACCATTCACTCGATAAGGCCAATTGGTTGAACAAGCATTTTCAGACCATCCTATCTTTTGACCTCAAGGTCAAAGCCTCTGCAATGCTTTTGAGTGATTTTAAACAAAATGACTCTTTTAAGAGCCACCCGATACCTCAGATAGACATTCTAACCTGCAGACCCTGGTTGCACATCATGGCTGGACTAACAATCTAAATTAAAATGACTTTTTTTCTTGAGAGCCAAAGAAAAGTTTCCACCACGGTGGACAATGAAGTTTATTGTATTCTAAAAAGGAACTGCATCTCTTTAGTTTCCTGTGGTCTCGACGTCCTGTGAACCTCACTTTCATTCAAACTGCCACACAATGGGTGCGTAAACCCTGCACAATTGTGTCAGATGGTTTTATGAATAAATCTCTAGCTTATCAAACCATACAGAAAAATGTGATTTTACCATCCAGACTCCACAATCTCTCTAAGATATTTATAAGGTTTTGCTAAAAAAAAATCTAGCTTTCATTCCGTCATTCCATTCATCATCTGTTATCTGTACAAGCATAATGTCATTCATACGTTGTCATGTACAATCATTAAGTTTAGGAAAAGAGAATAAAAATAATTGTTATAAATGTATGCTTGACTCTTTCTGAATTAGTTTGAAGTGTGTGTTCCCTGAATAAGTCATACTAAAGTCTTCTGATTAAATATTCAAAGACCAATCAGATTGATATTTCATATTTATATGTACTATTACATATTATTGATCATGTACTATATGTAGTAAATCCTTAGCTGCAGTCTTCTGAGCACTCCACTATTTATATAACCATGAATCTGAAATAATACTTTTGATTGAGGAAGGGAGTTGCTCAAACGCTAGCCTTGGTGCTGAAACCGTTTTAATTGTTTTCATAGCAGGCAAAAACTTTTCTGTCAGTGTCTTTTTTGCTTAATGATGATGTTAGAACCATGCCATCATACTTTTTAGTTCTAAATGTTTAAAGCGTGTGCTGCCTGTCATATCTTCCATCTACTAAATGTTGTCCTACTTCTAAATAAAGAATTAGTTTCTTCATCTAAATATTATTTTAAATTCATTATCATTAAATAACATGTAGACTTGCTTCTGAAGTAAAAGGAAAAAACGCATGGTGGCAGTGTAAAATACAATTTCACTCTGAAACATATGCCGGGGTGGATCTGTGGTTCCACCTCGTTATTATTGTCTGGGGTTCGGTGAGTCTCGTCTTTGTGGCTGCTCTGTCCAAAGGATCGGTTTCTGCTCGCTTTTGGTTATGGCTTAATTAAAAATTGATGCTTGGATCTTGCTTTAATTGAAGATTTTTTTCTCAGTGTGGTGGATTACTGATGAATCTGAGGTGAATATGGAACAAAGACGAGGCGAGCCGAAACGGGCGCGAGGATATCTGGTTGGATCCGTTGTCGCGCTGCTTTTGTGGAGCGTCGCCTCTGCGCAGCTGAGGTACTCCATCTCAGAGGAGGTGAACGAAGGAACTGTGGTGGGAAACATAGCAAAGGATCTGGGATTAGATAAGAGCTCTCTACGAGACAGGAGGTATCGGATTGTTTCCAGTGACGCAGACCCTCTTTTTCATGTGAATCAGAATGACGGAATCCTCTACGTGAGCAGAAAGATAGACAGAGAAAAGGTGTGCGCGCAGGGCGGCGCGTGTTCAATTAACCTAAAAACCGTGCTGGAAAACCCACTGGAGGTCCACTACGTCCGGGTGGAGGTGATGGATGTTAACGATCATTCTCCCAGCTTCCAGGAGAATGAAACCACGCTGGAGATTTCAGAGTCCGTCTTGCCTGGAGCGCGATTCCAGCTCCGAGCAGCAGGGGACCCAGATAGCGGTCATCTCTCTGTGCAGCAATATAAACTCAGCCAAAACGAGCATTTTCGTTTGGAAATTAAAGATAAAGAAGATGACGGTAAAATACCTATACTGGTTGTTCAAAAACCATTAGACAGGGAGACAGCAGGGAGCCACTTATTGGTTCTGACAGCTTTAGATGGTGGAAAACCTCCAAACACCGGTACAGTGAATATAATAATAAACGTTTTGGACATTAATGATAACGCACCAGTTTTTTATGATGATAATTATCCCATTATGCTGAATGAAAATCCCAGATCAGGAACAAAAGTCACAAAAGTGAATGCAACAGATTTAGATGAAGGGACAAACGGAGACGTGGTTTACTCATTAAGCAAAACTAATAAACCATATATTCTAAACCTGTTTGAAATGAATCCAGTTACAGGTGAACTTTCAGTCAAAGGTTTTATAGACTATGAGGAGAAAGATAAATACGAGTTAGAAATTCAAGCATCAGACAGAGGTTTTGCTCCTCTCACAACAGAAAAAAGCGTTAAAATTAAAGTAATTGACATAAATGATAATGCTCCTGAGATTGAAGTGACCTCATTTTCTAGCTCCATCCCTGAAGATTCTAGACCAGGAACTACTGTTGCTCTGATCAGTGTAAACGATCTGGACTCTGGTCTTAATGGAAAAGTTATTTGCTCGATAAATCAGGAAGTTCCTTTTAGTTTATCTCCATCCTTACAAGATAAAATGTTTTCAATTGTCACCAAATCTCCTTTAGACAGAGAGAAACAGTCTCATTATGATTTGACAATAACTGCAAAAGATGCAGGTCAGCCACCATTATCATCTGAAAAGACAATACGTGTTGTTGTGTCTGATGTGAATGACAACAGTCCAGAGTTTACACTGAGTCCATATACTTTCTATATCACTGAGGGCAACAACCCAGGGGCCTCAGTGTTTTCTGTGAAAGCCTCTGATGGTGATGAAGGAGATAATGCAGTCATCTCTTATCATATTGTCAGAGACAGAGATGAACGCAGTAAATTAACTTCATTTCTAAACATAAACTCAGAAACTGGAGACATTGTGGCTCTAAAAAGTTTTGACTTTGAAACTTTGAAAACGTTCAAGTTCCAAGTTGTGGCCTCAGACTCTGGAAGTCCGTCCCTGAGCAGCAACGTGACAGTGAACGTGTTCATTCTGGATCAGAACGACAACGCTCCAGTCATCCTGTATCCAGTCAGCTCCAACGGTTCTGCTGAAGGTGTGGAGGAGGTTCCCCGCAACGTGAACGCAGGACACTTGGTGACTAAAGTCAGAGCCTATGATGCTGATATAGGATATAATGGCTGGCTGCTGTTCTCACTGCAGGAAGTGACTGACCACAGTCTGTTTGGTTTGGACCGCTACACAGGACAGATCAGAACACTTCGCTCATTCACAGAGACAGACGAGGCTGAGCATAAACTGCTCATCCTGGTCAAAGACAATGGCAACGTTTCACTGTCAGCAACAGCTACTGTCATTGTCAAAGTGGTGGAGCCCAAAGAGGCTTTTGCAGCTTCTGATGTGAAGAGTTCAACCAAAGATGATGGGGAGACTGATGTGACTTTTTACCTGATGATCACTTTGGGCTCAGTGTCGGTTCTGTTCCTCATCAGCATCATCGTGCTGATTGCAATGCAGTGCTCCAAGTCCACAGAATATACTTCTAAATATCTCCAAGAGGCTAATTATGATGGGACACTGTGTCACAGCATCCAGTACAGATCTGGAGACAAACGCTACATGTTAGTAGGACCCAGGATGAGTGTAGGATCTACTATAGTACCTGGAAGTCACGCAAACACTCTGGTGCTGCCTGACAGGAGGAAAACTTCTGAGGAGGTAAGATGAGCTTTTATATATATTTTCCTACTATGATAAAAATAAAAATAAAATAAAAAAACAAATGTCCTCAATTTTTATTTACCCTGCTAAATTGAGTAAAATAAGTTAATCTTGAGTGTTGTCATCAGATTACAGCCCTTTGTTCATTTCAGTACATTTGAATATCAGTTCTATCAGTGGAAACTGGGTTTTCGTATATTTATTTTCATCATTTAAAAACATTTTACAATTGACATTTACATTTCAAAATATTTATTCATAATTTAGCTTCTAAAAAGATTAATGACCTCACATAGATTTAGGCCTATGACATAGGCTTTATATATACACGCAAAATCATTTAACTATCTGTGCATGGTGCTGGTATCTAACATGAATCTTTGTATTTCAACAAAAAATATTTTCTTACTCATTTTTTTTTCTTTGTTTGTTACCCTTTCTTTTTCTGGTTTTGTTCATATAACTAAAGCATCTAAACGCTGCCCACCACCTGTTTCACTAGATTTTATATTTAATGTAATTTTATTTTATTTTATTTCATTTTAATTTGTTTTTATTTATTTATTTTATCAATTTATCGACATTTTTCACAAAAGCAAAGTATTGGCGACTGTCAAGCCTTTGAGTCGCCGAGCAGCTGAATAGGGGAATAATGTTGACGCGCCCGCTGTTCCACTCCGAAGTCAAAGTTCCAGGTTAAAAATTCCTTTATTTGTTATTAAAGCCTTAAAATCCGTTGAAAACAGTGATAAATAAAAAACATTCTAAGCTTGAGCGGTCAGCAAAAAGTTGACTTCCCCCATCACCCACTCATTCTCCCATTCCATCACCTGCACAGGTGATAGCAATCACTATTATTATTACCGACACCATGTGACCCAAGGCAACGCCTATCCACAACATTCCGGCCCCTAATTATTACATTCTCACAGTAATAATTACACATCTGACACCATAACTCATATGCTACATCACAACACAGACACCCAGTGAGACCACATATCATACTCAAAAGTCCAGCAAAGTTGTTTTCTCATTTCCTCTCTTCCTTTCTTCTGTCTGCACACGGTCAGTCAGTCATAGGCCAGAGGTTACCAGCACTTAGCCTAAATATAGTCAGTCTGCGACGTACATCTCATAACGAAATCAGTTCAAAGTTAGCCATGTCACATCGTGTCAAAAGTCACCGTCATGGGTCAGAGGTCTCCTGAAGAAGGCATATCTTTGTAACGGGTCTGCGCACATGGCTGGTTGGGGTCTTAATCCAGACCTGACGCACAAGCCCCTTTTCATCTGGTACAGCACCGGTGACCCTCCCAATGATCCAGGAACCACGAGGTGCAGAATCATCCACTATGAGGACCACATCTCCAGGAATAAAGTTACGTTTAATCCTTCCCCATTTCTGGCGCCGCTGAAGTTGTGGCAAGTATTCCTTAGTCCATCTTTTCCAAAACAGGTCAGATATATATTGAACTTGCCTCCATCGTTTGCGTACGTAGAGATCGTCCCTCCGGAACAGACCAGGTGGTAAAGACGGGTTGGACTTGAGAAGAAGGAGATGATTTGGTGTTAAGGCTTCCAAATCATTTGGATCAGTGGATTCCAGTGTAATGGGTCTACTGTTGAGGATTGACTCCACTTCACAAAGAGCAGTTTGGAGCCCTTCCTCGTCCAAATGCTGCGTTTGGAGAGTGGAATTAAGGACCTTTCTGACAGAACGAATCAGCCGCTCCCATGCTCCGCCGTGATGCGATCCAGTTGGGGGATTGAAGATCCATTTCACTCCCTTCAAGGACAGAGCATCAGAGATCTTTTGCTGATTCCACTCTTCCATAGCTCGTCTCAGCTCGCGCTCTGCGCCCACAAAGTTAGTCCCATTGTCCGAGCGCAATTCTTGTACCTGACCTCGTCTTGCAATGAAACGTCGTAAGGCGTTAATGAAAGAGTCAGTGTCAAGAGATGAGGCAACCTCAATGTGTACTGCTCTAATCGCCAAACAAGTAAAAATAACACCATACCGCTTCACAAGACTTCTCCCACGCTTCACTTCAAATGGACCAAAATAGTCCACTCCAACAAAGTTAAATGGGGGTTTCTCAGGGGTCACTCTGCTTCCGGGCAACTCAGCCATCCGCTGCTGTCCTGCAGCTCCATGAAACCTTCTGCAGGTCACACACCTCGACATGATGCTTCGAATCAGAGTACCAGCACCAGGAATCCAATATTTCTGATGCAGCTTTGAGAGCATGTGGTTCCTTCCACCATGACCCACCTCCTTATGAACATGCTGTAGAATGAGATTGGAAATGTGAAGCTCTTTAGCGATTATGACAGGATGCTTGGAGTCTTCTGACATGACAGCCTTACTGAGACGTCCGCCAACCCGCAGCACACCATCCTCCAAAACAGGATTCAACTTATATATGTGACTGCTTCGTTTCACAGATTCTCCCCTTTGGAGACAAGAAATTTCTTCAGCGTAACTCTTCCTCTGACAGAACTTAATTATTTGCATCTCAGCAACCTCAATCTCTCCCAATGAAAGAAAGCCATGCCGGAAATCAACCTTATGTTGAACATCTTCAGACTGAATTGGATCAGATGCAGGCTGAAAATGTATCTTCCTGTGATGCAATAACAACATCTTGAACCTTAAAATCCAACCCATCACCCTGATGAGACGAGTCCAGGATGAGGCACGATGGATTAAAGGGGTCAGAGGATGATCATCACCGTGCACTTGTGAGACGTTGATGGCAGCAGACACCTTAACTTCAGGATCTTCACGTGGAAGTTCTTGCAAATTTTCTGGGTTAACAGGCCAATTGTTCTCTGGCTGTGTAAGAAATGCAGGGCCACATATCCATTCAGTGTCACGCAAAAAGGTCTCAGCCTTCACACCTCTGGAGGCAAGGTCCGCAGGGTTATGCGTGGTGTTCACATACCTCCATTGGGAGGCACTAGAAGCCTTGAGGATTTCTGACACTCTGTTTGCCACAAAAACACGGAAACTGGAAGACTCATTATTTATATATTTCAACACTGCAGTGCTGTCCGTCCAAAAGACAGAGTTTAGGAGAGGTAGTCTCAACTCCCTCTTCCACGTTCTATCCATGCGAACTGCTACCACTGCTGCCGTCAATTCCATGCGAGGGATGGTGACTGGTTTTAAAGGTGCCACCCTGGATTTTCCCATTATGAAGGAACTGTGCGTCTGTGAGCAACTGTTGTGCAGCAACAAGTAGGTAACAGCCCCATAGCCCTTCTCACTCGCATCTGCAAAGTGGTGCAACTGAGCAGTGGTTGTCTCTCCAAAATCAGGAGGTTTTAAACATCGTCCGATGCAGATATTGTTCAACAGATGCAATTCTTCTAACCAGCTTTTCCACTCTTCAGCAACTGCTGATGGTATAGCATCGTCCCATCCTATCCCCCTCTGGCACAGATCTTGAAGGATCCTCTTGGCTGTGAAGATAACAGGAGCAAGGAACCCCAGAGGGTCATAGAAGGAGCTTACTGTGGATAGGATCCCTCTCCGAGTCAATGGTCTGTTTGGGATGGATATGCAGAACTTAAATGCATCTGACTGCAGGCACCACTTCACTCCCAATGCTCGCTCAACAGGTAAAAGGTCACGATCGAGGTCTAGGTCCTTAACTTCATTTGCTCTTTCCTCCTCAGGTATGACTGCCAGAACACTGCGGCTATTGCTGATCCACTTTGTTAAGTGGAAACCACCCTTGGCGCAAATGTCTCTAAGGCCTGAGTAAAGATTGATGGCTTCTTCTTCAGAGCATATTGAAGCAAGGCAGTCATCCACATAAAAACTATACAGAATGGTGTCAGTCACCTGCTGGCTGAAGTATGCTTTGTTGTCCTCTGCACATTTCCGCAGGGCGTAGTTAGCACAGCTTGGAGAAGACGTTGCCCCAAACAAATGAACACCCATTCTGTACTCTTGCATGCTCTGATTGAGGTCACCACCAGGCCACCAAAGAAACCTCAAAAGGTCAGCATCTTCTTCTGGCACATGCACCTGGTGAAACATAGCCTCGATGTCAGACATCAAAACAATTGGCTCTTTTCTGAACCTCGTCAGTACGCCAACCAAGCCGTTTGTTAAGTCAGGACCACTCAGGAGCTGCGCATTAAGGGAGACACCCTGGAATGATGCTGCACAATCAAAGACGACCCGCATCTTCCCCTTGGTAGGATGGTAAACCCCATGGTGAGGGATATACCAAAGCTTCCCATCGCTGCGCTCCAATTCTGCGACTGGCACTCTCTTTGCATATCCTCTAGATATGAGATCTGTCATGAAAGCAGTGTAGTCTTTGTGAAAGTCTTTATCTCGGATGAGCCTTTTCTTCAAACCTAAGGCTCGTTGCTCAGCAATTGCACGGTTGTCAGGCATTCTTATGTCTCGGTCTTTCAGTGGCAGGGCAATGCTGTAGTGCCCATCCCTCAAGGTCACCGTCTTGCTGGCCAAGTCCATGAACTTCATGTCTTCCTTTGACAGCCCCATCTGTTCATCATTGCTGCTCTCAGGAAAGTCTATCTTAAACTGCTGTTTCCATAGCTTGTCCAGTGTGACAGCAGAAAGTCTGTTGGCAGTAACTGTTGCCAGACATCCTGGCCTTCCACAGCATTCTTGATTAAGTAGCCCATTAACTGTCCAGCCCAGCACAGTCCTAATGGCAAAAGGTCCTTCACCTACACTCCGGATGACCTCCAAAGGTTCTAGAGCTCTGGGCATATTCATGCCAATCAAAAGCTCCACATTGGCCTTAATTTCTGGCAAATGAACATGCTTCAAATGTGGCCAGTCATCCAGGTCCTGTTGATTTGGGATGTTACCAAGATCTACAGGCATTTTATGCTGAGTGAAGAGGTTAGGCATATCACAGTACATGTCACTGTCCAATCCAGCAACTTCAAGTTCAGGTACAATGAAACTGTCCACCACTTTCTCCTGTCCCATGGTGCGCAGGAGAATCTTTGTCCTCCTCCCGTCAATATTCAGCTTACCCATAAGACCCACTGTGCAAAAGGACGCTGAACTCCCTTGGTCCAGAAAGGCATACGTTTCCACTATTCTTTGACCTCTCTTGGATTTTACTTTAACTGGCACAATGGCAAGCTTACAGTCTTGTTCACCGGCCCCAGTAAGGCCACTAGTCTGGATCGTAACTGGAATGTTATCTGCCTCATTACCAGGTTTAACTTCACTCTTCTCTTTATGGTTTATATGGAGTATACTTGCATGTCTAAGACCACAGATTTTACATGAAAGGCGTTTTCTGCATTCTTTGCTTATGTGCCCAGTACACAAACAGCCAAAACAGATGCTGTTCTTTTTAAGAAAAGAAATCTTCTCATTATGAGGTTTCTTATCAAGCAGAGCACATGACTCCAGTGTGTGTCCGCCTTTGCAGAAAAAACAAACCTTCACAGTGCTGTGCCGATCTTTAATCCATGTCTGATTCTGTCTCTCGACATCAGAGACTGTTGTAGCGAAGCTACTTCCTTTAGCTCTTAGGTGTGGAGAACGTTTCCCTCCATTGCTGCCCTTGGCTGAAAGATGTGTCGCTGGAACGTCACATAAATTTCCAAAGACAGGATCTATTGCAATTTTTACTTGACGCTCAAGGAAGGAAACAATGTCAGTGAATGCGGCTCTGCGATGTTGCCTCTCCTGAATGTCACATGCTACTGTTCGCCATTTGTCTTTTAACTTATATGGCAGTCTTCTAATCACAGCAAGCATATTGGCGGGTGTATTTAATTCAGAGAGATCGCTAATCTCTTCCATTGCATTGCAGCATCCACGTAAGAACAAACAATATGCCTGAAGAGCTTTTCCATCTTCTGATCTAATCAGTGGCCATGAGTGAACTTTGTTCAAATAAGCGGATGCAATCACATGTCCATTCCCGAAGTGCTCATACAGCAGAGTCTTTGCCTTTACATATCCAGCACTCGCAGACATATTTTGACAGCTTTTAACAAGTTCATTGGGCTGCCCTTTGGTGTACTGTGCAAGATAATGCAGGCAGTCGCCAGCATCACCAGTCTTTGCTTCTATGACCTGTTCAAACGAGCGCATGAAGGCCTGAAAATGTAAAGGGTCACCATCAAAGGTTTGAATCTCCCTTTTGGGCAGTGAAGAAAGACTCTGCTGATGGACCAACATACAAGTCAATTCATTTTGTTTTTCCATAATGGACAACAGATTTTCACTGGCTACTGGATGAGCAGCTTGTGGCTTAGGAAAAGGTGGAATTGATCGAAAAGCATCAGAAGGCCCCATAAGAGCGGGTGCAGGCTTTTCCCTTTTCATAGTCTGTTGCACTGTTTTTACTTGAAGCTCTGCATTACCAGTGATTGTGTTTCCCTTTGTAAGCATCTGTGGAACAAAAGTCTCTGCATCCGCATCAAGAATTCCATGGCTGTTTCTCTTTGTTTTCAAATATGATTCCATTCCATTAGATTTCCGTGAAGCAACGCTCCGCATAGTGGATCCAGTTCTCAGCACGTTAACCTTTGCAACAGTTGCAGCTATATCTGCTTCAAGCTGAAGTTGTTCTTTCTTTCTCCTCAATTGTTCCTCTTGCTCTTCCAGAGAGTGTTTTTCCTTCAGCATATGTTGACGTGCGAGCAAGGCAGCCATTTCAGCTTCCGCCCTGAGACGTGCAGATGAAGTAGATGATACTCTTGAGCTTGACCTACTGCCTTGATTTGACACACTGTCGGATGGTAACACATCATCATTAACATCATTCTGGGGATTAAGAGATGACTGAGGTTCTTTTCCAGGGTGCTCTAACATCTCCATTTCTCCTCCCAGGGAAGTTTCCTGTGATTGTGCTTTGTCAAATGATGGCCTCCCCGAACGTTTATCAGTTTCAGAAAGCCATATCTTAACATCCTCCATAAACCCTTTATTGTATTTAGCGATGCTTGAGAACCATGTATTTTGTTTATTTTTCTCATCAAATGAGATTAGAGAAAGTAAAGATTCATGCAAAGCACTGGCATGCTCAAATAGGTGTGTTAACTCATCAAACTGTTTTTTGACTTGTGAATGATTTGTATCATCTTTCATTAGCTCTTTAAGAGATGTAATGAGACTTTTCATTTTATTTACATGCCTTTTCCGATCTGTTTGGATGGTTTCAACTTTGTTTGCAAGGGCTTTCTCAGTGAGAGAAATTAATCTTTTATCCTTTTCAATTTTTCCAGCAACAGATGCCTGTGATCCACTCATTTTAAGCATTCAACATCAGCAGCATTCCAAATCCAAAACAAAGGCAACAGGAAATCCTTCAAACTCAGTTGAACGCCTGCAGAGCCACAGCACACACATACACCATGTCCAAGAGCAAACGCAGCGGTGGGCGTGTCACAAAAACATCCTCAAATGATCAGAATCCACACTGCGTTCCAACAAGCAATACGCAGCACAAAACACGGTTTACATACCACCGTCGTCTCCTCCTTATCTGTCAGACGAGCCGCTTTAATGGGTGAAGTGGCGGCGGTGTGTGGGCTTGCGTCGGCGTTTATTCAGCGCAGATTGCGGGCAGCTCCATTGCCGTCCCACGCAGTCTTTTTTTTTGCTGACAAATATTGGCGACTGTCAAGCCTTTGAGTCGCCGAGCAGCTGAATAGGGGAATAATGTTGACGCGCCCGCTGTTCCACTCCGAAGTCAAAGTTCCAGGTTAAAAATTCCTTTATTTGTTATTAAAGCCTTAAAATCCGTTGAAAACAGTGATAAATAAAAAACATTCTAAGCTTGAGCGGTCAGCAAAAAGTTGACTTCCCCCATCACCCACTCATTCTCCCATTCCATCACCTGCACAGGTGATAGCAATCACTATTATTATTACCGACACCATGTGACCCAAGGCAACGCCTATCCACAACACAAAGTATTGTTAAATTGGCCTTTCCAGCTGATTTCTGGGCTCTTTTTTTTTCAGAAAATTAATTTGTGTTTTAAGCAGAAAATGAAGTTCCAAAGCGTTGTTAATATGTGACATCTTCAGATGTTCATCCGTAATAAGTCACTGATTTGATTGCATATATACATAAATATATTTTAATAATGTTGCCACTCGTTGAAGCTATGGTCTAATATGTATTTATTGTTATTTTATTCACCTTTGCTGGCTTTTAGTCCTGCAGTTTTAATGCGCATCGCGAGGTGTCAGTAGATAAGAAAAAGAGCCAATATTAGAGTTTAACGGGGATGCTTTTCTCTCCGTGCCACTGCTGTCTCCGCCGCTCAACGATGCGCTCCGTTTGCTTCTGCCAACGGATGATGATTACGTTCACATTTGGTGAAGTCTGACTTTCTTCTTTGTGGTATATTTGTTGATTCCGTGCTGGATTCGTGGATCTGTTTTGTTTAACCATGGAACAAAGACGAACCGGAGCAGAAAGGCTGACGGGATTTTTTCTTCTGGGGTGTGTGATCGCTGCGCTTTTGTTTCACGCTTCAGCCGCGCAGATGCGGTATTCAGTGCCCGAAGAGGTTCAGGAAGGAACTGTGGTCGGGGATATTGCAAAGGATTTGGGATTAGATAAAAACACACTGAAGGAACGGAAGTACAGGATTGTGTCCAGTGGCACGGATCCTCTTTTCCTTGTTAATCAGAATGATGGCGTTCTTTATGTAAGCAGAACAATCGACAGAGAGGAGTTGTGCGAGGAAAGCACGCCGTGCTTATTAAACGTCAAAACCGTGTTAGAAAACCCGCTGGAGGTCCACTATGTAGCTGTAGAGGTGCTGGATATTAATGATCATTCTCCAAGTTTTCGAGATCAAGAGCAAACGTTGGAGATTTCTGAATCGGCATTGCCTGGAGTGCGCATTCCGCTCCCACCGGCACGTGATCCAGACGTGGGTCCGTTCTCTATTCAGCATTATAAACTTAGCGTCAGTGATCACTTTCGTTTGGAAGTAAAAGACAAAGGAGAGGATGGGAAAGTACCGATTTTAGTTGTGCAGAAAGCTTTGGACAGAGAAGCAGCCAGAAGTCACTCTTTGGTTCTGACAGCGGTGGATGGAGGGAAACCTCTAAAATCAGGAGACATGAATATTATAGTGAATGTTCTTGACATAAACGACAATGCCCCTGTTTTCTCTAAGGAAGATTATTCAGTAAAGCTGGATGAAAATGCCCCTTTAGGCACAGTTGTGGTGCAGGTGAATGCAACTGATTCAGATCAGGGTCAGAATGGAGATGTGGTCTACTCCTTTAGCAGTATTGTTAATCAAAAGTTACTGAAGCTGTTTGACATTAATCCATCCACTGGCGAAATAACTGTGAAAGGTAACATTGACTTTGAAGCAAAGGATAAATATGAAATAGAGATTCAAGCTTCAGATAAAGGTGTTGCCCCTCTTTCAACACAAAAAAGTGTAAATATTAGAATAACTGATGTTAACGATAATGCACCTGAGATTGAGGTGACTTCCTTTTCCAGCTCAGTACCTGAAGATTCTCGACCAGGATCTACCGTTGCTCTGATTAGTGTGAGTGATCTGGACTCTGGTCTTAATGGAAAAGTTATTTGTTCAATCAAGGAGGATGTTCCTTTTGTTTTATCTCCATCCTTACAAGATAAAATGTTTTCTTTAGTGACAAAATCTCCTTTAGACAGAGAGAAACAGTCTCATTATGATTTGACAATAACTGCAAAAGATGCAGGTCAGCCACCTTTATCATCTGAAAAGACAATACGTGTTGTTGTGTCTGATGTGAATGACAACAGTCCAGAGTTTACACTGAGTCCATATACTTTCTATATCACTGAGGGCAACAACCCAGGGGCCTCAGTGTTTTCTGTGAAAGCCTCTGATGGTGATGAAGGAGATAATAAAGTCATCTCTTATCATATTGTCAGAGACAGAGACGAACAGAGTAAATTAACTTCATTTCTAAACATTAATTCGGAAACTGGAGACATTGTGGCTCTGAAAAGTTTTGACTTTGAAACTTTGAAAACGTTCAAGTTCCAAGTTGTGGCCTCAGACTCTGGAAGTCCGTCCCTGAGCAGCAACGTGACAGTGAACATGTTCATTCTGGATCAGAACGACAACGCTCCAGTCATCCTGTATCCAGTCAGCTCCAACGGTTCTGCTGAAGGTGTGGAGGAGGTTCCCCGCAACGTGAACGCAGGACACTTGGTGACTAAAGTCAGAGCCTATGATGCTGATATAGGATATAATGGCTGGCTGCTGTTCTCGCTGCAGGAAGTGACTGACCACAGTCTGTTTGGTTTGGACCGCTACACAGGACAGATCAGAACACTTCGCTCATTCACAGAGACAGACGAGGCTGAGCATAAACTGCTCATCCTGGTCAAAGACAATGGCAACGTTTCACTGTCAGCAACAGCTACTGTCATTGTCAAAGTAGTGGAGCCCAAAGAGGCTTTTGCAGCTTCTGATGTGAAGAGTTCAGCCAAAGATGATGAGGAGACTGATGTGACTTTTTACCTGATGATCACTTTGGGCTCAGTGTCGGTTCTGTTCCTCATCAGCATCATCGTGCTGATTGCAATGCAGTGCTCCAAGTCCACAGAATATACTTCGAAATATCTCCAAGAGGCTAATTATGATGGGACACTGTGTCACAGCATCCAGTACAGATCTGGAGACAAACGCTACATGTTAGTAGGACCCAGGATGAGTGTAGGATCTACTATAGTACCTGGAAGTCACGCAAACACTCTGGTGCTGCCTGACAGGAGGAACACTTCTGATGAGGTAAGGCATGCTTTGCAAACGAATATATTGCTTGGTTACAAAATGAAGGTTGTATTTATTTATTTATTTATTTATTTATTTATTTATTTATTTATTTATTTATTTATTTATGTTTTGCTTCTTCATTTTAAACTTGTTGTATAATCGTATTAGTTTCAAACCACAGATTCCAACAAGTTGGATTGTTTCTGTGATTAAAGGAAGAAAATTAAAGAACTAGCGTTTTCATGGGTTTTTTACAATATTTGACACATTGTGTTTGATAGCAAGACAGAATGCATCTGTATAGGGGCAGAAGTGGAACTGGGATTTTACAGACATTATTATTTAAAAAGCTGGACGAATGTAGGTACTTATGGTGTGTGGTCCAAAGCAACAGAGTCTGCAAGGAAGTTGGAATTTAATGACAACGTTTCTGGTGTGATGTGTGATAAAAGGGCAGGTAAAAAAGGAAAGGTGCCCAAGAACAGCCATATTGTATGATTTAGAGACACCCATGAGGAGACAGAAATGGAGGTTGGAGCACTCAAGATGTTAAGGTTTACTTTGGAAATGAAGAGGATGGATATGATCAGACTTATCAGAGGGACATCCCATTAGAGGTGAAGTCAGAGAACTCAGATTGAGATGTCCAGACATGTCCAGAGGAGAGATGGTCATTGAGTGAGACGATGCTGCGGTTGGAGTCAGCAGGCAGTAAGCCGAGAGAACGTCCAAGAAGGAGATTAATGGATGAAGTGAAAGAAGACATGAAGTTAGTCAGTGTGAAGGGGAGAGGATGTCGATGATTGAACTAAATGGAGACTGATGAGTTGCTGTGGTGACTCCTGAAGAGAAGGATACTTTGGCATGTTTTAGTGTATTTTTTCTTCTCAAAAGTAAAGCTTTTTAAAATATTTTTAAATTATCAGTTTTATGGGTCGAAATGAAAACATTTTAAACAGAAAGTGTGGAAGTAAAACATCTATAGACAAACGTTTCTGGAACAAACCAAGTCAGGATCGCTGTCCATGGTGCTGATATGTTGGTTTAATAGTCACTAGTTACAAAAGCAATATTTCACCTCTCAGTTGTCTATTTAGCTAAACAAAATCTATAAAACCAACTGTTGTGCAGTACATGTTTAGTCGGTTTCAGACAAATGTGCGCAAGTTATTACTATTTTTGAACATTGTTTAATGAAAAGAAAATATTTTGCAATCAAACATGTTTTCCACCTAAATGATATTTTTGGTAGTCTTTGGAATATAATGTGCTGTATTTAGGTCACATGGTGTCAGTATAAATGTACAAGCTACATCAAATACAGGCCATTTACCATTCACCAATTATTTTTCATAAAAACATGTGAACATCTACAACATGCTAGTTTTAATTACACTTTAACCTATAATACCAAGTTGTTTCTATCTTTTTAAAATACAGGTTTTCTTTGAATAATTTAAATTATATAAAACTTTCTGGCAGTGTTGTGTGAGATTCAAAGTTTCAGCAAACTTCCACTCTGGCTTTTCTCTGTCATGTTTGAACTTACTTTATGAAAGAAGATGTACAAATGTTCTTGGCAAATTAAGATTTTGTTTGCTTACAAAGTAAATATTTTATTTTTACATTCTTGCTTCTTTTTCTTGTCACTTAATTATATTTACATAAAAGGAAGAACATTTTACAACTACCTACTTCAATTTATTTTCTCCACAATATTTTGCATGTTGTGTTTGGCAGGAAGGGATATTACATGTGTGTAAAAGAGAGGGGCACGTGTAAAAAGGTGATGCTATTTGTGTGGAAGGTAGAGGACTTTAAGTATGTATGATCCAATGAAATTAGGAGTGTGGAAATTTAAAAGTGTTTACAAGCAGGTTGTGATGTGTAGAGAGAAGTTTGATGTTTGCTAAAGGGATTTCAGCAAGTTTCCCAACATTGTATTGAGACAATTCATGTTGTTTAGTTTAGAGACAGTGTCCATGAGGAAAATACAAGAGGCAGAACTAGAAGTTGTGCTGCTTAAGATGTTC